TTAAAGACTGTCTAGTGGATAAGAATTTAATCAAAGATATGATGTAAAAATATATTTTAATACATTTTTCATTAGGGTTTTCAGGGACAAAGATTAAATATTATTATTATTATTATTATTTATTTAAGCAAAATAAAATAATTATTAAGGAATTTCATTCTACCTTAATTGGATATCGATTATAACTATTAAATCTTAATTTAATTTAATTGACCCATTTTTGTGTTCACATCTAAGACTGTTCTTCTTTCAATTGAAGTTCTAGCATTGAATATTGAATCCCGTTTGGTAGCAGTAGTATATGAATCACTTGCCACAGGCCTTTGTCTGGAGTTCCCATAAAATTATTCAGTTTCGCCTTCTTAGCAGTCATGTCCACATGCAAAACATGCAAATTTTGCAGCAGTTACTGGTCGTTGTTGCGGTTGCTGATGCGGCCTTAGCTTCAAGCTGTTAGCTGTTGTTGCTGCCGCTGCATCTTGGCCTAATACAATTAGTCTTGTGTAATACGCATGCCTTATGCTCGGCTAGCGGCGAGCGGTTGCCGGAGGAGGAGTGCCAAACCCGTTAGTGGTCAGAGTACATATACAGTTATACCCCAATACCCCTTTCTCCTTTTTTTTTTACGCAATTCGCGCCGCCACACGCCGCAACACATGTGTTTCGGAGTCGCCACCACCGATCGGAATTGCCTTGGGAGCGAAGCGCGAATTGATTGTGGCCCAAAACGGCAACAGCAACAGCAGCAAAAGTTGAAAGCCTTTTAAGCCGCCTTCCCCCTCCTCACCCACCCGACGTTGCGCACTTGGATTTTGTCAGATTTTGTGTTACTGCAACTGCATACAACAGGCAACTCCGATTTCGACTGCCACCTTGTTGCCAAAACGGTCAGTGCATAACGGTACACGCCAATCGCTGCCAAATACCGCGCATGCCCCAGGCCGCTCCCCCAAAGCCGCTGAACTAATTAAAGCCACAAAGGAACAAGGCGCACGGCCAATGCAAGTGAAGTTGTCTTTGTCCGATCACAGGGCAATCGGATTATTATTCAATAAAATGCGCCGGCGTACAAAGAGATGGCCAGCACTCGATGACAAATGCCTGGGCGGCCACCAGTCGGCCAAAAGGGCGCACTCTTTTTGGCCCGGAGTACTTGTGTGTTGGCCAACCCAACTTCAAGTCCAACTTGCTGCTCCCAGTTCGATCTGCGATCTGAGGTCTGAGGAGGAGCCCTTAAAGCAAGCCGCCTCTATTCGATTTGCTCGTTTTGTTATCGCAAACTTTTAATCTGCCCAGTGCCGCGAAGGTCTTGGCCAAGTTGCCGCCACCTCTACCTCTTATTCCTCTATTGCCTCATCCTTGGGCCCAGAGTTTAGGCTTCGCTTTTCCAGCTAACTCACAGCGGGCATGTAATGTGAGAGGAGTCGAGTGCAGGAGGCATTGTTAGAGCCCACAACCTTAACCCCTGGGTAACCTTGCCGGGATGAGAGGAAAAAATTAGTTAATAAAACAGAAAGTGTTAATTTAAATGGGAATTTAGGGGAGTCCTGGAAATTATTAACGAAAAACTCTTTCAAGTCAAAGTCAAGAACTCAAGCTCCAAGCTTAATGACTCGGAGAAGCCAAAACTTGTTTAGCAGCAGTGGGTTAAATATGATGAGGGTAGGACAGCCGTAAACTTAACTCCTGGTAACCTTGCCTTAATAAACCAAGAAGAGTCCTGTAAATGGTTTAGAATTTAAAACTCATCCTCACACCTCGCTTACTATTCCTAGTTTCCCACACAAACTGCATAGATTGATCACTCAAAGAGGCCCAAACTTGTTCACCAAAAACATTTCTCTGGGTCAACAGCAACACTGAGTGCCATTAATGGGTTAAGTGTGCTGGTGGCAGAAGGACAGGTTCGAGGGGTTCGTTCAGGAGCATCAATGTAGCAGACACGAGTCTGCGCCAAGGCAGCGGCTCGATTTTATTAGCTTAGCAAAAGGCTTTGATTGTTCTTGTTCTTTCCAATGTTGCTCTGTTGCTGTTGTTGTTGTTGCTGTTGCGGCTGCTACGGCCTGTTGCGCTTGTCTAGACGGGCAATTTTTCACACACACACTGGCACACACACACACACATTCAGTTGGACAGCACAAGACACAGACATTGGGGAGCTGGACTTGCTCTAAAATTGGCATTTTTCGCACACATAAGGCAAAAATGTAAAGCGAAGTCAAGTCGATGGCCAAGAGAGACCTGGCCAAAGCCGCATCGTCCAAGTCCAAGTCCAAGTCCAAGACGAAGCCAAAGCCAAAGCGGTTTATTTGCCTTGTGTGGCATCAGCTTCATCATCATCATCATCGTGGTCATCCCAGAGTTAAAGCCTGACTGCGACTACAAGTCCAACTCTTAGCCAAAGTCAGAGCCTGTGCCCGCTGGCATAATGTGGCGCAACTCGAACATGGACCTGGCTCTGAACCTGAAGAGTCCGAGGAGGCCCGTAGCAGACTTTGGCAATTTCTTTATTATTACTAGCGTTTCGCTGGCTGTCCTTTTGGGCCGCTGTGGCAAAGAACAGAACTCTCGGCCGGCTGTCACAGCTCCGCTGATCATTATTGTTCTGCCCTGGCTGCTCCTCCATGTTCTCTGGAGCTCCTCGCCCGCTCACAATGCAATGTCAATGTTTTGTCTTAATGCGACAATGCTCGATGGCTGGCCTGTCTCGCATGTTATTTAAATGGAGACTCATCCGTTGGGGAGTGAGGATTTACAGACCCTGTTGGCCGGGACCAACGTCAATTTATTATATATTTATATGGCCAGCAGTTCGCTTCTTAAGTCATACGTTCGTTCTGGCCATAAATTAAACGATCTTGATGTTGATGTTGCTGTTGTGGACGCTGCACAAGGTCGCGTGTGGTTGTTGCTTGCCGCCCAGTCGGCAATTAAACGAGTTAATCACAGTTCGATGATTTGTCAGTTGCACCGCAAAGGCGGCGGGTGGATATAATCGCCTGACGAAGGTCGTCCTCCCTCGGCCATCAGCGTGTGCACTGGACTGTGGAGCTTCTTTTTACTCCGACGATGACATCATCCGCTGACCGGATTCTCGACGAGCTGCTGCTAAAGCCCAAGAAAGATCGTAATTATTGGGAATGAAAGCTGCTGGTTGCAAGCTGCTTTTATGAGACTTTTGAATACAAAAACACTTTAAAATTTTAATGGCCATCTACTGGTCATTAATTTCATAACATTATCATAAAAAATTGAAGTGAAATATGTGTTTCTAAAAGCGACTGCGTGTTTAGTTGTAATAAAAAATGTAATCTTTTTAATTAATTCCAAGAATATTTAAGTATTTCTAGACGTACATCATAGGGGATAATAAATTATGCCATTAACTGAGTTTAGGAAAAGGAAAAAGGGAAAATATAAGCTTAAGTGGGGTTTTTTTTTAGGTAGAATTAAAAATGTAATATAATAACACAATATAGAGATATTCTAGACGAGCTGTTACTTTTTGGACTGGCTGTAATAGAATCTACATTGTAATAAAGTCAACATTGTCTATCTAATGTTGACTTTAATTATTATGCTTCTTTATTTTACAAATTTTTGTTCAACGATCTCTCGACTTATCAACCTGAAATATTTATTTTTAAAATATTTCATGAGTCGCAACACTTTGTACATCTTTCGGCCTGTTCCGGACTTTTACTTTCCCTAATGCTGTGCAGACAAACAAAAGTTTCGCTTTAGTTATCCCAGCAGCCACGCCCCCATCAGCGGCCCCCAAGTTGGCAAGTTATAATTTAGCTTTCAGCTTTGGCTGCCGCTTTGCTGACTAAGCGGAGAACACCGCCGAGGAGAAGTCTCTAATCGGACGCGTACTCGGACTCGTACTCGGACTTGGACTCTCGGTCTCGCTTGGTTCGCCCGTAAATTATAGCCTCGTCTGCAGCTTTCCTATATAAGTATATTTCTGTTTGTCTGCGGTTGTGTATCCACACCGATGGGGAGAGAGAGAGAGATGTATTCGTATCGGTGGCTTTGTGTATTTTTAGGCTGCATCTTAATTCCAGAGACCAACCAGTTCGCCTACACGAGCCGAATGTCGCCTGTGTTTGGGCTGTGTATATATTTCGCTTTTATTTCTTCATTTTTCTCGCGTAATTCTTTTGCACTTGGCATTTATCAAGCTGGCCGAAGGCTGAAGAGGAGGGGGAAGTGCGAGCTGTTAATTCTCCTCTCTGATTGCCTTTTAATAAGCCACCAAGCCGATACTTGACCAGTGTGCTGATCGTGAATGTGGGGGCTTTATGAGTTTATACATTTTCATTTTTCTCGTCGATATTATCTTGCTACCTTGGCTGTGTTTTATTTTTTTGTTATTTTTTTTTATTTATTTTTTCGTTTTAGCGTGTCATGTTCCTTTCCCAGCAGTTGTGTTTGTGTAGGTGTCTTGTTTGGTCTTTTGTTTTTTCGCCGCGCTCGTTGCTTGGTTTGTTTAGTTGTCTTGCCTGTGTAAGGCAGCTTGCAGGGAGAGCCTTAAGTTAATGACTAATGTGTCAGGGCTTTCGGGGAATATGGGGGAAACTGTATGTATGGCATGCATATAAGGCAGGAAGAGCAGCGGACTGAGTGAATCATGACAGGGCCACACTTGAGACGAAGCTCCCAACTTCATTAGTCCGCGAGCAAGCGCAAGTTCGTTGCCTCAGTCTTTCGTTTTTTGGTCAGAAAAAAGCACCAACGTCGCCCCCGCCACCGCCCAAAACGAAGATCGTTAGATTCGGCCATCACTCCAAATGGCCACAAATTGTGTGTGTACCCCACGACTGAAAACGAGGTCACTTTAGCGGGTTTAGCAAAACGAAAACGAAAAAAAATATCCATTTTGTGTTTCATTGCGCACTGCGAATGACGAATGACATCATGAAGCCACAGCTTTTTGCCTGCACTCCGATCTCAGCTTATACATTTTAAATGGAAGTGTAGAATTAATTGGGACTTACCTTTGGCCTGGGCTAATCCGCAGAAGAGGGCCGCCAGCCACAGAGAGCGCCACATTTGCATTGAAAGCAGCATTTCCCCAAAATTTCGGATCTAATTGGTCGGGGAAAACGGAAAGACAAACGGCATATTATTATTATAAGCATTTCGACCGAACGAACGAACGGCACATGCTCCACAAGCGGGCCAGCATTTCATTTGTATTCTTGGCCTTTTGTCGTTTTCACAGACACAAATATATAATATATATATATAACGTTTGCTGCTCGTTCACCATCGCGCACACACACACAGCAAATTATTATGAAACAAAGCCAGAAGAGAATGCCCGGAGCCGAGAGCGCCGTCAAGTGGCTTGCGGCGACCGCTCAACAAATCAAAAACCAAATGACAACGGCAAATAAAAAACGAAACGAGCCGCGAATGAACCACACATCCCATCACAGAACTCAACACACTCGGCACGGAGCGGGGCTTACTTTTCGGCTGGCTGGGAGGAATTCAAACTCAAGGCGGGACCGACGAGCACGTCCAAGCAGTTCGCTAGTCGCCAGGCAACTGAGGCTCGGCTGGAACTTCATCAGCCGCATTGGTGGCGAAGCGGGAGAGCCACAGCCAGCCAGTGGTGCTGCCTTCGTCATTTCATTGTTGGCTGGGTGGGAAAAATCGAATGTTAAAACTGAACGAGTATATAAAAAGGTTTTTAAAATTTTACTTGCAGCTTGAAGAGAGCCAGAAGGCAAATTATCTTGAGAGTAGAACAAATCGCCAGGGTTTTGCAGGCTTTGAATTATGTTGGAATTGTGTTTCTATAATTTCCTGATGGGATTAAGTCAGACCTCGGGGTTTCAGTTTCTTTCCTGATAAGCGTACATTTTCCTGGAATAAACAATACAAAATTTTTAAATTATTAATTTATTCATATTTTCTGAATTTAAAAGTGAAACATATTATTCTTTTGGTATAATTATTCATTGGGTTATAAAAATAAAGACTTAATTTGCATTCTCAACTGATATATAGTATAAAATATCATATCACCATAAGAATTAACGCCTAGAAAGCAAAAATGTTTAGAACTAATAAAATATATTAACAAAATAATATTAACCCAAGTCCCAGAGTACACATACCCAATGAGTCAAATAGCCAACACTGCCAGAACAGCAAGCACAGAGCGTGAAGACTGTAAGAGGGGCGATAGCAGGCCTTTGGCTGTTCACAGTGCATAAATAAGGCCGACAATTACAAAAGTGCTATTTGAAATTTATGGGCATATTTGAATAAATATTTAGATAAACCGCACAAATATAAACAAGCATGCGCCAAATGGCCCCACTGTGCCAATCGCGCCGGGCTTTCGCTTGAAAAGCTCTCCACCAACGAGAGCGCGGCTTGAAACTTGCAGTAAAAGGATCGCTCTTGTTCTCTCGCCACCGCTAGCTCTCCCACTCTCTCACTGAAAGATAAAAATCAGCCGGTTGTTTTGTCTCATGACTAAAATGAGAAATTGTGGGAGCGCAAAATCTTACAAGCAATTATGCAATCTTGTCTCTGCGGCGTTGTTTTTGCTGCCGCTGCATTGTTGTCAAAACAAACATTTATGTAATTGTGTTTGCTATCAGCACGAACGGCAGGTTCTCACCGCCAGGAAGTATTAGTTCAAAATCGGGCAGGTAATGCTGCGGATAATCGATGCAGTACTTACGGTAGTTGCACTTCCGCCAAAAACCGTTCCATTCCTTCGCCACTGGTCATCTGGTGCAGTTAGGACCCAGAAAGTGCTCCAAGTACCGCCCGAGTGTGCCCAATTTCACACCTCTTGGCTACGCGCGTGCTTAGGCATTATTCATTACGCTCCTCGACTTGTTAGTTTTCCAAACCAATGGCCATCCCGTCATTAAACGGCAACAAGAGCCAAATAGGCCGGCCGGCCACAGGCTCCTCCAGAACGGTAAATGACGTGCAAATAAGTGCACCCAAGCGAGCGCACTAATTAAATTTGCTTATTTCGCCTCCACCTCCACCGGTGGTTATTACATAGTTGCATCATTTAGAAGGGGAGAATAAATTAGGCGCCTGGTTAAAATAAAATCAAAAGGCAAGTATTCAACCTAAAAAATCCCAAAAAGTTGAAACTTCCCAAAAAATCCAGAATTCCAATTTTCATCGGATTATCAGAGGATTACAGTTAGAAACGTAACGAATAAGATTACGTTACAGTTTGAAACGTAACGAATATGATTACGTTACAGTTTGAAACGTAAAATGTTTTCACATTCCTTAACATGTTTTTAAAAGCATTGATGCGAATTACCTAAGTTTGACAAGCACTGATGCGAATTACTTAATACTTGACAACCCTATACCGTGTTCTCTCCGCTTATTCGTGTAACGCCCGATCTGGCAACACCGTCGGTGCAGAGACAAAATGGAAGAAAACGAAAGAGAATCAAGGAGGAAAAAGCCCCGTTCCAATTGTTTCAGCTGTCGTCTCGCTCGCTCTTCAAGGGTTCCAAGTTAACGGAATTGCGGAATTGCGGAATTTCGAGGAAAAAGCAAGCGACTTTATATAATTATTGTTTTGGACAAGTAGAAACATCTCGCATTCATAGGCCGGGAAGTGTGCAATACAAATATTAAACAATTAATGTATTCACGCACAAGCCAGACTGCAAATGTTCGTGCATTCGTCCGACACCTTTTACTTTCACTGAAAACTAAAGCGTACACTATCTGACGAATAGCCCAGACATTATCAGGCCGGTATGTGTGCAATATGAATCAAAATCACGTATTGACACAGATCCCGTCCTGACCAGTGTCTGGTAATATTTTACCCAAAACAAAAACGCAAATTCTGTTGATCAGTCTGAATATTATAAGGCCGGTATGTGTGCAATACGAATAAAAAGCAAGTATTGACACAGATCCCGTCCGAATCATGGTCCAGAAAATAGTCTAAAATTACACTTTTAGCTCGTTGGTTGCTGCCACAAATCCATAGGCCGGGGCGAGTGCAATAAGTACGTTGGTAATGCCCATTGCCACCCCCACCGACGTACAGATCAAAGGCAAATTCCAAGTACCCGAACAATTGTCTAAATTTTTGTTGCGATGTTTTGGGCCGCCTTGATCTGGCCGTTTCAAGTGCAATTCTGGCTATTAACCACAGATTTGCACCTCAAACAGCACAGACCTTTACGGCCGGAGCTTTTGTTTATCTTCTTTCAAGAAGACTTCGTAGCCAGCATTGCAGGGCCATGGAATGAGCAATACTGGAAATTACACCGTAGTAATAGCCCAACCCACAGCCTAGCAGTGTTGAGGACAAATACCACAATTACTAAATTTAATCGACCACTCGCGACAAGTTTTTAAAACCGAATGCCGGGCAACGATCCCGAGAACAAAACGGCGGCGCAAAAAGAACATTTTCACATTTCTTCTTTGCACCGGCATTCGTAGCAGGGACAAAAAGGAATGCGACAAGTTAGAGCGAGATGGCTATAGGACGCAGTTAGCCGATGTGTATACACACAAACGCAGAGAAAGAACTTATGTTCCACAAAAGTTAAGAGCCGGAAAACAATTAAATTCATTTATTTATCATTGCACAAAATCCTTAACTACATACTACGAATGCTTCCAAAATAAAAACAAAAAAACGGGGCAAAAAAACATGATGTTATCTTTAAAATTTTATATTAAGACTATCGTCGTAAAACAATTAATTTATAATTCCATGAGTACTTACAATATAAATATTTACATAGTTTTGAAAGTTAAATGTTTTCTTCTTATTTGACACAAAACAAAAAATTAAAATAACAAATAGCTGCCGCGCCGCCAGATATCGTGAAGACAATTTAATAATTCATTTTTCCATGTATTTTCACCTATCCCACTTTTTTTTATGTTGCAATTGCAGAATTTGAGTTCCACTTCAAAAGACCTTTAAATACAGACTTAAAACATGTACTTAAGCTAATTTGAAGGGGAACCACAAAGCTGCGATGAGTTTGGCACTTATCAACCGATAGAATTGTTTTTAAAAATATATAGACCCCGAATGACTTATTTTGAACAAATACACAAATTAAATAATTCGGGGTTCTACACACTTGGAAAAAAAAAGTTCTTGTTAGACCCAGCAGCTCCTTTACGTCCGGCGGATGAATTCGACAAGAATTTGATTAACCTCGAAACTTTTTTGACAGTGTTGCAAGATGTCTTTTTACACTACGGCCACCACAAAGATGGTGCATGTGTGCGAACTAAAAAAAACGAGGAAAACATAACCTTAATTTCAGAATGCATAAGCCATGTATGTACTGTGCACAAATAGTTTCCACAAAAAATATAATACAATTAAATAGCCTTGACTGGGAGGCAATTTAATATATTGCATAATTTCACTACCTTTTTAACTTTTATTATTTTATTTTTTATTAATTTTTTTTGCAGAATTCCGATTACGTTCATAACCTTAATACAGACTCAAAACAAGTATGAATGCAACCCCGAAACTGCGATACGGCCATAGACTTTTGCGACTGTTCTTCAAAATATGTAGAGCACGTATAATTTATTTTGAAGAAATACACAAATTAAATTATTCGTGAACCTACAAACTTTAATTCAGAAGCTCTCTCACATGCGGCGGATGACATCGAAAATAACCACAAAGACAATTGGATTAACCTCCAAACTTTCGGGCAGTGTTGCAAGATGTCATTTTATATTTCGTGCGCGACGGTTACAACGACCAATAAAATTGTGCGTGTGTGCGAATTAAAAAACAACCGAAAAATAATCTTAATTTCTGTACATATGGATCGAATCGAAGTACAAGGTTTTAAGGGTTCTGCAATGCACAAATTGGTTCCACAAAAATTTTGCACAATTTTACTTTTTTTCACTTTTCAAACTTGTTTATTTTTGCAGAATTTAGATTACGATTCATATTGACCTTAATACAGACTTGAAACAAGTACTCAAGTTAATATGAATGCAACCCCGAAGCTGCTTACGGGTGTCACTTGCCAACTTTTGCGATTGTCCTTCAAAATATGTGGACCACGAATAATTTATTTTGAAGAAATACACAAATTAAATAATTCGTGTATCTACACACTTGGAAAAAAAAACGTTTTTTTACACCCAAAAACTCCTTCACGTCCGGCGGATGAAATCGAAAAGAACCACAAACACTTTCGATTAACCTCGAAACTTCTGGGACAGTGTTGCAAAATGTCTATTTAAGCTGTGTAAAGATAATGCATGTGACCGAAGACTGAATTATAACCTGAATTTCGTATGTAAATTGAGCAAATTTAAATCCCTGAAAAATTCTATAACAATAAAGTAAAAAAGCAACAACACGTAAATGTATATAATATATAATATTTATATAATGCTAGCCTATAGTTAGATGCTATATAATATAATTTATGTAATAATATATGTACATTATTTAGTTTTCAGGTGGCAAATAGGAATTATTTATAGAATGCTGCAGCTCCAATAGTTGCCTAATATCCTTGTACTGGGCCGTCTGCTGCTCCATTTTGGCCGTTAGTTTGACTCGTTCGTTCTGCACGGTTTGCAGCCGTTCTCGATTAGCTTTGCTTTTGGCCATGGAAATCTGCAAGTTTATTAAAATACAATTATAATAACAATAAAAACTTAAACAAACTAACGATGGGTCCCTACCTCGAGATCTTTTTGCTGTGCCTCCAGCTGCCTCTCCATAAAACGAATGCTGGAATCCAAGAGGCGCATGCGCAACGGGCGTGTCAGCTCCTCCGGGCTCAGACTATTCCTAAGGGCGAAAATAAGGTCAAGTCGGTGTGGGCAAGATTCTAGATTATCAACCTACCAGTCTTTGCCCTCGTAGGGCGCAAACTTTTCCTTGAGAACCTCCAAAGTCACTAGCTTGTTTTCCACATCGTTCTTGTCGAAGAAGAATTGATTCATTTTGCCCAGAACGGTGGTCATCTGTGTGCGCATGGTGTTTACCAGCTCCTCTGTGTCCAGCACGGAGTCCTCGTGCTCCAGGAGAATGTCAGAGAACGCTTGCAAGTCTGAGGGACTGAAATAAACAAATAATATTATAGTTGTTTACGATTTCGCAGCCCTTTTGCTCACCTCAGATCTGCAAACACTTGTCCAATGACCTTGTCGTACTCCTGTTTCACCTGGGGCATGATACTCTGGTGCCGCTTGAAGGCGGCTTCTACGTCCTCTTCCATTTTGGCTAGTTGTTCGACGTTTTCCATATTGTTTCAGCAAGTTTGCAATTTATTTAAAATCAAAACAAAATTGGCTGCCAAGCGCAAGTGCGGCCGTTTGCTGCTTCCTTGAAATTACCAAAGCGATAAAAAATAGTAAGCTATCGTCTATCGCTGGGCAGCACTGGTGATCTGCCCATATCAGATCTGGTTCGAAAATTAGACAAGGTTCGATAGTATAATGTTAAGCCACTGTTGCTCTCTCTAGATTCCATAAGCAAAAGTCTGTTAGCGCTCTCAATTTGGGAATTCCATAAGCAAATTCTGTTAGCGCTCTCATTTTAACAGAAAATTATGTTACGCTCTCATTCTGGGGAATTCCATAGGCGAAACTCTGTTACTCTCATTTGGTTGTAGTATCAGATGTGGTTCGAATATTAGATAGTAGAATATCGATACCTATCGATTTATAATAGCTATCGATAGCCGACGCCATTTTGCAACTCATCGTTTGTGCATTTTAACTCTAAAGTGTGTTTGTGCTATCAATTTTAAACAATAATTTACGCTCGCAGGCAAAACGTGTTGAATAACAATTGGGTGTTTGTGTGTACCGGCAGCAGATCGAGTTTTGTGGCAGCAGCGCATTAGCAGCCCGAAGAAAGCAAAGGCATCCCGATAGGTGAGTTGTTTTTTCCTGGGGACGCGCTGGGAGAGATACGAAAGAAAAGCGAAAACCAGGAAAAATGTGTGCAAGTGTGGCTGTGTGTGTGTGCGCGGTGTTGTGTTTTCCCGAATACATTTTCTGCGAAAAGTTTTGCCAATACATACAGTACGTGCAGGCCGATTTTCTTCCGCTTTAGCCACCCCCCCACCCCCGATCGTTCTTTTGGCTTCGGCGCTTCACTTTTACATTTTTTTTTACAACCACCAGGGCACACAGAAATATTCCTAGCTCTCTCTCGCTCTGCCGCTGGCGCTCCCACCCGCCCGCTCGCCCACCCTCTCTCTCGCTCGCACGCGTACCGGCTTTTACCAGAGGTACAGAGTCGCCTGCATTGTTGTTGCTTTTGCCCCATCCGCTTTAGTGGCTTGTTTTGTTTTTCTTTTCTTTCGCGTATTTCCACGCGGTTACCGGCGCATATAATTTCATTATAATTTACAGAGATAAAATCAAAACAAAATAGTTTCGTTACTCCAAAAGCGACGAGGCTCCCACGCTGCCGAGCGGCGATAGCAAAAGTCGGGTTCAACGCTCGCGCCAGCCTACAAATAAGGAAAGAGCCTAACCTATATTTTATTCATACATAGTTGGGCCCATTGTTGTTGTAGCATCAATCGATGGGGGCAACGAAGAAGAAGAAGAATAGGTGGTGGAGGAGCAGCGCTAATGAGAGAGGCAAATAACCGTTCAATAAGAGAGTTGCTGTTGGGTGCAGCTCGTTACCAACGAACCTCATTGTGTCCCCCAAATACCCCCCTGTGCTCATCCCCCGCCCTTTCACCCTCTGGCATTTCGACTCTCTTTTTCCAATGATTATTTTTTTTTGCTTGCACAACTTTTGAGAGTCGTCGCAGATTCCAACTTTTGCTTTTTGTTCTTTGGCTGGCGATTCCGCCTGGTCTTTGTTTAGATTTCCAGTTTTGTGCAAAAATTCGCTTTTATTTGCCTTGTTTGGTTGATTTATTTTCGTGTTTGTTGCCGTTTTGCCGAGCTTGTTGCTGTTGTTGTTCTAGCATTTATTTCGAGTGAAGCAATCCAAAAGATATTTCACAGCTATTCGCGCGCGCGTTCATTGACATTGAACTAAATTCTCAAACAAATACTGTACAGCAAAGATTGTTCACAAATACATTTGTTAAATTCAAAATCTCATTAAATTTAGCATAGATACAGCTCCAGAAATGATCAAAATAACGTCTACTTGCGGTCAGTTTCTTAGATGTTTCATTTCACGAATTTCTTAAACAGAAGTTTTATCAAATTTTAAAAGGTACTATTATTAAAAAAAACTAAAGGTTTTTGGTTTTACATTCTATGAAACTTCTTTTAATTAAAATCAAATCTCTTTTAGACAAGTTGTCTTGCTTCGAGGAAAAAAAAAAAAAAAAACAAAACAGCAAAGTTGTTTACTTATTTCCTTGTAGATTTTTTATAACGAAAAGTATCTCATTTTATGTTTTATAATTATCGATCCATCAAAAATGTGTATAGAAATTATATAGTTTTAGGCATATCATATGACTTCCAAATCAATTTTCTTAGTTATCCTAAAACTATATTTTTTGTAATTCTTATTCATATCTTTTCCATGATATCTACTCTTTCCAGCTTAGTTTGCGAGCTTTACATTTTGTCATCGTTGAATAAAGAACATGACAAGTAGGTATCGTGCTGTTTGTTTGCTTGGTGTTTTAGCCAAAAATCAAGAATGGCCAAAAAGCTAAATTCAAATGTGAAATTTCTCCCACATTGGTGTGTCGGTAGGGCCTAGCTGGCACATTCTCATTTATTTGTTTCCCCTCGCTGGTGTTTGTTTCGTTGCGTTCTGTGCTGCTCATGTAGTCGTATCATGAAAAATGTATGCTGTTTGCCATATTTTCAATGCAATCAGCTTAACATGGGCAAAATGAAATAAATAAAAAGTATAAAGTATTATTGCGGTGCTGCAATTGTGCCGCAAGTTGTTGTTGTCGTTGTTGGCTGTGTATGTAGGTTGCTTTGATGTTGTTAATTTCCCACATGAATCTATTTTCTGGTTGAGATACGGAGGGTCGAGAGAAATCTCGGCTAACTTGGCCCGCATTTAGGTGAATTTAATAAATTTATGTTATGTGGGGCTTATACGGGTTAACTAGGCCTGTCGCTCCCAGTGAAATGTAGATTTCTACCGAGAGCTTTCGACGTCAAGAGTGTGCCATTCGATGGTAATCCCTTCTCTGTACTCCCCCCTTTAACTATATATTCAATAGCATTCGCAAAACATGTTCCACTCAATGATTTCCGACGATTGCTTTTGTCTCGAATGACAGACGAAAAATGTTGAAAAGAAGAAGCGGCAAATATTTTTATGCAAAACACTTGGAACACGTTTCGTAGCCAAGCAAGACCCAGTCTTATTGAATTCCAAAACCTTGACTGGTATTTCTATTGCTGCGAAACGATTCTTATATTTCCAATTAATTAGCCAACGATGGATTGTCGAGAGATGCAGTTGACAAACGAAGAACTAGATAAGGCCAAAGTAATAAAGGATGAAGGCGGCTGGCTTTGGTGGGGGCGAAAAGAAGGAAAGTACTTTTCAATCGAAGTCTTTTAATAATGCAACAACTTGGGGGCTGTACGATTGGTGAGGGAACAGGTATACTTAGGGGAAAAAAACTACACTGAGACATGAGTTAGGATTGATTAATCATTATTATTATTGGTAACAAATATCGTTCAAAGGACCAGTTCCCAATCATAATAAAATATTAAAGCCAGTAGCTCAATTATATGGAACTATTTTCTTCTTACTTTTTCAAATAAATTGGTTTAATAAACAATAATAAAGTTCTGTATATTATTTTTCCTATGTGTAGCAAGTCGAACTATAGCCGGCAGTCTGTGGAAGTTGGAAAAGAACAAAACAGGACGACTAAACAGAGCAGAGTAGTCCGAGATAGAATGGAATAGAATAGTGTGCGATAGAGCAGCAACAACTACATGGCACACGCCATAAGCACATTAGTTATTAGCGCAAGGGACCAGCTGAACACCCACACCCACTCCTCCACCCAAGCCTTAGAGACACACGCGATGGCAGAAGTTGGTCGGCTCACCCGCCCCGGGCTCACTCGCTAAGCACGCTGACATGTCCATAAAAGCCTTGAAGTGGACAGGCCACAGAGCACAAACACAGGACACAACACCAATACACAAACACACACACACAGCACACTCTGTCCGAGGGGCGTCTATCTATTCTACCGGCATGGGCGATGGGAATTGTCAATTCTATGCATTTCCGCTTATACCCCCAACTTTTGTGGCCATATCCACAACCTGGTTCCTTCCCCCTTTTCTTTTTTGGTTAGACATGACGTCCATTAGCTGTTTTTCCGCTAAATTATAGAGTTGGAACGCATATACCCGCCGCCCAATTACGCTGGCAAAAAGCACAGCCAGAGGTATGGAATGGGACAGTACGTACGGCCAGGGGCGTGATATATATTATATATAAACGTGACACGACTTTTTTAAAAATAGTTTGATTAAGCCTTAAATCTTGTAGGGTTTATAAAGATCTTAATCTTTACCTAGGTTCAATCGATTGAGATATATTTAATTAAGAATCTGGCAATAGATAGCAATACAAGATATATAGTTATAACAGATTATTGAAAAAAATTCATTTCTAAGGAAGATAGATAGATATAATTAACAGCTCTGTAGTTTTTAAGCTTAATGATCAGTGATCCTATCACGCTCCCATCTCTGATAATCGGGAATACCTAAAAGGTGGCAAAAGGAAGAGGGCCAGAAAAAAAAGAAAGGCAAGGAAAACGAGAGCTTACGAGTGTGCATGTATATATTTTCTTATGCTTTTTTTTTATGTTTTTGGTGGGTAACCACGAACCGCGTTTTCATGTGGCCTGCCACGTTTTGCTGGACATAAACTCTGCAACTGTGCTTCCCCTGTCCAGCTTTGTACTGCCATTGTTGCTGCTGCTGGTGGTGTTGTTGTGGTGCTTGCGTTTTTGTGGTCAGCCTATACACCTGTGTATTAGTGTATTGGCCTGAGGGGATACATGCACGGGAAAAAGGTTTCAAGCGCTCAGCTCACCTGGCCGAGCAACTTAAATTATTGTCCCTCTCGCTGTTGCTGCTGGTGGATGGGATTTTCGGTTTTTGGTGGGGATGATGGTGGGAGGAGGAGGGAGTGGTGGTTGGGTTGGGTTGGGTTGGCTCGGTTGGTTGGCTGGACGCGTGTGCGCTGTCAAAAGCTATTTGAACAGGATGTGGACAGCAATCAAATGATTTTCACATAATTGCTTACCTGTCATTTATGTCACTTTCAGGAATGCGAGCTTGCTGCCTGCTTACTCGCTCCGCCTTTGCTTTACTACCCTTTCCTATGCTTACGTTTTGTTTTTCTGCAGCAACTGGGAAGCTGTGTAAATGTTTGTAGAGTAGAAAAAGCTTTCTTTTTCGGCCTGACCGCAAGCAAACTGCACTCGGAATTAGGTGCTGCTGATAAAGTGGAAAAGGAAAGTAGGCAGTGAAGATTGCCACCCCCTATTTGCCACTTCCGCTTCGAAATTGCTCCTGCGGCCTAAAACTTCCCTATGGCACACTGAAATTGTGCTCTATAATTAGATCCCCAATCCATTTGGAACGGCTGTTGAATTTCTCAGAGTATCATTAGTTATTAGACAAGTGCTGGGGGAGACGGCGGCGGGCCCATTAACTATGTGGAGCATACACACATTCAAATGTCTTAAGGGAGTTCATCCCGAAGTGCTGTGGAGGTTTTAAAATTATTGCAATTTGCCTGAATAATGCATGTGCGTCAGATCCAACTGCTGGGACAGTTAAGGATAATGATGGCACTGCCATATGCCACGTCATCGGTGGAAGGCCGCTGCCTCCCCCTTAATGATATTTGTCCAGGTCAGCGCAATTTGTTGCATTTCACAGGCATTTAGTCCAAGGAACTATATGGCAAAAGAATTGCTCTATCAATAGTTAAACGTTTTGTTATCCTAGACGAACGAACGGCCAGGGTACCGCCCATTATTGTCTTTGGTAGTCCTCCGTTTAGCCAGCTCCCTGAAATATGCGTAATGTGAAAACATCAGCTGAAGTTAATCGAAAATTCATAAAGCTGCAAGAAAGACTGCAGTTCTTGTGGCCATATTTCAGGCCCTGGGTTATTAGTCTAATGTCGAACTATAAATTCATTACGCAGCCCACACATGTACGAGAATTACTATACAATTGCTGGTTGGATATAGTATATAACCTCATATATAGTATATATTTGGGAGGGCTCTACTATATAGTATAAATCCATATTTCACATATGTAGAGTTCCAATAAAAGTGCAATGTTCCTCCCTCAATATATATATATATAGTTATATATATTTGTATATGGAGTATCTGCCCGCCTTTCGTACATAGGAACTTATCTATTCCATGGTTCGTATAGAGCTTCTGTTATGGTCAGTTTAGTACAATTATCCTGGTTGCCTAGCATCCGGTGTCTATAAGCGGTCACTTCCCCTATTTTTCGGTATTGTCACTTGATTTGTACGATTTCTATTGGTCGACAACTTCCGTTGTCCATATAACGATCCTATAGCTTCCGATTGGTCAACCCTTAGGCATCATATCGACGGATTTCCCGTATAAATAGCGCCAGTTTGTCTAAATTGTGTTCATTAGTTTTTGTTCAGGACCCACGGGCCGTGCTTCCTGCACACTGGCTCTTTCGAATTTGTTGGATCCTCAGAGCTTAGAGTGTTATGTAACTACTAGAAAAAAGTCTGTGAATGTGAAAGAAAAATCTATAAGATATTTGCCAAAATTAAAGAGGAAAATAAAAATCCTAAGTGAACTCTTGTGATACTAATTTAAAAAAACAAAAGAGGTAAAGTTGTGATGGAAAAACATGTTCGTACTTAACACAGTGATGTAATAAAAACCTGAAAAACTTAAGAACTCTAGTTTGGGCATTCGCAGAGACCTATTATTAAGATCGAGGGGCTTGTGCTTTTGACCTCTGCTTGATTTTCTTGGAAAAGCTCTTTTAAAAAGTAATTAAGCCAGAGAACATCTCACGATGGCCAAATTCCAGCAATTCACAATTGCATCATTCATCCATACAACGACCTCATCTTCTCCGAATCGAAGGTGGTGGTGGCAACCCTTTCTTTAAGCTCTTCCCACGCACACACAGGCCTCACATAATACACTCTACCTGTACTCCATCGCTCGACAATTTCAATTTCAAGCCGAGTCATTTTTAGAGCCTCCTCTTGGGCCCTCGACAAAATTCATTTAATCTTCCGTCGCCGTCGGTGCCGCCGCTGCTGTTTGCTCATAAATCGGACAGATTTTTGACAACTTAACAGCAGCGGCAGCAGCTCGGACAATTGATGTTTTGACATCTGAGACCACGTAAAAAAGTAAAGCATTAAGCAGAATTGTGGCTTACCGACTTGGTATATGCTCTTTAAATTCAAGAACTATATGATTATACTTGAAGGAATCTAAGCTTTAAACTATTTAGATTAAGCTTTGATATTTTTCTATCTTTACTTTCAAAAATGCTTTTCAAATTCTTCTATCAAGGATTGAAAACATATCCTATTCTCCATAAAAAAGTCTAAATTACAAAGCTCGTTTTGAAAGGGTATATTTCAAATCAGAAAAGGCAAGCAAAAAATGAACACAGTTTATTTTCCTGTGGGCAGAGCACATTCCACACAAAGCCCCACAATTGTTGTATCATATATACACTCATACCCGCTGGCTCTTTTTTATAAATTTATAATTTTTCGTTACATTTTGTATTATTGCACATGCTGCTGGCGGTTCGCTCAATTATGCCAACAAATATATATATACATAAATCATTTTCTGCACTCCTATAAGAGAATACCTTTATATACTAGCATCTGGGTTTAGTTTTGAGCGTTGGTTGTCTGGCATTTCCGCTTTCTGGGCTTTCAGGAGGGGTCCCAAATAGGAGGTGACTAGGTGGAGGTGGCACTGAACGCTTGCCTGCTGATTGATGCTACCCAGATTGGAAGCTCAGCGCGGGGCGTTGTTGAGATGCTTGATCGCCAGTCAAGTGCAGCTGCGGCACGAACCAGATCGGATCCAGCCCAGAGCAGAGCTTGGCTCTGAAATGGAAACTGAATTGAATTGTTATTCAATTGCGGTGGGCAACAATGGCAACAAAACCTGCCACTCACCTTATGCCTTCTCTGGGCTCTGTTAATCAGTGGTGAACGATTTTTAAAAGGAGAATACTCTTTTTTTAGTGGGCTGAGGAATTAAACAATAATTTATATAATAATAATAAATGTATATAATAGATTTTGACTTGGTTTAACTTAATAAAATTTGAACTTATTCTCTTGTCTTAATGAAGCCAAATTTATTTAAAAGATTTTTAGGCATTACTAAAGCAAAGATTGCTTTGAATATTAATTTATATTAAACTTATCCAACAATAGCTACGATACAAAGAAATCCATTTTCCTAGTCTATTTATAAACCAAAGATTTCCAGCTGTTGGCACAAGTTTACAATTTTCTACATTGCTGGGAAGTATAAATTGTATTCAAAAAAAATATATATAAACATAGAAACACATGTACACTTTTTAAAGAGCTTTTTTTTAGATTATAGATTTGAAATATTCCAATTAAATTTAATAATTAAAGAAAAAATAGCTACATTGTCAACTCTGTTATTCAACCCACAATGACTTACTGCTGCCTAGAGTTTGTGCCTCCGGCAGCTCGATTTTATGTGTCAGTTGAGCCAAATCGGGCTAGAGATCAACATACACAGTTGGCTAAAACAATTGCGAGTCTAATCGAATGCCAAATTCCGCCTTTTCAATTGCAGAGAGACTGAGAATGAAGCGCGAAATGAACGATGCAGGGGAGGGACCACAGGACCAGAAGCGTAACCGCCGCAACGAGGAGACAGTGCGCATACTGATACCAAGCAGTGTAAGTGCTTAGTCTTAAATAAAACCAATAACTTAATATTAACCTACAATTATTTTCCTTATTATTTTATTTACAGATTGCTGGCGCTGTGATCGGCAAGGGAGGACAGCACATTCAAAAGATGAGGACTCAGGTAATACTATATTAAATCTAAGTTCAATAATCATGAAACCATGAAAAATATAGAATCACAAAATGCATAATTCACAATTGAAGCGTCTGGTATTATTTACAATTATGTTTTATTTGTTGCACCACAAATTAGAAACTCTCAAGCGAAAAGTAACCTAATCGAATCGAATCCATGTCCCCCAGTGAATCCCGAAAGCGTCTGCCTCCGTTTTTGTGTGTCTCTCTAGTGAACTCTGTCTCCCACTCTCTCTCTCTTTTACTCTGTCCACCACTATCTCAAAATTCTCTTGACTTTGTCTCTGGCAGTCAGTCATTTAGTCTTTGATCTCCGTCCTTCAATCACAAGCTCGAACCAGAGTTCCTAAAACCCCCAAAAACCGAACCGAACTAGAAAGAGAATTCTGTCTTGTGTGCCGGTCCAGGTTCCCCTTTTCCCTACTCTTATTCTCTCCTACTCTCTCTCTCTGATACTCTTTTCCCTCTATCACTCTTTCTCTGGGCGTAGGAGCCTGGAGAAGTCTAGAAAGAAATCGAAAATCAAACACGCTTCTCACTAACTCGGGTCTCTGCACTCAGCTAATACTCTTTCTTACATACTCTCTCACTATCTATGTCTTTGGCTACCGTTTTTGAGTCTATTTTACTCTTTATTTATCGTTTCGTTACTCAAAAAAGGAAGCTTCCAAGTACAACAACATTTCGATAGGAAATTAATCCACGAAGCTTGGGTGTTAAATGAAATATATACTACAGGCGCTTTATTTAATCGGGACAAAAAAAAAAAAAAAATAAAATAGTTTTTGTATAACTCAATAAGAACCACATGAAAATAAAACGATAAATTTACACGCTAATTAACCTTTTAACTAAATGAACAATTTTCTCTCTCTCTTCTCTCTCTCTCTCTCTCTATTCTTGCGTACACCCCATATGTAACCAATGAATCAATCGATTTTGATTTCGATTTGAAAATAAAACCAAACTATCGTCGGTTCGCACGCCCAACATATATAAAACCAAATCTTCAACCGCTCATCTGAACCGAACTCGAATCGAATCTCGAATTGAATCGTATCGAATCGAACCGAACCGATATGAACCGAACCTCCGAACCAACCAAATATATCGCCCGCCCGCCCGCACCATCACTCTGCACCGCTGGTCCATGGTCTCTGGTCTATATGTATGTCCCGCCCGGGTACTGGGTAACCTTGGATCTGTGTCTGTATCCGAACTACTGGCCCGATGTCAAAATCTGAATCGAATTGAAATCGCCTTGCACCCCCTGTTGCCGTGCACACATTATGCTACAAAATCTGCCTATGAACGCCTATATATAAATATTCTAATATTCATATATATAAATATATATGTTTTGGGGACTCCCCTTCCCATGTGCCATGTGTGTGGGTTCCCTATATCCCCCTTTCCCTGTGAAATATCTCTATCCATGTAACGAAACCGAATGAAAACGGCGAATCAATCAACCCAACCGATCAAAAACTGAACCGATATCGGCCGCCCTTCGACCGATTGACCATCCAACAAACGCCCGCCCGCCCGCCTGTCTGCCCATCGACCGATACCGATACCGAATCTGAATCTGAAACCGAACGCCCGCCCGCCCATCAAACGCCCGCCCGCCCAACAACCGCCTGCCTGCCCGTCTCCGAATGAAATATGTGTGTGGTGCGGCACAGTATAAAGCCACTGTGTCTGTCGACGATTCCCAAGGCCCCGAACGGTAAACCACAATAAAAATCTTTAACCTTTTACCAATTACTAGATTATAACCACCGCATCTCTCCACCGGAGAGAATCGAAGTGACCTGAGCTGAGCTCAGCTCTCTCCCTCTCTCTACTCTTTCTCTCTTTGTATGTCCTGTATGCGCTAGTTATACCCATATATATATATATATATTTATCATGAACATTGTGATGTGTGATGGATGTCTCTTCCCCCGAAGCAGGCACCCGGTGTCCCGAAGTATCTAGTTGTAGCCAGTATATATCTGTAGTAGTTTGCCTGGCCCAAGCAGCAAGAAGCACCCAGATCGCCATCCAGGTCTAACTCGCTCCGTCTCGCCCTCGTTCTCCGGCTAATCCTAATCCTAATCGCATACTAATCCGCAATGCACCCCAAGTACCACGATTAACAACCACCCATCCCGAAATGCACGGCCTGAGGTATATATGTATATGTATATATATTCCACTGAACTCGGCTAGGAGCCATGAGCCAAGAATCGAGATCCGCATCCGAGATCATGCATTTGTCCACCGATCCACACCCGAATCCCAGCAAGCGTCTTGTGTGTCCTTGTGTGGTATATTGTTGTTTTGAAACAAGGCAACAGGGACTGAAATCTCATTCGCTCTCCCTCTTGTTCTCTCTCTCTTTCTCTATCTAAATCTCACCGAATATCTCTGTACCAAAGTTTGTTCTCTAGTCCCCCGAAGAAAACAAAAAAAAAAAATAAGAGCAATGTTTAGACCTTAAACAATTTCCAGTTAATGTTCAATTCTAATATGCGTTTCCCCTCACTCTTTTTCTCTCTTTTTTCGCCATCACTCACTATCAAAACAAAAACAAAAACCAAACCACTTTCTATGCACGTTTACTGCTCGCTCGATATAGAACCATCCAAATCTCGGCGGATATCGAGTCCACTTTGGAGATAATCACCGAAATGCTGAAATATTTTGAGGAGGTAAGTGTGCCACCGCCATGCGAAATGTGATCCCTACTAATGATAGCGCTCTTTCATGATTTCCGACCCAGCGCGATGAGGACTTTGATGTGCGCCTACTCATCCATCAGAGCTTGGCCGGCTGCGTTATCGGCAAAGGTGGACAAAAGATCAAGGAGATACGCGATGTAAGTAACTGAATCCGATATAATTTTCATATAATTTAAGGGTAAAGAAGATTAAGTTTATAAAACAGTTGTTTCCCCATTTGTATTATTATTATTAATATTTCAAATTGAAATCGTTATGTTTATATTGTCAAAGGTAGATAATTTATAATTATTGTCATACCTCAATTACGGCATAATTATGTATCGATCTTGGTAATTTTGTTTCAATAATGAATTGGGTCAGTATATTACTTTGTGTGGGAAAACCCAACAGCTGACGGACCGGACCACACGACCTGTCACTTATTGATGCCCTTATGTGTCCCCTCTACCAAGGCCTTGGCTGATTACATATTTAGCTCAAGTATTTCCGCTATTTCCCATGTAAAACTCCCATGCCTTTGCATGTGCGATGTGCGTTCACACGGCTATCCGTCGTCCTGCGGTCAACTAACATCGCTAGCCAGCCATGACGAATGAAGGCTAACTTAATTGGGCCTATTACCACCACCGCCGAATGGTGCGACAGCGGCGGTGGCAGGAGTATTTGCTATGTGCCAAGGAGATGCAGGTCAGGACGTGAGGAAGCCCGCATAGTTAGTGTGAATTTCTGACATGTTTTTGACGATCCCGAACGTTTGCGGCAGTCACGTGAAGCTGAAACCCGTCAACATAACTTTGCGCTTGGTTAAATCGAAAACTTTGTACGAGTTACGAGCCAGCTCTGTGCTCTCGGGTCCTGGCTCCTCCATCTGCGCAGTTCCTTGCTCTCTGGCAGCGACAGCAGAATGCAGTTCCATCGATGATAGGACGGTCTGGAATGACGTTCAGTTGGGGAATCTGTTGCTGACGCCTGAGCCACCGCTTTCATAACGCACTTGTCACTTTGCCAGCCTCTTCACCGGCAATCTGAATGGCAGCAGTGCATTGGGTCGGCAGCCAGGATCCAGCATCCAGCAACCGGGACATGCCAAACGCTTTTCAATTGCGCAATTCGCAATTTAAGGCAGTAGGAATGATGGTGGGGAGCGCCCTATTTCTAAAGTGTGGGATGCGTTCGAGTGAGTCAATTGGAAAACTCGACTCCCGCGCACCTACCTGCAATTAGGTTCAGCGCGTGTCCTTCCTGGATGCGATTTGGCTTGGTTCATTAATTAGCGATGAGTGGGGTTGCATTTTAATTGGAATGATGTCCTGCCTTTTGCGAAAGGTGCCTCCTGAATGCACATAATGTGGCAGCAACACCTTCCACCCCCCCAACGGCTCATGCATATTCATCTTTTTACCCATTTGCAGGGCTGCTTTTATGGAGGTCAACAAGTCCGCGGCGGCAAACAAAAAGCTTACGTCTTTAAGTTCCCACAGCCTTCTCCTCTCTCTCTCTCTCTCTCTCTCCTTCTCCTTGGCTTTCTGTTTTGTTATTATGAATTTCTTAGACGCGTTGTGAGGAGATGAGGCTCGCCGCATCCTTGCAGCTGCCTTATTCTATGCTCTGATGGCCACGGCAGATGATCAGGAGCAGCAGCAGTGGAGCAGCGTTTTCAGCTAGCCAAGCATGTGTTTGTCGTCTTGGCATTTGTACCTTTTTCTCTCTAGTCCCTTTTCCTTCTGAAAAGGAAGTCGTCCTCGTTACTTTACTGTCTTCTTTGTTGCGGCGAAGAAAAAAAAAAACAAAACAGGCAGCCACAACTGGCCCTGCAAGCAGCTGTTTCCTTTCCTGGCCTGGCCTGGCTTCATTCTCTTGCTGCTTCCCGCTCTGACTTTCTGTTAAAGCCGGTTTTGCCTGCTGGCTCATCGCTTGGGGTTATCATAATTTCTGCCCTGGGCTTCCTTATATCTCTAAATGTATCTACTTTCTGGGGGGAGGCTCTGCTGCTCTCCAAGAGCTGCATTCTGTTTTGGCAGGATTATTTTTAAAACATTTTCTCCCCCCCAATCGCCAAGTAGAGCTCCAAATTTGTCGCATTTTTTGTACATGTGTTGACTATATATATAGTATTATAGTATACATTTAAATGGCCACGGTTCATAGACAACTGTTTCATGTTTCGTATTTCATGCTGCCCCTTAAAATGTTGTCCTGTGCCAAGAAGAAGGAGATTCAGGAGTAGAGGCATCTGCTGCTGGCTCTTCTTATAATAATGAGCGACAGCTGCTTCTACTTCGACTCCATCACGCTGATCCTGCAGCCGTCATCCATTATTGTACCCGTGTGTATATGTGTGTTTTAAATCCAAAATGCCCTAAAATGCATTTGAGGATTGAGCGTGCCATTGGCTTTTGTTCCAGGCTGCGTTGCCTGCTTGCCTGGCTTTCCTTCTGGCTGCCTGCGGCTTACAATTGTTGCTTGCTGTTCGTCTTAATGAATGCCAAACAGGTGCTACTCACATACACATACAACCCGGCAAGATATAGGGTGTTCCTTCATCTTCGATTAGAGCTGTTCCCTCTCTATGCTTCAGTCCTTCAAACTCATTTGAGGAAAGGAAAAAATGTACTTTAGATTAAATTTAATAACGACGTATAGAGAGTCCTAGGCGCAAGGCAAGTCTCTGTTAATTAAAGTAAACTTTTAAAATGAGGTCAAAGCACTAGTTATCAACTGCCTGAAAGTGCTACCTAATTTAGTTTAATTTGCCTGAAATTCCATTTTAAAAGATAATGACATTAAAAGCGAGTTTCCAACGCCGTGTGACCTTGTATAGCAACTGAAGGCATGAAAAAGACACCCTTTGTAGGCATTCCTTCGATAGCGGCAGCTGAGACGAACGACAACGAGTCCTGGCAGCACCGACATCTGGTTTCCTGATAATTTTTCTGGCAGCCAAAGCAAGTTCCTTTCTAGGTCTGCTGGGCTGGGGCTCCCTTTGATCATTTGATTAATAAGTTTATGGGAGGAAACTTTCGCGGGCGGAAGAGGCGGAGGAGGAGGAGGAGCGGTGGAGTCTCGTCAATATCCGGTTTATTTTTCACTGGTGCGCTCAGCATCAAATTAGTAGTTGGATGCTTCCTTCCGCCTTGTTTGTGCCATCCTTGACAGCTAGCTCAACCAAGGAGCTTGTTCCGAGGAGCTCTCCTAATAGTTTTGCCCCCTAGCTCTCAGGGCCATGACACCGAAACGAAATGTCTATATTCCCTGGTGTTTAAAGTATTAGTATTAAATGTACTTTAAATAATATCATTTAGGATTAGGAGGTTATTTAATGATCAAGCTTGAATTATTTATTTATATATTAAGAAAAGAAAGGATCTACCTTTCAGTTAATAAAGACCTTCCTTTATGTGTGTGCCGGAAAAGGACATAGTCCCTTTGTTTTTAGATGTCTGAGACTTGTAATAGTTTAAAGATATTTGGTGTATTGATTTGTCAACTATTGTTTGGTTCTCAAAACTTCTGCAATAGACAAAACCCCATCATATTTAATCTAAAGAACTTGGTGCTTCAGTTCTCGACACGTGTAATTAATGCCCAGTAATTTAGCCCTGTGTCTTAGCAGAGTTCTCCAATTACGTTGGTTTCCCCCGGTTGTTTGCTTCTCGTTCTCTGTCCGTATGTGTGTGTGCATAAGAATGTAAAAGTTTTTTAATTGCAGTTGTCGTAAGTGAATTTTGATTGCCATTTGCAGGCAGAGAGTAACGCTCTCTCGGGATGCGTTCTCCTTCATTCCACTGGTAGCCTGATCTTAAGCGCATTAGTAAGCTGGCTGCAATCCTTTAATGGAAGAGGTTTCCCTGGATATACAAGGATGCTGCGCTTATACGTTTTTTTTTTCTACTTGCTCTTCCAGGATGTTTGCATATCAATCGTAGGCGATTTGTTGTTTAATGGCTGTCCTAATTTCCTTCCTCTCAACACTTGCCAGCAGCACACACACTATACACACACTATACACGTGCATGTACAGAGTTATGTAGTGTTGTGGGATTATGCTCATAACATTTACTTTCGTTTTATTTTCTTTTTTTTTTTTTGCTCTTCCCTGCGCATGCGTTTTAAGGAGAAAAAAAAGCAGGAAACTTTTTTGGTTTTCGTTCATTTTTAAGCGAGGCAAGCTGAAAAATACACCGGTTCCGTTTTGCTGCCAGCGGGAGCTGAATCGAGCAGCAGCTGCCCCAGCAGCCTGCCTGCCTGCGTATCCTTTTTGGCCTGCCATGACACACACAACAAGAGCAGCAGCAGCAGCAGCCGCAGGACGAAAGGAAAGCAGCAGCAGAACGGCGCACATGCTCTGCCTCTGTCGCTGCCGCTGCCGCTGCTTTCGGTGTTCTGCCTGTGTATTCCTTTCTGCCTTTCTGGCTTTGTGCCTGTGTGAGTGTTTCCTTTTTTTTTTCATTCTCTCTCTCTGCCTGCGTCTTCTTCTCCTTACATGGCAACTGGCAATCGTTGAACCCAATTAGTTCGACATTGGCGCTGGTCGGGCACGGTCCGCCAGCTCCTGTTCCTGCTCCTGCTGCTGCTTTGACTTTAGCTATTTCTGCTAGTCCTGCTCTCGTTTTTAGTGTCGTATGCAACAAACTACAAATTAAAGAGGAAAAATAATTAAATACTTAAAATTCGGAGTGAAAATGTGCGCGTTTAAGCTGGTTGATGACCAGTTTCTCGTCTTTAAAAGGTATAAAGTGCTCATTAAGTTACCTAATCATGCAAAGAGATTAATAACTAAACAATTATCCTAACTAATAAGTGCAAAGCAACTAACCTAATAACTTTGTGTTAGATTAATTAATTAAATTCAAGAAATTCAATTTTGTTGAGCCTCTGCTTGACTCAGCGGCGCCAACTAACGCCTGTAGGCGGCAACTAGACTGACCCCCTTGGGCGCCAAAAATGATTACCAAAAATTAATGTAATCTTTAGAATCCGCGAGCCATTAGCTTTAGCTATTTTACATAATTTTCACATTCTCACAGTTCGAAAGGCGGCCAAAAAGTATGCTACATACATCCATATTTCGGAAGCCACGCACACAAACACAGCCAGAAATGGTAGATACAGTCCGTGTTGTCATGTTTAAATTTAATAATTTTTGATTCACCGACCGACCACTGACATGGAACTTGGTCCTGCCGCTTCTCTCTCTGTGTGTTTGTGTGTGACTCAACGCTTTCCCTCCATTTTGTGGGGCAACGGAAGGGGGGACACACTTGAGCGTTTTGATGTCGCCATTGTTGTCTGGAGCACACGCAACGAGTTGTCGCCTGGGATTGGCAGGGGTGAGGAGGCAGAGGCAGGCAACCGACATGACATGACGCAGCCTTTGGTCATTGCCACACTCATACATACAGAGAGCACGCAACGGGCTTAGGAATGATGCAATCGGCGACGGCGGTCACAAAATAAAAATGGGAAACGCGGACAGGGTACCACTAGGGACAGGACAGGAAAGCCCAAGGGAAACGAGGTGGGGGCATGAAGCAGAGGCAACGGGGGCTCCTCCAAACGCACAAACACACACTCGGAAATCAGAGCGAGTCCCTTATTCTTCCCCTCGTCGTAAGTGGCTATCGAATTTCTCATTTACACTTCCGCCGCAGACGGGGGAAAAACGAAGGAGGGAGCAAGGAGGAAGACTGGCAGGAGGGAGGGATCATTGAAGAGGATACGAGATGTACGGGGGCAAGCACTTCCTGCCACTTTACATGCATCGCAGACAGACAGCTGCCCCAGCAGCGCAGGTAGAAACTACTGTACAACATCTGCTGCTGTTGCTGCTGCTGCTGCTTCATGCTGATTAGGAGCCATTGCCCGCTGTGGCAGGATGCAGGATGCGCACACTACACACACATATACATACGTATAGTATGTATAGAGCGGGTTTCAGGTCAGGACCCAGGGGCAGTGTCACGGCCAAATTGATTTAGAGACGACTCGGCTTTCAGTAAACCTTGACCAGCATTTGCCCCGCTTGCTCGCTCGCTGTGTGTGTCCTTTGTCCTGAATTCTGTGGAAACTGCAGGCACTTGGCCTAAGGACTAGAAAACTGGTTTTCGAAATGGCCAATGAGCCTACCCAAGCCACGGGGTGTATCCTAGATTATTTGCTACAAAATTATTGGTACCTGAAAAACCAACGTCAAAAGATAGAAAACTATTAAAACTATTTCTATATAGATTAAACAACGTTGCTTAATTATTATTATATATTAAATCTTTACTAATAACATCTTATTTCCTTTTTACAGCGCATTGGATGTCGCTTCCTCAAGGTCTTCTCAAATGTGGCGCCCCAGAGCACGGATCGTGTGGTGCAGACCGTGGGCAAGCAGAGCCAGGTCATCGATGCGGTGCGCGAGGTGATCACTCTCACGCGGGACACGCCCATTAAGGGCGCCATACACAACTATGACCCCATGAACTTTGACCGCGTCTACGCGGATGAATATGGCGGCTATGGCACTGGCAGCGGCAGCACCCGGCCGAGTCAGCGCGGAAACAATCGCAATGGCGGTGGTGCTGGCGGTGCTGCAGGTGGAGCTGCCGGCGGTGGCAATGGCGGCGGCGGCGGCTTTGGTGCTGGCGGTGCACGTGGCAATGCCGGTGGCCGGGGCGGCGCTGATCGCTTTGGTGGAGGCGCCGCTGGCGGAGCTACTGCTGGTGCTGGCATGGGACAGCGGGACAATCCGTTCATCAATCCCTGGGCCAATGGCGGCGGCGGTGATGTCGACGGTTTCGGCAACACGGGTGGCGGTGCAGGAGGATTTGCGGGCAACAGCTTTGGTGGTGGAGCTGGCGGACCCTTTGGTGGCGGCAGCTTTGGCAACAACGGTTTCGGAGGCGCTGGACCCACAGACTTTGGCGGTAACTCTGGCAACTTTGGCCAGACCCAAGGAGCCACGGGACTGCCAAGTCTGGGTAGCTTTACCCAAAGCCAGGGCGGCACCAGTGGGCTGCCTAGTTTGAGCAGCTTTGGCCAGAATACCGGAGGAGCAGGCGGCTTGGGCAATGGCCTGGGTGGCGGAGGAAGTGCTAACAACGGCGGTGTAGGCGCCTTGGGCGGTGCTAATGGCGCAGGCGGCTTTAATGCCGGCGGTGGAGCCAATGGCGGTCCGAATGGGAGCCCGAATGCTTCCACAAACATACCGCAGGGCCATGACCCCAACAACAGCACACAGGTCACCATTCCAAAGGAGGTAAGTTCAAGTCTTGAACTCTTTAAGAAGGGTACTAATAATATATTTCTGTTACAGTTGGCTGGTGCCATCATTGGCAAGGGAGGCGGCCGCATCCGTCGCATTCGGAACGAGTCCAGTGCGTACATAACCATCGACGAGCCCCTGCCCAACTCGAACGATCGCATCATCACCATTTCGGGCACGCCCAAGCAAATACAAATGGCCCAGTATCTGCTGCAACAGAGGTTGGTGTCGCAATCAGACTAAGAAGTATGCACTCCTTCTCATTTGACTAACCCCCCAAACCGACCACAAATAACAACACTCGCAACCCAACACCCGATTAACCATCGAGCGCGATTAATTTGCAAAGCGGTAAACAAGTGTCAGGTGTTAAGTGCTTCCATCGTAACTCCATCCAGACTAACCGATTGGGTCTCCTTGGGAGTGCATTCCGTATGGAAGACTAGTGATTTTGTTGTTTGGTCTTTGGTAATAACAATAAATCCCTTGTCTTCTTACGGCGTGCACCTGTGCTCTTCATTCTATCGATTAAAACTGAACTCTCGGCATTGGAAATTATCTAAACTAAACTCTAAAATGTGTCACCTCGCTCCCATCCCCAGACAAACACCAGAACCCAACTTCCCATCCTGCCAACACACCCACATTCATTCATCTGAATCTCTGCTGTTCATTAAAAAGTTCATTAATTATGTTTTCCTTTGGCTTGTTGCCATCCTTTCTCCCACTCCTCTCTCTCTCCCTGCAGCGTACACGAGAATGGCAGGCGAAACATTTAAGTGGGCAACGCAACTTGGAGCAGCAACAAACACGGGAATATAGAGCAACACCCACAACAATAACCATCGGGATGTGCTGCTGCGTTTCACGTTTAAAATTAAATTTACTAAAAAAGAAGAGCTGGCGCGAGAGAGCATCCTCCAAATACGAAAGAAATTTATGGATTTCTTCTCTTAACTTTAAGTGAAAATAATGCCCAAAACAAAACAAACAAAAAAATGGAATAATAAGAAACTGGAACATCCCCCCCATATGCCCCTGTCCCTCAGCATCCCCCCCGCACCAGTTTGCGCTCTTTGGGGGGAAAGTCAACCTTAAAAAAGAACTCTGTATGATAAGAAGAATGAACAAATAAAATATACACACAATAAACTATTGTATAAGGGTTTATTCACATTATTTTATGAACGCTTAAACAAAAAAAACATTAAACATTTTAATTCAAGGTCGTCGTAGGCATACACGATATGTATAAAAGTTGATGCATAAGGGGCAACGTTGCGTTTTATATAATAAATTATTAAGCATTATTCAGTAGATGTGTACAAGTTAATTAAGAGCTGCTTTCAGGGTTGGTATTACTAGGCATCTTTAAGGTCTAATGATTAGAATCTAGAGTATTTACAAGTTCCGATTGTGGTTGAGCAAAATCAATGTTCCTTTTCAATGTCCTCGTGTGACCAGGGATTCGCCAGATTTTTCGTCCAGGGTTGTACTTTTAGCACCTGCCTAATTTTGTGATGTGGTAAACGTTTGTTAAGTTTCCGCTTAAGCGTAGGCTATAATTAATATTGCATTTTGTTTGTGTGTTTGCTTAGAATGCCTCCATCTACCCATCCATCCATCTGACCATCCTTCCTTTCCCGTATCCATTCCAGCGTCCGCTCAGCAGCCGTTTTAATTCCGCTTCGACGAGTTGATTAAATATTTACAACAGTGCGTCAACAAATGTTTCTCGCCGGAGGACGATGAGGAGTTGTTGTTATTGTGATGCTGATGATGGTGCTGGGGGGCGCCCAATTCACGCGTGTATATGTCGAGACCATATTGGCCTTCCTCGGGGAAGCTGCGACACACACAAAGAGCAGGGAAGAGAAGAGTTGATTGCAATGAGCGACCATTAAATTTTCCATTTCCCTGTGCACTCACTTAATGATAAACGTGACAATGTCGTCCAGCGTGCTGTGAGTCACATACTTGGCCAGCTTCTTCTCCTCGATGCCATTCTTGTGCAGCGTGGCCATAAAATCTGTCAGCGGACGGGACATGCGGAATTGCAGGTCCAGGCTGCGTCCGGCAAAGATAAGCGGATCCTGTAGAGGCAAAAAAAAAAGGAGTGCTCGTATCAAATAAACCGACAAAATAACCAATCACCAAACCAAACCCACCTGATGCGTGATGGGTATGAGCCCGAACAGTCGGGTGGCCTTCGTCGGTCCCCACTCTCCGCTGGCGCAATCCGGCAGTGGAACCATAACTGTCTGCAGCTCCTCGCAGCAAATCTGGAAGTAATAAAAGGTATTACAAGCTGGACATCTAATACGATTTGTTGTCTGAAAGAAGTTTTTATGTAAGTATCTTAAGAGGTTGCCACAAATTGGTTTTACTTTAAGGCATCCAACTGCATGAAAGGCACTTAAAAATATTCTATGAAAGTTCTTTTCGTAGAAATCTATTCCTCGATCATAACCCACCTTGAATTTGCACACCGACTTGAACTTCATGGGTTCTCCGGTAAGGTACTCCTGCGGCGTGACCGCATTGGCAAAGATATCTAGCAGAAAGGCTCCAGAGCAAGGCGCATGAACCCGGAACGCCACAATGTTGCCAATGACCGACTGCATCACGAATCTCTTCAGGGAGACACCGTCATAGGAGAGCTCCTCATCGCTGTCGTAGAACTTGAGATTGTAGTGGAAGATCAGGCAGCTCTGCATGTCTGTGGGCATGGCAATGCGCACGGTGGCCGCTCCAGTGTCATCGGTAAAGACCACAGCTCCGTATCCTTCGTCCGCAAAGTGCAGACCATAACGGAAGAAGAGGGAGCGGACAAAGGGCAGGTTCTCAAACTCGCGCAAGGTAATTGGACGCTTAAGCAGTTGCCATTCCTCCTGCAGCGGATAGAACTCGTAGATGAATTCGCGCGGATCGGTGAGGAAGTAGTGGTCATCGTACTCGTAGCTATAATCAAACAAAGATTTAACAATAATCTCCTGGGAAATATAGTACTCCTCTTACCGCAGACTGTCGTTCTTGCCGCGTCCCTGCTTGGGAGCCTCCTTGGCATTGACCAGGTGGCGAGCTCCCCAGTTGCATTGGACGAATCGCCAGGCTCCGGCCACATAGACCGCATTCCAGGAGTTGCGGAAGCGCGAATCCTGGAACTTGACTCCCGGCTGATAGCCGGCACTCTTGGAATAACCCTTAATGACCACACAGTGCAGGCCGGCATAGCTGCAGAGGCGCTTGAACAGCACATGGTAACTCTCCGTTCCATATTTTATGCCTCGCAGCAGACCCATAGGTGTGTCACCCCGCAAGTCGTCATCGAAATGCATGGCATTCAGGTTCTTGACTGTGATCCAGCGGAAGATGGTGCGAGCCTTTTCGATGTCCGTGGTGCAGCGTCCTACTAGCTGGCGCACCAGGTCTGTGAACGTCTTCTGATCTTCCTGGGCCACCGAGATGGCAATGCGGTCCACATCCTCGAACTCAATGGGATCGGTGTAGATCTGGAATTTGCTAACTGCCGGCGGTGCTGGAACCGGGGCATTCAGCGGATATTCAATGGGCACGGCACCCTCACTGAACTCGTCGTCCAGGAAGATGCTCTCGCTCTGCATGTACTCCGATCGCCGGGCACTGATCAGCTCCAGCATCTCGCTGGACTGGCGATCCACCAGGGCGGCGGTCTCGTACCGCTCGTGCTCCAGCATCTTGCGGGTGATGCTCTCCTTCTTCTTGCTGCGCCGCAGGGTCATGTTCTTCTCGAGGTCCTCCTTCTGCTGCTCGTGGCGCAGTGTGAGGATATTGGCCTCGTCCCGGCTGCGACGAGAGGTGGCCAGCTCCTTCTCAAACTTGTGGGTGAGCCGTTGCAGCTCGCGCTCCCACTCGTCCTGGAACTCGTTCTGGATCTTGCGATCCTCCTCTTCTCGCTTGCGGGCAAACTTCCGGTACAAATCGTCCTCCTCCTTGCGGTGCTTCATCTCGAGGTGAGCTTGCTCCTCTCGAGCCTAGAAGATGGGAGAAAAGCGAAAGAGTTAGTTGGTGTTTTTGTTTTTTTTTCTTTGGAGAAAGCTGCATTTTCGTTGATTGCATTGCGAGCGTTTTGTTTGTTGTTTTTGCAATGCTTGGCTTGTTAACTTGGCTAATTATAATGCCACGCTTGAGCTGCCCCCAGCCCGGCTCAATGTCTGACATTAGGCCCCACCTCCGACTGCAGTTGCATCTTCTTTAGAGTCTCCTCCCCACCCTTTTTCCACCCACACAGATTTTCTGCACCACGCATTGCGTGCTTCTACTGATAATTGTGGCTCTCAAAATCGATAATAACCGGTGGTCCAGCGAACCTGTAGCTTAGCCAATCATTAAGTTACAGGTTTACTTGTTTTCCATATACAAATATATTTTATATCTTAATATTTTATATTACTATTAATATAAGAGTTTTAATTTAACATAGTTATTAACTGATAAATCACAGTATTATATCTATTTTTAATTGGCTTTTAGAACCTACTACTACTTGAACCTACTCTACATAATAGAGGGTTTCAAAAACAGATTGCCTGTGATTACCTGAGTCACTTTAGCCCATTCTGAATGTTGGCACATTTAATCACCAATCTGGAAGCTGCACTTAATTTCCTTTCGTTTTTGACCACATGGCAAAAAATGGCAAAATTATGACTTCCGCATGGGAATATGTATCACACTCGGAAAGCATTTAGCGCCATGCAGCAGCAGCAGCAGCAGCAGCAGCAGCAGCAGCAGCAGCAGCAGCAGCAGCAGCAGCAGCAGCAGCAGCAGCAGCAGCAACACACAGTGGGAACAACAATGCGTAATTAAAACCGAATTTCAATGTCAAGTTCAAACAATAAATATGAAACAAAGGCAGAAACAGTAATGAGCAGCGGCAGAAGCAATAACAAAAACAGAAAATATAGAAACACCTGAGACTAAACGGTTCAAAGGCCCAGTGACAATGGTCAAAAGCGATGACGACGGGCATTGCGTGAGCGGCTTTTGAGCGGATTTTAAATATGACCATAAAGCCGGGCCAGAAACCCCGAGAGTTATGCGACGCCCACGGTGACACAGGGGGAAAATGCTCGTACACAACAAGAAATCAAATCAGAGCCAAACGAAAACGAAAGTCCAAAAATGTTGAAATTAATTATTGCGCAAGCGGGCGCAGACCAAAAATACAAATAAATGCCAAAGTAACCAAAACAGAAACCAAAACAGTGGCATAAATCGTAAATTGGCAAAAAGAGCTTTCCAGCTATGAGGAAGTGTCTGCCTTTGCGTTTACGTTTGCGGCTACGGGCTGCGCCTGCGTGAGAGTTTTTATATGGAATTGCCGCGCCAAATTACACGGCGATTACATGGCGTTTAAAAACGCGTGTATTGCATAAGGGCGGCCAAAGAGAGGCGGAAAGAGTGGGCCAAAAAGAAAGAGAGAGAGAGAGTACACAGAAAGAAAATGTGTACAAATAAAGGTTTTACAAAGTCATCATCATTACAACTACATTGAAAAAAAAAAAAACAATATTTACAATGTTTGATAAACTTGAGGACTCTTTGCAAAAGGTTATAAATAGGAAAATGGTTACTAATCTGATCCTAATTCAATTTTATAATACATTTGTACACTCTTAAAGGGTATTATTACTTTAGTCAAAAGTTGGCAAGGCACAGTGAAGGAGTCATTTCCGACCCTATAAACCATATATATTCTTTATCAGTAACAACAGGCCAGTCTTTCTAGCTATTTCTGAAAGATTTTTTTTGTTTTTAAATTTTTTAAAATTTTATAAGGGGTTACATCGTTAAAACCCTTAAAAATCGACAATAATGTTTCTTTCTTAAAATTTTACATTTAGTATACAGATTTGTTAACCTAGATAAAAGAAGCATAAAAAAGCTTTCCTAGCCTTATAAAACCTTTGCCTTATAAAAATTCAATCCACTTCCAACTAGGTAACATCTTTTACTAGATATTATCCAAACGGTAGATTATCACCTACAAGAATTAATTATTTCCTAATTATATTCTTTACCTATATTTCCCTTGGATATCTTAAAATTCAATTTATGGAACAAAAATCCTTAAATCTTTGATGATATAATATATAATTTTTATTTCTGTGCAGGGAGAGCGACAGTCCAAGCTACTCAAGCCAAGCAGAATGGGGCGCTCCACTCTCCGGTAATCACAGAAAAAGCGGTTGCTGCCTCGTTCGCCGTTACTTTCACTGTACCGCGCATAATTTAGATTTAGCAAACGGCAGCAGCGCAGCCGGAAAAACAAGTGACGCCGAGTGTAACTGTGCCGGTGGCATTGTCTTGGCCGCGTCTGTGCCGCTGCACTTGCGGTCGTACAATTGCGAGCGGAAAAATAGCAAAGCAAATACTTATAAATGTAAACTTGTAAACAAGAAAGAAAGCTAACTTTGGCCAGGTAACAATTAAAATATATCATAACTAAGCCAAAAATGCATTAATTTCGATTCGGAAAGCAGTTTTGTGTTAGTTTTTATTAATTTAAAAAAACTGCATACCAAATTTTAAATTTTAAGAAATCGAAATTTTTGGCCATTTTTGCAAATTTTAATGATGTTACCCCTTATCAAATTTCGCAAAAATGTCCAAAAAATCGATTTCTTCCGGACATGTCTAGAAAGATTCCCCTGTTGATGCTGATCAAGAATATATATGGTTTATGGGGTCGGAAATGATACCTTGACTTAGAAAAATATTATTTTGTATTATAAAATCGGATTTTTTATATTAAAAAACTTCTTGATTTTCCTTAAATTAAAAATTAAATCGGAAAACTGTTCTGTGCAAGATTTTCTACAGTTAATAAATCTGCATACTTCATTTAAAAAATTTGAAAATTAAATTTTTTATCAAAATCCAAAATTTTAATGATGTAACCCCTTATAAAATTTGGAAAAATGGCCAAAAAATCGATTTCTTCCTGACATATCTAGAAAGATTCCCCTGTTGATGCTGATCAAGAATATATATACTTTATAGGGTCGGAAACGTCTCCTTCACTGCGTTGCAAACTTCTGACTGAAATTATAATACCCTGCAAGGGTATACAAAATATTAGTACAAGGTACAAAAAATCCTACTTCCAGATTTAAAAATTAAATTTAATAAATTCCTGCTATTTTAAGTTGGTACAAAAATCGGAATTTAACAGGAACCCGAACCCGCTGTCAAGTATTTTTCGAATCCTCAAAATTATATATTTATTTTCGTTTCATTTAATCAATGAATTTGATTTGGATCTAATAATCGGTAAATTTTCATATTCAAAAGTTTAATACGTGCTATTATCTTGGCCTCTGCTGTGTATGGAAATCTAAGCTGCCAAAATAGTTCACCCAGCTCAGTGTGAGGGTGAGGATATGGGGGTGTGAGTGAGTACTTGTGCGTGGCAGTTGTAAAACATGTACAATTTTTAATGATCGCATGCATGCAGTTTTTCACATATTTTTCTTGTTCGCTGTCTGGCGGCGTCTGTTAGTGCGGTTCATGTGTGCCATCAGACACCTGTTCGAAATTTGTTAAATTGAGCGTTGCAATAAAAATATTTGCTGCTGTCTCTGCCCGCGGTGGTGCTGGTGCTGGGATCTTGAATTTTGTGGTACTGATGCTGGCGGTGGCGGTGGCTGATGGTGGTCAGTCGCGTGTGGCATTCTCGAAAGTGAAAGAAAAATCGGTTTTCGGCATTCGCAATGGCAGGCAGCAGGCAGTCAGAGTGTTAGTCAAAGAAAGGCAAAAACGTGTGCGATTTGAATTTCGTTTTTACGTAAAATGCGATTATAATGCTTTCACCCGAGCATCAGGCGGGGATTACCATTCCAGTTGTGGCAAGTGCCAAGTCATGGATAAAGATGCGAGCACCGATAAACGCAAGCAACTTGTCCCCCGCTTGCGTCGCACTAATAAATTATAATCTGTCCGAGAGATCATCCCATCAGCCTGCCGGATTTCAACTAACTAGATCAGTTGGGTATCGAATTTAACTGTTTGAAGTATAATTTTAATCAAAGTTTTTGATTTTTTTTAGCCACTTTAAAGTGCATCTATAACATATGACCTTCACTCAACAAGAAATCTTCATGAATATATTAAAACTAAAGCTTGATAAATTCCTAATTTCCTGTTTAAACTATCTTTGCTGTTGTTCTAACCCGTTTTGGCTTCATTTTGTTTACGAATGGCTCGGGAATTGGTCAAAACACTTGAGTAACAACTACGAAAACACACAGATTGGGAGTTAAAGGCATACTAGCCTACATAATCACAACTCTGAGCCGGCAGTGCATTAATTAAGCTCTCGACTGCTGGGTGCCCAGGAACATTGCACAATCGGTGAAGCTTGGAGAGAATGGGAGATACACACTTGACCAGCTGGCCCCGCTAGCCACTTAAAATTTCATTAGATGTTCTGCACTAAATATTCTCTTAATTTGCGGCCACTTGGCTCCGCATCTTAGCGGATGGCTTGCCTCCTCTTATGGCTATTACAGGTATATGCATACATATATGGACATTCTGATTTGTAATCGAGCAGAGCTTACCAGGTAGAAATCGATGGGCTTCTCGCGTGCCTTATTGTAGGCCTTCTGGATCTCCGTTTGCTTGAGGGCGTGGGCAATGTGAAGAGCACTGGCATCAAAGCGCCCGTATTTGTAGTCGGAGTCGTTCTGCGACGGAGAGCTCACATCCCGGCCACCGTAGCCATTGGGTGTGGACTGACGCGAACCACCCAAGGGTCCACCTAAAGAAATCCAGCAAAGAAGAGATGTTAGCTCGCAGTTACTTAAGGAATCTATGCTGACTAACCATCGATCTCGCTCCGTGTGCCCCGGATCTGTTCGTTCACGAATTTGTTGGTGCGCGGCGCATTCAGGGCCTGACGAATGCCCACGGAGGTCTGGTCGAGATGGCCGGGTCCGCTCTTTGGTACATGTGAACTGCAATATACCTGGAATGTAAGAGCAATACAAGATTTTTAATATACTTACAAATTGTATACATTTCCAATTGCTTCGTAATTGAAATTAATTTTGTAGTTTGGCTTACGGTAAGTACTGTTTCCCCTTTTTCGCCTCTTACTTTGATTTTCTTTGAGTTTTCCTAATGGTCTTAGATAGTCATCTACAATTAAGGTTTTCCTTAAGCATAAAGGAATTTTCAGCTGAATCACTATACGTTTAGAGCCAACGACCAAATCAATATACCCCATTAGCCTTATTGGGTTTCGCTTTGAGTGCGTGAGCAGACCCCAAAAGTCAGTCGCTTGCAAATGCAACTTTAACCGCTTCACCTACACACAGCAGGTGGTAATAGACATGCAACCACAAACATGGACCTGGCCACAAATTATAATTACTTTCAAGAGTTTTATTATTCATTTGTTGGTTGTGGGTGCTGATTAAATTTATTTATGTTTTATTGGCTAGAAAAATCTGCCATAACTCCATAACTTTGTTGCCTAATTATCTATAAATCTTTGCTAGACTTTAACTATTTAAAACCGATACTCACCACAGCCATGTTAGCTGCGAAACGCACTGTCCATGCATTACTGTACGTCTATCTATATTGCATATGAATGACAGACCGCACTGACACACATTTGCGCCTCGGCACAGTGCAATAACGAAGTTATTTATTATTATGCATAGGCACACAAAAAAAAAAGTGTCGTAGAGTCGTTCGAATTCCATTTTGCATATGGCAGCTGTGCAAATATTTAGCCTGGCGCGTTTGTCGCCTAAGTCTTTCGTCTCAGTCCGTCCCCGTCTCCGTCTCTGTGTGAGGTAGACTCTCACTGGAGCCAACTCTCGTGCGGTGGCACTTACCTCTTTGTCATCCTGCTTGTGCTGATTATTGAAATACGTCTTGAGCGTCAGCTTGGTGCCGCAGTGCACGCATTTGAAGCAACCGGAATGGAAGAATGTGAAATCCTTGAGCGGCCCCACACGATCTACCTGATAGACGGTCTCGCTGCACCGCAGGCAAGTCGACTCGTAGAAATTTGGCCGATACATAGTGCCGCCGTTGTGGCTCAGGCTCTGTGTATGTGTGTGTCTTCCGACTGGTTTCGGGGGGACCTGTTGAGTTTGTCACTTTTCTTTTCCTCTTCTAATTTCACTTGGCGCGGAATTTACGGGTATTCGGCAAAGGCGTCTAGTGCTTCAGGCTGGTTTGTCGAGTTTGCCGAGTGAAGCTGTTGGTTCTGGGGGCGACGCAGACACTTTCGGCCATCATCCGCTCATCCGCTCATCCTCGTCATCCGTCCGATCGCTGCTGGCAGAAGCTGTCCAACGAAAATGACCAAAAACTATTACTGGCTGAGTGGGATGGACATTTCCTATTCGAGCTGCGATTAGATTTTTCGGCCAAGACCAAATCAGGCCCAAAAACACAAGTCCAAAGCCAACTGCGCAGGCGGTGGTGGGTCGAGCCGAGCCAAAATAAAAACTTTCATTTATTTTGGCTCTGAGCTGAGATTATTAATGAATTTTAATTAACTGGACACGGTGGACAAGAAATTGGCACGGAAAAGGGTCGCCAGGCTGGTGGTGGGAATCGAAGCTGTTTCGCCTTGCCATTGACCTCGCTGGGAGAGTTCGAGTTTGCCTCGAAACGTGCCACAATTGAACTTGACGTTGCTGCCGTTGCTTTTGTTGCAACTCGCTCGTGCAACTTGCAACTGCCGCCTGCCGCCTGGCACCGGCAAAAGTTGCATTTTCCATTTGATTAATTGACGCGATTGTTGCTGGCAGGTTTCCTTTCGGTTTTTATGTTTCTTTTTGTTTGGTTTCAACAATTAAATTGAAGTGGAAAAAATCAGACTGCGCGAGTGTGTGCATGTAACTTTTATTGAATGCATTGTGGCTGCTGTTGCGGCGGCAGTTGCTTTGACCAAAATTAAAACAAATGCGGCTCACCTGCCCGGACAAAGCAAGCCAAAACCCGCCGCACTCGGAGTCATCGTCATCGTTTTGCTTTCTTTCCAAGTTTAATGAACGCTAACACCGTGGACTGGGGGGTGGCAAGGCCTCCTTACGATTAGCGCCAGTTGCGGCACCGTTTCCCCAGCGAAGGTTGCTGATCTTCGGATTGCATGCTGCCCGCTTCAGCTGCTGCTACACTGCAGCACTAATGGAAAATGCCTCGAAATGGAAATAGGGGAAAAATGCAAATGCGGCGAAGGCCGCTCGTCGATTTTGTAACACCAAATTATTTTGATTGGCTGTGAATTAAATTTTGTTCCGCTTTTGAGGTCTCCTCCTGATCGAGCAGAGCGAATGTGAGGCAATACAAATTGATGTGATGTGTGAATCGGGCGGGCGAGGGCTGACCACCACTCGACACCTCTCCGATGGTGACTAACTGATCAATAATCCCCCCCGGCTTTGTTCTCGGCCCCCGCATCAAACCGAATATCAATCAACAGTTCACGTTCCATGAATGGCAACGCCCACGAGTGCGACCAAAAAGACAAAATAAAAAAAAAAAGAGTGGCTCAGTTTGATCTCTTGATGCGATCACAATCGGTGTGATTGAATGGTCCAATTATGCCTTGCTTTTGACATAATTAGCGTGTAATGATAATTGTAATGGACATGGATACGTCAGTTGGGAAGACCCTCTGCAAAGCTGGGGGAAATTAGTCGGGGGCGGCTTTGACAAAACGCCTCGTGCGACTTACATCACACTCTGTGGCAGGCAGCATGGTCACTTGGGTGTGACTAAGAAGCCAGATAGAGGTGGAAGCAACCCGAGAAGCCGCCTCGCTCGCTGCATAGAATACTTTTTCATACATCGCATTATCTCCGCTGTTCCGTGCTGGCTTTTGGTTTCTTTTCCACCTGAATGCGGATGAAATGCCACGAAAATAAATTATAACAAATGACAAAAGTAGAAGCAGCAGCACACAATCACACACACACATGACGATATACAAAAGGCAAAAACGAAAGTTGCTCTGCACAGACACAATTGTTCACAATCGGGAGACATTTAAATAAATTGATAAGCGGTTGATCGGAAGCATTTGCATGGGGCGAGCCGTCGCTTTGGATTCAATTTGGCCGAACGAGTTTGTTGCCTAAGTCTTTCGTTTCGCGGCTACTATTGGTGCTGTTGCCTTACGAAACGCTAACAATGACAATTAAATAAATACCAATAATAACAGTTAGCTGCAGCAACAACCACATCATCATCATAATGAACTTGAATTGGCATAATTGCCGCAGCTAATCACATTAAAGCCAGATACAAAGTTTTGATAGATGCAGAGAAACACAACAGCAAAGCAGAAACAACGCGACGACAAACAGCAACTGGTTATTCAGCCAGGCAGTGAAACAATCATAGGAATTAAAATAAAATGCAAATGATTGCGTCACTTTGAACGAGTGCAGACGGAGATATGGAGAAAAATACAAGCTAGCAACATTCAAAATGTGACTCTGTCAAATTTATTATTATTGGAAAATAAATGTAATATTTAAACAATTAAGAATGATTTGATTTAAGTTTTAGTTTTTTTTTTAAGGTCAACATAAACAAACTTATTTTATTTAAAACCATAAATAAATGCCTTTAAAGCTTAATACAAGCCAAAAACGGATGTAAATTATGTTAATGTATAAGAGTTATTTCAATTTGGTATCAGACTTACATAAAAAACTTATTCTTGAACGAAAAACCTTTTAATTTGAGGCGTTTTATTTGATCTTTAAAGGCACCCTTATATTATAATTTATAATGTTTATTTATTTATATATAAGTAAAACTGGTACATCAAAAGAGCAAAAAAAAAGACACACGAATTAAAGAAAATATAGAAAAACCAAGTCCCCTTTAGAGAGTCTTCACTGTGACACTCGAAAAGCGTGAGAATTGCTTGCGCAAATTCAAGATCAGCCAAGTACTTGGCGTTGTGCCAATTGCAGAGTCGCTAATTGAAGGGAACAACGAAGTGCTTTTAGAAATCGCCCATTTCGCTGACGATAAATTAGAAGCACAAACACCGAAAATTATTTATGAGCCGTCCAAAATAATTGGCTAAAACAAACACAAAAAACACACGGGTGTGTGGGGAGATGGAAAGGCAGAGGGCGGAAAGGGTGGTGCAACCAGCGCCCATGACAGGTGGTGGTGGCTTCTAGCCGCCCTGACACAGAGTGTGTGTGTGTGTGTGTCGCTGACGTTGGATGTATGTGTGTGTGTGTGTGTGTGTTTATGCCGTGACGCAGTCGCAGCTTCAAACGTCAGCTTGCAATCTTTCACTTTTTCGTGTCTGCCGCGCGGCGTTCGTTCCAGTTTTTCCTAAATTATCTCCTCTAGCTTCGTTATTGTTTTTGTTACGAGTATTTTCGCCTTGATTATACACACGCGACGTTTGGGAGCAGCTCTCGTTGGAGCATTGTGTTGTTGTTGTTGTTGTTGCAGTTAGTTCTAGGCCCTTTTTGACACACTTCTGGCTTCCTCTCTCCATCTCCCTCCCCATTTCCTCTGGCACTGGGTCTCCTATCGCCTCTACCTCTACTCTATTACTTTTACGCATAAACTATGCTAAACAACTTTCTTCTGCAGAGGGGGGCGCGCTTTGTGCAAAAGTATTTATGATAAATTTCATACACACACACACACACACTGGCCCGCTCGCACAACCACTCACCCACTCTCACTCACACACACACGCAGCCAGGGAAACACACACGCTCGAAGCGAGAGATCCGAGCCCCAACGAGATCCAAGCACATATACACACACAAAAGGGGAGAGCACAGAGCTTGGCTCGGTTCGCAAGGTCCGTCTTTGAAATTCCGATTCTGCGCTTTGTTTTATCACATTTTCGGCATTTTTCGAGGGGCTCCATCAGTCTTGGCCTGGCCAGCAGCAGGTTTCGGGCATTAGGAATGTAACGAAATTTCATTACCAAACACAGACACAGGCGCAGGCGCAGAAACAGAGACACACACTGGAGCGCGTTCAGTACACAGGCACAAGATTCGAGCACACGCACACCGTCCGCCGCTGAACCGTTCAGTTTTCCCCGATCGCTTTTGAGATACTAAGCTGTGGTTACCTGGGCCGCACACCTGAAAGGTAAATAAGCCCGTGCCAGTGATGGCGAAAAAGCTAAGCTAAAAGCTAAAATAGCTGATTTATAGAAAATTTTAAATCGTGCGTATGAGTAATGTATATTATGCGTATGAGTAATATACTGTAAACACTGAGCTGCTTAATTAAAGGCTTACAAAAGTAGTTTTTTAATCATAAACCTTCAACAAACGGTTCCCAATTTAGTGCAAAATTATTTTTAGCTATTTTTTACAAAATTTAAAAATCACTCTAAATTTATTTATCTATTTTTTAAACTCTTGACCAATCGGCAATGAAATACTACTTAATTTAATTTTAAAAAATCAGCTTACATTTTCTTTAAATTCTTAAATTTTTTAAATATTTTTTAGTTTCCATTTATAGTTAGTATTTATTTAATTAATATTTAGCTAGAGTAAACGTTCTTGTTAGAGTTTCCTATGGGAATTTTAGTTTGACGTCGAATTCTGATTAGAATGTACGATCTGGTACTTTTGGTCGCTCATGCACTGACGATCTGGTACTTTCGGTCGCTCATGCACTGGCGATCTGGCAACTCTGGTCGCTAATGGCACGAGCGACCAAAAGTACCAGATCGTCAGTGCATGAGCGACCAAAAGTACCAGATCGTCCGTGTAAAAGTAAAATGTCAAAACAAAGTAAAATTACTTCGTCAATGAACGATCTGGTACTTTTGGTCGCTCATGCACTGACGATCTGGTACTTTTGGTCGCTCGTGCCATTAGCGACCAGCGTTGCCAGATCGTCAGTGCATGAGCGACCAAAAGTACCAGATCGTCAGTGCATGAGCGACCAAAAGTACCAGATCGTACATTCTAATCAGAATTCGCGACCAGCGTTGCCAGAATTTTCGTGCACGAGCGACCAAAAGTACCAGATTGTCCGTGCGTGTTAACATGAGAGTAACAGAGCCGTTAACATCAACGAAAAGTCTGGCACTTTTGGTCGCTGAGACCGAAACGTCTGGCAACTTTGGTGTGACCACAAAGGACTCGGACTAGTTTGGTATTTGGCCGGGCTGCGGTCTCACTAAACTCAACTTTAATAACAAAAGACGAAATTAAAATTACTTTTCTAAATTAACTGAAGATTATGGGAAATCAATTGGGCATTCAGTTGACCAGTGATGACGGTGACACTTTTGATGATTCCGACAACGAGCTGGGCTTCAACGTGATCAATTTTACCGTAAATGCCATGGACATGGAGCTGCGTTCGCCCTGCTATCACTCCAACGAAATGCCCATAATACGGAGTAAGCCAGATTTGGAGAAATTTCAGGTATTGATGAAATACCCCGCCTCTGCGACCGAAGGCAAGCAACTTTGGTAATCGTTTCGATTGCAGGCCACCGATATATACAAGGAGATAAGGGCCTCCAGCGGCCTGGGGAGCCACCATCCGGACAATCGTTGGAATCTGGTGCGTGCCCTTCAGCAGCGAGAAAATGGACTGGCCTCGCCCCACAGTGCCTCCTTTTCGAAGAACCAGCAGCGCTACATTTCCAATCTGTACATACCAAATAAAAAATCGACGCGGCTGATGTCGCTGGACTCCAAAGTGTTCGTGACCAAGTTCAATCGCAGTGGCAGCATGCTGCTGACCGCCTGCCAAGGTCAGCATTTGGTTATATTTCGCTTGCAGCTCAGATATAAAGGTCTTATCCGTTCCAGATGGCATTGTGCGCATCTACGACGGTGCCAAGGGCACATACCATCTGCTCAAACGTATCCGGGCCCGCGACGTCGAATGGAGCATCGTCGACGCAGATTTCAGCCCAAATGGCCAGCACTTTGCCTACAGCACATGGTCCCGTACATGTAGGTGGTCGACGCTTTTCACAAATTGCCTATTTACCTTTGCTTCCTTTCAGTTTTCGTGATGCCCGTAAATGGCACCGATGATGACTGCCAGTGGATCGACGTGCAAGGCCTGCCCAACCATCGCCTGGCCATATTCTCTCTGCGCTACTCGCCCACCGGAGACAAGATCGTCGGGGCCAGCAACAACGCCACGGTCATTGTGACCGACATTCGCACGCGGTCTACCCAGATCCTGCGTACCCACCGCATGCCCGGCACCGATGTGAACTCCGTGTGCTTCCTGCACGACAAGGACCCAAATGTGATAATTGCCGGCTGCGATGACGGCTTACTCAAGGTGTTCGATCTGCGCACCACATTTCGCTCGCGCGAGTTCTCCAAATCGGTGGCCTCCTTCATTGGCCACTACGACGGCGTGACATACATTGATTCACGTAACGACGGCTACCATGTGCTGTCCAATTCCAAAGACCAAAGCATCAAGATCTGGGACATGAGGAAGCCCAGCAACTTGCGCAACCGCAGTCGCGCCAGGCAGCAGCAGTTGGATCTTACCATGTGGGACTACCGCTGGAATCGAGTGCCGCGCGAATGTAAGCTCTTAACTTTATAAAACCTATATATTCCGTCTCACATCCGATTAACATTGCCTTGCAGTTTACAATCCTCACAAGCCGCTGGACGGAGACACAAGCATAATGACCTATCGCGGTCATCGAGTAACCAAAACATTGTTAAGGGCGAAGTTCTCGCCGATGGAGCAAACAGGCCAGCGCTACATTTACACGGGCTGTGCCACGGGACGTATTATAAGTGAGCTGGAAAATCTTATTCAAGGTTTTCTCTTCATCATTTATATTTTGTTTTAACTATTTTGCAGTTTATGATGTGCTAACTGGTAAGATAAAGGAGGCTATTGAGGGACATAGGAATGTGATAAGAGACTTGGACTGGCATCCAGAGCGCGCAGAGATTGTATCTGGTTCGGTAAGCTGTCTCTTTGAGTCTTCTCTTTAAATACCTATTAATGGTAATTATTGTGATCCATCTTTCCAGTGGGACACCCATGTGCATCTCAACAATTTCAGTCGCAGCAATGCCAATCGGTCGATGAAGCGATCCCACAGCTCCGATCCGGATAAGAGGCCTTTGAGACGCTCACGCCGTCTGGCGAATCGCAATATGACGCCGGACTAGTAGTGTTAAAGTTATATTTCATTGCCTAGCTTGTAAGTTTCCCATTGATATTAACCGTTAACAAGGACAGAGTACATTACATTCATTCATGAATATTAATATTATTATTCACCAGTCGGGCCGCATGGTTCTATGAATAAGACTGAAGATGAATACGGCACACAGCTTGAAGTGTAAAGTTCAGTTTAATTATCTTGTTACATACTTAAGTGAACAACCATGAAGCTTACAAACTACCTACCTAAGTTGTTTATGTACAAAAACAATGATAATAAGAGACACGTTGAATTATATTTTGTTTTGCCTAAACTAAATTCCCACAAACGCTACTCTTTTTTTCACCGCCCGAATGGTCGTACGCTTCACTATCTTCGGATATCGTATGTTCTGGGTATTGGCCTTTCTCTTGTATTTGTTGGTTTTCCTATTGTGCCAGAGGTCTATGATTCGCTGTTCGTCATCTTTATTCTCAACCACTTTCAGATCGACGTCTTCGCTGGTCCCGTAGCCCACAATTTCACTCAGCGTCGAGTTGCGAAACCGGCTCATCTCGAGCATTTGGAATTGTTCTGCACAAAATTGAGAGATTGTAAAGGTATTGAATAATTGTAGTTTGTTTTTGATCGCTTCCAGTGATAAGAAGTCTTCAGGCTGATCTTTATCGGCTGACTGATCACTTTTATCGCCGAAACTTTTAAGGGCAGCACTTACATCTGTGTCTATGTGCTTCCTTCCTTTGTCTTTAATCTTTTTAAATGAAGGTTCAGGGGCAACGGAGGTTGGTTCTGATTCTGATTGAGGTGGGGCATCTTTAGGTACGGGCTCATTATCGGAAGTCTTGGCCTTTTTCTTTTTCTTTGAGGATTTCTCGGTAGAATCGAGAGCATTTGAATCCGTTTGTATGGCGTCTTCAGGCTCCTGCTTTGACTTTTTCTTCTTTTTTGGAGGATTTTCTTTTCCTTCACTTATCTCGTTGGTATCTATGGCCTCTAATTGATTTTCTTCACATTTCTTTGATTTCTTTTTCCTAGCAAGTTCATCCACGGCCTCTGATTCGTTCCTGGAGTTTGAATTGTCATCAATTAAAATTATTTCGGAGTCAATCAGCTCGGTTTTCTTAGACTTTTTCTTTTTTGGGGCGGGCTCGTCGAGTATTTCGATGGTTTCAACCAAAGTCTCTGGAGTCTCTTCTATTTTATCTGCTTTATCCTTCTTATTTTTCTTTTTCTTTTTGGCAACAGCTTCTACGTCTTCCACAGCTTCACCCACTTCTTCAACTCCATCTTGAGAGGAGGACTTGTATTTCTTCTTTTTCTTTTTACCAGCAGCTTCTTCATCTTCCAGAGGTTTCGGTTCCACACAGGCTTCTTCTTTCGCTTCTTCAACTTCATCTTGAGAGGAGGACTTGGATTTCTTCTTTTTCTTTTTAGCAATAGTTTCTTCCTCTTCCACGGGTTTTTGTTCCTCACAGGCTTCTTCTCCCACTTTTTCAGCTTCATCTTGAGAGGAGCGTTTAGATTTCTTCTTTTTCTTGGGTTCAGTAATTGGAGTCTCGACTACCCTTTCTGCGCTTTTCTTCTTTTTCTTTTTTATAGGCTCATCTGAGACGCTCTCGGCCTTGCCCTCCTCGACATCTAACTCACTGCCGTTTACCTGAGCCTCACCAACCCCATTCACTGGGGTTGTTCCGTTTTTAAGCCTGTTCTTCATGGCCTCCATTTTCTGCTTGAAATAATCGCTCACGGACAGCCCCGTGCTTACGGTTTGCACGCCTCCAAAATTGGGGGACACATCCTTCTTCTCCTCCTTTGGCTCTTCGACAACTACCGGCGCCACGATATCTTCGGTTGCCTTCTTGCCAAAAATGTTGGCCAGATCCTTTTCGCTGTACCGGGATAGGTCCTTGCCGCGTGTGAACTTTTGGTAATGAACTCGAGCCTTACTTTGCTTTGAGCGCTCTTCGAGCGACATTCCGCTGATGTTCTCCTTGAGTTTCTTTTTAGATGGCTCCTCGGGTTCTTCGGCTTTGAAGCCAAACCCCATCGGTCTGGCCTCCTCTTCCGATTCAGATGCTTTGCCGTTGGCCTCTTTATCGTCTTCGCCGCCGTTCAAAGATTTGAGTAGCCCATTGAAGCCCTCCTCGTGCGTGGTCCACTGGTCATCCCTTGCCTCGTAACCCAGTCCCTCGGCGTCGTTCTTGAAGCGAATGCGAACAAAATCCTTTTCGCCATCCTGCCTGGCGCCCAGACCGTTGCCCTTGGACCAGCCCATTTTCTCCAGCATCTTGGTGCCAAAGCGGTTGTCGTCTAAAAAGAATACAATATTGTAGGTGCCTTGGCACAGCGGGTTTCATTTCAACAATATTTACCCTCGTACAGAGCCTTGCCGCGAGGGCACAGGTTGTACCGCTTGCGGCGTCGTGGTTCTGCCAGCATAGCCATTTCTTTTAATATTATATTCCCGGCAAGGCGTCCGTTTTTTGTATTAAATTAATTTCTTAAAGGCAGTTTATAAACGCGAGCGCACAACACGTGCTATCAGTCATCGATTGTCCGAACAGCTGTTGGCCCGATTGTTCAGTTCCGATTGCATAGTAATAGTCATCACTGCGAAAAGGAAAGACAACACATCTCTAATCAAATTAGTTATTTGTTTTTAGTTTTTAAATTCGCAAACTGCACTCGACTGATAATGGATATAAGCGCCGATGTGGACCGGATTATAGCCCAGGCCCCGGACTGGAACCTGGCCGGCGACTGCGCCCTCCTGGCGCTGATGAAGCGCATTTCTGAGGTCCGTGCGACTCGACTGATTAATCGCTTATCAACAAACCAATTTGATCCAATTTCCCCCCACAGAACTTGTACGAGCGGGGTGAACGGACGTCCCGCAATCTCCAGGAGTTCGAGACGAGTGTCCGACAAGTGGACATATCGCTGAGTAATGCCACCAACAGCCTCCGCTCCCTACAGTTTGGTAACCAGTTTGTGGAATATCGTGTGGAGGAGGTGGATGACGCCGATTTGGCTATGCCCGAGGAGAAGAAGAAGAAGGTTCAATAAACCATTGAGTTATGAGGGGTAATGGTAATTAAGATATCGAATATCTCTTGCAGCCCGAGCCGCCGCCCATGAGCTCTGAGGAAATGGCCAGGGGATTTCTGGACAACAACCTGCGAATGTTCAGAAAGAACTTTGAGCCGGTGACCATTGATGTGCCAGATTCGGATGACGAGGATGCGCCAGTTAGCTCAACGTAAGTAACAAAATTTGTAACATTTATTCTTACTAACAACAAGTGTCACTTATAGTACCATATTCCGCGCCAAGAATCCATACGATGCCATTCCTCTGCCCTACATTATTGGAACAAAGGAGTGGGAAGAGCACAAGTATGCCGGTCTGTATGATAGTGGCGAGAATAGCGGGGATGACAAGTCAGATGAGTTCTCATCCAGCTCCTCGGATGAAAAGGAGTCGGTATCCAAAGGAAGCACTCAACCAGAGAACAAATTCGTAGAGCCCCATCTTTCAGACTCTTCGTCGCTGGCCTCATTTGCCAGAGAGCCAGCCATTGTGTCGCCAGTGAGAACTCATAATCCAGTGCCGGTTGCCACTCCGACTAGGCCTCCTGCTGGACAGGTGCCGGAAGCTGCTATCCGCACTCAGCCGCGTCCGATTATAAGCAGTCAACGCAATCCGCACGAGCGTGACGTGTTTGCCGCGCTCCGACAATCGCCACCTAGTGACGATCCGCCATCGACTTCATCCTCACCCACATCATCGCCAGCTTTTAGAAATACCTCCGCCGGTGGGAGATTGCCCATAGTGTCAACAGCATCGCTGAGCTCCAGCAGCAGCAGTCCGGCCCACCAGCCGCCGCCAAGGCTTTTCGAAGACCCAGAAGCTATAGCTCCCACACAACCTCCCAAGGAGATTGAGGCCAAGCCAAGTCAAATTAAGCGGAAGCCAGTGAACCTCTTCAACGACGATGAGTTTAACTCATTTATGTCGGAAATTGTTGATAAAGTGCAGGCTAAGGCGGGCGCAGCAGAAACAAGGTCAGTGAGAGAACTGGCCAAGGAAAAGAGACCAGTGGAACAAACTGTCAAGCAGGAGGCACCACCTGAACGCATTAATCCAGTGGTGGCCCCTCAAGCAGTGCCCAGGCGTGTAAATCTATTTGATGATAGTCCTCCGCTTAGTCCTTCTTCGAAGCCAGAGTCTCTTTCCAAGAATGCTCCCTCTTTGGGTGCCATTCCAAAGCAGACACCACCCAAGGAGGTCAAGGTAGATCAACCGAAGGCTTCCATTCCTCCCAAAGAACCAGCAAAACCATTACCGAAATCTCTCTTTGATGATGATTTGGAAGACGATGACTTTTTGAGCTCCCTTGCACCCAAAACGAAGCCGGCAGATCAAAAGCAAAGCTCAACACCAAGAGCCTCCCTGTTCGATGATGATGACTTGGACATAAATGACATATTTACCAAGCCAACGCCCACGAATACTAAAAAACTCTCAGAGAGAGTGACTGGAAAGAGCAGTTTGTTCGACGACGATGACCAGGAAGATGACACCGATCTGTTTGGCTCCAAAAAGCCCGTCAAAGTTACACAAAAGGAATCAACAGTCAAAAAGATTGAGCCTCCTCTAGAGGCTCCAAAGAAAAGTCTTTTTGATGACATCGAGGAAGAGGAGCCTCCTTTAGAAGCTCCAAAGAAAAGTCTTTTTGGTGACATCGAGGAAGAGGATTTATTTGGGACACCAAAGGCAAGTGCCCGATATAATGAGTCCCAGCCACTAGAAACGGATGTTGAGATTAAGGAACAAAGCAAACACATTGAGATTGAACCAGAGGCATTAAGCAAAAAAGGAATTACTGTTCAACCCCAACAATTATTATCCAATGCATCAGCTTCACCTGCCTTTAGAGAATCACCTCCACCCATTGAAAGTTTGGAGGCAACTCCCTCTGAAGGAGAAAAGGGGAATAATTTTAATGATGGTGCTGAATCCCCACCCAAGCCTCCTCTAACTAAACTTCCAGATTTATTTTCTGAAGACTTTAGCGATGAGGAGCCTTTTCTGGAATCCTCAAATGTAAAAACTAGGCCAAAAGGTGCTAGTGAAACTAAAGAAGTTATTAAAACCATAGTGGAAAATGTTGAAGATAAAAAGGAAGAAGAAACTGTGGTTAAATCTACTGATTTGTTCAATGAAGATTCCAGCGATGAAGATCCGTTTTTGGGTGCATCATTCAAAGCTAAGGATGTGCCATTGGGTACAGCAGACACCAAGGAATTAATGAAGCCAAACAAAGACCAGTTGGTTGAAGAGATTAAGCCAAAGGAGCTACCCCACAAACTGCCAGAGAACAAAAAAGATGATGAGCTAACCGTCAAGGAAAAGACAATATTTACTCCAGAAATTATTGCGCCCGTTTCTGAAACACCTCCACCCGATGATCACCAAGATCCCATTATAGCAATGGTAGCCGATATCTCCTCCAAGTCCCCGAAAGAAGATTCGACTACCAGGAAGCCAGCAGATTTGGCTGCTGCCCAGCAAATCATGCAGAATTATTCGAGCCTCTTCTCAGATGAACCACCAGATGATAGTGAGTTTTTCCAAACTCTCGGCAGTAGCAGCAGCGGTCTCAGTAGTCTTAGTGCCTCGAAAATCTTTGACAACGAACACGACTTCTTCGAGCCTGCCTTACCAAAGATTCCGAGTGCCACAAAGTCATCGGCCACGACGCCAGGAGACCAACCTCCGGCAACATCGGACTACGGAGGCATGCGTTTATTTAGCGATGTTCCACCCGAAGATGAGGACGACATCGATGAGCCTAGCTCAGCAGCAACCAAGCAGACGGAGGATGTGGCACCAACCACTACAACCCGTATACATACGATTTTCTACGATGACTTTAGTGAAACTGCAAGAGCAAGTTCACTTCAACCATCGCAGCAGACTTCTCCTTACGATGAGGAGCCACCACTATCAGGAGATGAACCTGATCGCAGCAAAGCCAAGGAGACGTCCGATTCGCCCAATCCTTCGTCACCCGTCAAGAAATTAAAAATGCCCAACATCAAGATCAATGTGCAGGCCCTACTTCCTGGCTCGGGAGGAGGTCCTCCAAAACTGCTTAAGAAACAGGAGTCATCGAGCTTTGAAGAGAGTCTTCAAGCGGAATCTCCGCCAGAGTCTATCCGAAAACCCACTGATATTCCTCCAGCAGAGGGAGGCTTGCAGCATGTAAACAAAACACGCGCTAGAGGACCTCCCAAGAGAAGGCCTTCAACCAGAAAGGGAAGGCAGGAGAACTATGTTAAAAGCTTGATTGAAGATGAGCAGGGACCAGCACAAGCGGCTTTGCTGCAAGATCAGCCATCGTCCAAGCCTCTTTCCTTTACAAAATCGGTTGAAGTTGAGGTAAATTCTCCTTCCTCTACCGTTTCTGCTCCAAGCCAAACAATAAGACCTCCCAAGGCAAAGGATTCCTTTTTAGATAGGCCTGATGATGACGACTCTCTTTTTGGTTCTGTCATCACAAAAACCTTTCCTTCTGCAAAGTCAACTGATGGAAAGATGTCTGTAACTGCAGCTTCTGTTTCAGCAACGCCCAATAGGCAATTAGTGATACCCAAAAAGAATAATGATCCGCCAGCTTCATATCGATCATTTTTGGACAGCCCAGACGAAGATGATTCCTTTTTCAGTTCCTCTGACAAAAAGACGCCACCGCTTCCGAAGAACTCTACGGAAGATAAGGAACTGACAATCCCCAATGAAACTCCTCAGGTGCATCGAGATCCACCAAAGGTGGCTAGTTCATTTTTGGACAGCTCAGATGATGATGATTTCCTATTTAGTCCACCCAAGGCACCTATTGCGCAAACTAAATCTGCAGCTCCTGTAATAGAGAAGCATCCTGATGCCGATACAGCGGTACCATCTTCTTCAACGCTCCCCAAAACCAAAGAGCCTCCAAAAGAACAAATTAAGCCCAAGTCCCAAGTTGTACCTAAACTGTTTGATGACAGCGACGATGACAATGATCTGTTTGCAAGTGCCTCAGGGCCGGCGCCTGCGGTCAGTGTACCATCTTCCAGCCGGCCAGTTCAAGCAAAGCAACCAGCGAAACCAGTTGCAACTGCAAGTTCTCTCTTTAGCAGCGACGAGGATGATGCAAAGGCGCCGGATAATACGCTCCCCAAGAAGAAGTTGCCCATCAAAACAAGCAAAAGCCTCTTCAGCGACGATGACGACGACGATGATGATCTGTTTGGAGGAGGCAGCATCCGTAAAGCCAGCACAGTTAAAAAAGCAAAACCTATAGCCCGGCAAGTATCAAAACCGGCTCCGAGTAAAACTCCCACAGCTGCAGCCACCATTCCCGAAAGTATCAGCGATAATCCCTTGGCGGATCTTCTCGATGTCGAGTAAAAACACATGATTGCCTTTAATATCAAATATGTACAGTAGTCGATCTGTGGATGGTTAGACTGTCGACCAGAGTATTGTTATTCGTATCCCTAGAAACTATAATAAACGATGAATGTGTCAAAGTCGATAAGCGGTCGATTCTTAATTCTAAACATGGGGATATGCTGTGAGCATGTTTCGCGTAGATCGATGATTTAACCAGTGACTCTTTCCTCTCTTCTAACGGAATAACGTTAATTTAGAAACCCGATCAAAGCGCGGTATTTGGATTCTCCCAGTTAAACGTTAGTCTACGAACTGAAACTGAGTTAGCTTGTGGCTCTTTGGTCGTTATTCCGAGGAATCTCATTCAAGATCGAGCATCTCTTACAAGTATTGAGTTAACCTAAAGCGCTGATTGATATTCTACTTTGGATCTGGCTCCGGGACTCTGGCTCAGAGTGCTACATCGCGATACTTCCGGTAGTCGTCGGACTCGTTGCCCAGTGACAGCTTGCTGTTGGCTGTGATGTACGGATTGGCATAGTTGGCGTAGCCAAAGCCTCCGTAATACTGCAGCTGTTGGCTGTGGGTAGAGCCACGTCTTTGCAGCGGTTGTGCCAGTACGGTGCCGGCGAATCCACCCGTGGAACTGCAATTGGATGGCCTCCGGTAGATGCCACCAGCCTGTTGGTGGAGCATATGTTGCTGCTGCTGCTGATGGAGTAGCATGGCCAGGTAGTACTGCTGCTGCTGCGTGTAGTTCTGGAGCAGATTATTTCCATAGGCATTGAGGTCGTTTTGCACCTTGCTGATCCCGTCCAGATTTTCCAGGGATACACAATTGCGGGAGAGCTTGCCCGGCGGAGGCTGTTTGTGGCTGCCTCTGGGGCGATGGTGGTTCCGCTGCTGAACGGGTGGCGGTGTCAACTGCTTGGGCTCGATGGAGCAATATATGGGATCGTTGCTAGCGGAACCAATTAGGGAGGGTGGTGAGGGTCGGTGCGAATCCTGCAGATTGTTCTTCAGATCATCAATGGTTATATTGAAGTACTTGGCATTCTTGTCCTCCGTATCCAGCACATGTCGGGGATTGTACATCCCCGGCAATGTGCAGCGCAAATCCATCAGAGACTGAGCGCGATGACCACCAGGTGCTGCTCCAGACCCACCTCGTTGCATCATGGTGGCGTTATTAAACTGCTGTGCCAAAGCTGGCGCAAACATGCTGGCGTTGAACTCGTTCTGGGAACCGAAAGCTTGACTTCCGCCGCACTGGTTATTTAGTGCCAGACCTGGGCCCAGGGGCAGCTTGTTGCCTCCAGTCTCGTCGCACAACTGGTAGCCGGCATTCTCGAACCCGCTCAACCGCTGGCTGGAGCGCCGGGAATCTGCCTTGGTCATTGGAACACTGGGTGCGGGCGTTTGTAGGGATAGTCGCGTGGCCAGTCCCTGTAATTGGCTGAGAACCTGCGTTTCACGTCGCCAACGAATGCCCGTGGGAATCACGCAGATCAGGGCGAAGCAGTTGATGATCAGGCGAATCAGGTAGCTGGTAAGTTCCGTCAACCCATGCACAGACTGCAGACCCTGGAAGAGGAGACAATGGATGATCATTTAATTAAGCAAAGCATTCCCTATAGGATCCTGTACTTACCCAGTGCTGGGTGGTCATGAGCATAACAAAGACCAGCTCCGGTATGGAGAGCAGCCCGATAATGCCCGACCAGGCAAAAAGGGGCCAGCACAGCCCACTGACCAGGCCGTGGATGAGGATCGTTGTGGCCACGAACATCACGAAATAGAGCGAACACAAGGTGTAAGCGGCAAAGGGCAGCTCCCCATGGGCCTCCAGTATCCAAGAAACCTCGCACGAGAAGGCCCCCAGATAGACGATCTGCGGTGTGGGAAGAGTAGGAAGAGAAATGGAAATTAACCGAGATTCGCAGAAGAAAAGCGAAAACATAAATCAGGCAATGGCAGACAAGCAATGGGGATGATTGCATACGAAAAACCGGAGACAACTGTGCTCCGCAACCATCCATCAATCAATTAATGAGCTCCAAACTCTCCGCCTCCCCCTTAACGACCGACTGGCCTGTCGTCGTCGTCGTCTGGCCTGTCAACTTGGCTGGCAACAAAAAACGATAAAGTTTTTACATCTGGCACGATGAGCAAAAAGCGATTTCATTTCATTTTCACTTAATGGAGCAAATACGTTTTCACACTGATAACGGTAACGGACGGACAATTGGGACATTCGGAAGGAGAAAGATGGGGGAGATACAGAGATCTCCGTGTGGAAGTGATATATATGACGGACATACTCAAATATCAATCGAGTTACTTACCAGCAGAAGAACTGCCACCACGCAGCAGATAATGAATAGATTTGCCTTTATGAAGCGCTCCATAATGCGTTCGTTCCAAAAGTTTTGTATGCTATTGCCGTTGCCCGGCGGCCGCTTCTTCAATGAGGACGGCGACTGCTTTTCACTGGTCTTTTGATAATTCATTATTCGTGTTTCGGTTTCGGTTGCGGTTGCGATTGCCGTTGCGATTGCGGTTGCGATGTTTGTCGAAGACGGTGGAAGATATGTGTGTTCAGACAGGTGTTAGAGCGGTTTTCAAGAGAAATTATGCTGCCTAGCGGGAGGATGGTGTGGCTGGTGGCCTTGGTTCCCCTTCGGGAGGAGGTCAGTGGTGTAAGTGATGCGATGCGATGCGAAGCGATGGTGGAGTTCTAGTTCTTGGTTTATGTTTGAATGGGTTTCGAGTCCAGACCGCGCTCTTGTGGGTTGAATGAAAGCGTTAAGCGGCCTAATTGAGCCGTGTCATGCTAGGCTGGTGCTGAAATGAGAATCCGAATGAGTGCCAAGCTTCTCCCATGAGTCCAGTTCGATACCCAAACAAAAGACTTAGGCAACGAACTTGTTTTGGATGCTACACATACTACGAACGGGCAAGCAAAAGAAGCACATCCACACAGCGTAGCTAACACTGGGCTAACGGCTTGTTCCATATTATTAAGAAGATTTTCACTTTTCTACAACACAAAAAAAAAAAAAACAAGTCAGTTCGTTGGCCAAGTCTGTGTTGTTTGGCTTCAAGCAAATATTTGACTCTAAACAATCAGTGGAGCGTGCGCCATATTAGACAGAAGAGGAAGCTTCTGGTTAAACACTGACACTGTTTAACTGATGTCAGTTAACTGCTGGCTGCCGCCTTATGTCATGACAAATGAATTCGCCAACTCGGCAATACCCAAATCAATTAATCAATTACACCGAGCTACAAAAAGGGAAGAGCTTCACCCATTTTCTTATTGCAACTATTGGGGTCTAACGATATTTAAGGAAAGTAGTAGCCTTGGATTTAATGAAGATATATAGATGAAAGTGGAAACTTTTAACCAGAAAATACAACCTAGAAAGGAGAAGACAGAACAAGACTAAAAGAAACCATAAATAAATATACAAGAAATAAGGAAATAAATATCTTAAAGCTTTAAATTATTTACATTTAATTCAAAACAGACAAGAAAAGCTCAAATTTCATCAAGAAATACTCGCAAAGAGGCATTCGGGGCCACTTGAAATAAAAAACCCAACCAATTATCGCCTTAGGCTGTGTTGCCGAGTGTAAACAATTGAGACGCCTCGCCAACACATCACCCAGAGCCCAGTTAGCCGCTTAGTCGGATACGGCAATCTGCCCATTAATAGACGGCGTCATCAAAATAGAGGCGACGAACTTGCTGTCAATGCCGTCAGCACGCAGGTGCGCCAGCTCATCATTCTCTGCTGCCCATCGCGGTCTGCGCTAATCCAGCTCGCGTGCGTCTGTGTGGAGGCGTCTCCTCCACTTGGCGGGCATGGGTTGGGTGCTCCCCAAAAGGAGCGACGCAATGCTACGCGCCGGATATGCGCACCTTAAAGTGTCAAGCAGTGACTTGCCCCCATTGACATTCCGACGACGTTGCAAGACCCCCTCGCTGGGGCTCTTTCCTGTCCCGCTTTTGGCTTTCTTTTGCTGGTCGCGGAAAGAATTGCAAGTCAACTTTGTTTTTATTGCTAATTAGCTGGACAAACTGATTCCAGCGGGGCTGTCCGGTTTTTCGGGGGCAGAACTCGGTCTCGAAACGAGTTTCGGCTGAGACAGATCTCAGCCATTAGCATCCATAGCCGGGAAAAGGTGGCAAGCGAATTCGCATCGCCCTTGAGTGAATGCCACACCCATGCGCGGAGACATGGAGACCCCTTGCCAGCGAGTTGGTTACGAAATTATGCAGATCCAACATAATCTCTGTGAACCTCGTGTGACCGAAAAATGCGAGCAGCGTTTCAAAATATTTTTTAGCTTTTTGCATTGTATTCCCCACATTGCCGCGGGCAATTAAATTAATTTAATTTCGTTATTGTTGGTCGTATTTATGCATTCGCTCTGTGTGTCTGTCTGCATGACGAGTTCAATAGCATAAGTGCAACAATGTGAATGCCTGAATAAGCACAACAATGCAGCACCGGGGCAAAGTTATGCAAATTGTTGTTATGAAGTCGATGTAAATCGGAATGGAATCGAAATGAATAGCCCAATGCGTTACCGTTATAGTTATGCTGTGCGTTTCAAAATGCAATCATCTATCTATCAGGCATATGTATCGATGCGATGTAAAGCCTACCTTTCACTTTGCAGTGTTATTATTATTATTGTTATGGCAGTTACACAGAAGAGGAGATACCAAAAAAAATAAGTGAACAATAAGCGCGGATCGTAGAAATTATCAGTCAAGCAAGAAACGATTTCTCAGCGACTACGACGACGCACACTCACATGCGTCCGACCAAATTGTTCAGCGTTGAGTCATGCCACCAGGTAGGTACGGCTCTTGAAATTGTCGCTCATGCAAATTGCGTCGCCCGACTTCGAGGGAAGCTTTAATGGGCCATATAACACCACCGTTGAGAGGTGGTTCTTGGCACTTTTACTGCTCGCACAAATTGAATAAAGCCGAAGAACTCGTTTGGATCATCGCGCAAAAGCGAAATGCGCTCGGCCACAATTATGCTTTGATTGTTATTTAATTGTACAACGGTTAGGCCACAAGTAGCAGCAGCAAGAGCACCAGCAGAAGCACCAGCACCAGGTCAAGTCATCAAGTCAAAGTTGACGAACGTGAGAATCGCGGCTAGATGTACGCCTGTCTTTGGGTCACTCACTCACTCTCGCACTCGTGAAAAAGCCGTAACATACGCCGCGCTAACGGTACGCTTTAAGTTGGCGCGCTTACAAACAGTTAAAAGTGAAATTCGAATGACTGAGGAAACGAACTGCGTTCGCCGAACGATCTCTGCGAGCACCGCGCCAGCTGAGCGAGCGCTACGACGGCTGTTTGGCAACTGAAGAGCGCTTCCAGCTCGAGTTCGAGCTCTGCCCTGGCTCTGTCGTTTTGTTGATTTACATTTTTCTGTGCTTGGTTTTCGTTTATTTTCGCCTGCCGTGCCGCAAGTTCACTCGCCCTGCCTCCACTTCCAACAATTAAATCTTAATTTCTAACTGGCAATGATGCTCCCTAGCATTTGCATAATTTGATGGCAAACCAAAACAAAGGCCAGACTTAAAATGAGGCCTAACGGTCATACTTTTGTTTGGGCCAGCTTTTTGAGCCTGATAACAAATGGTCTTGGCCGCTGCAGCAGCAGCAGCTGCTTGTTCTAATTAAAGCTCGCCGGGGTTTCTTTTCTTTTTTATCTCGTTTTCGTTTATTCAAAATTCAATTTGTGAGTGTTGTTTCTTTACTAGCTATTGTGCCGCTGATATATGTATGTATGTTTGTGTGTAATTCTTTTGTTGTTTCCCCCCCTTTCTTTGGGGTAAATTAAACTTAAATATGGAATTCAAATGTCAACTCAAATTGGATTCAATTCCACTCAGTCTCTGACTATCTAAGAGTAACAAAATTAATTAGGTTTCATGGGTTTTAAATGCCTAGCTAATAGCTAATAGCTTCAGGATTGTTTCAAACTAATCTTTGACATCAACTCATCGTTTTATTCTGTCTCCTCTATAACGCAAGCAGCTGCAGCTCCATTCTGTTCAGGTTGTTCGGCCGGAGCACAGCTATCCAGCACTGCGCCCAGCTGCCCAATGCGCTTAATCTGCTCCATTAGATCGGCTATTTCGGGAGTGCAGTTGCGGAACTTCCTCAAAAAGGTATAGCCACGCAGCATCTCGTTGTCCAAAACGCATCTGTAAAGGGAGATTTCTTTAGATTTTGCTTTATGAAACCACAATCAACTCCACTTACATTAGGGCCGCCGCTGCATAGTTGCCTGTGCCCTCCAGTTGGTCTAGCCAACGGTTAATAATGGTTTTAATTATGGGATCTGTGGCTGGCAAGCAAATTCGGGCATGTACCAGGGCCTCCTTGTAATACTCATTGGCCAGGAACAGTTCGATGGCTTCCTTCTGCATTCCCAAGCTAAGGAGGTAAGTGGCTGCGTGCATGATGTAACCATTCTCCTCCATCTGCTTGGCATACACGCGGCAACAGTCCTGCCAGAGTCTGAAAAGAAATCATACCTATTGAATATCGATATTCAATATTCATGAACTAAGAACTTACGCAAAAGACACCGAAGGAGCTACGGAAAGATGCCACTCCGTCAGAGTCTTGTTGGCCATATGTTCCTCCAGTTCCTCACGCAGCTTGAACGTGGATATGACTAGGGAAAGGGGGGATATGTCCTTTGTGTTTGACTGCTTAAGGTTGCTTACTGAAAAATGATTTTAGAAGGTCAAAGAATTATGGGAATACAGATAATTTGTGTAAATTCAACTTACATTCTATGGAAATGAGCTTCTTGGCCGTCACTTTGGTACTAAATAGCTTGGATATAAGCACTGACTTGTCTATCTTAGCCGCATCTTCAGTCAGAACAATGGCCAGCTTCTCAAGGGCGCTCTTGTTGAGCTCCTTACCAGCGAGGTAGAGACAGGTGCGGGAATGCTAAGGGTTACAAAATTATTAAACTTGGCTCCTAAAAGTATAAATCCCTCTATATACTTACAATAAGCAAACTGTCAGGCGGGTTATTGGACTCTAATTCCTTGCATTTTAAGCACTCCTTTGTGGTATTTAATTGCTGCTTCTTGTCCAGGCTGAGTGCTTCCAGCATTTCCTCCACCGGAGTCTCATTTTCTAGTGAGTCCTTAGTTAGGTTCTCACTCGCTGGTGCCTCTGATTCCTTTGCCTTCTCCACATTCTTGCTGGGAGCCTCAGCTTCCACCCTAGATTCCCTATTACGTTGGTTGCGCCGCTGTCGCTTCTTATCGTTCTTGGTTAGAACCGGAGCATAGGGCAAGTTCAGGGACTTGCTGGCCCACTTAACCTTGAGCAACGGATCCACCTTGGAGCAGATAGTTTTCTCATTTTCGGCTAAAGCAGTTTTGATGTCGATTAACTCAATAGAGATTGCCTTGCCGGAACACATGATAATGTTCTCGTTGGAGGGCAAAAACATGCCGCACCACATGGGGCAGTGATAGGTGATGGTCAGTGGTGGCTTTTCCGGCTCATTAGTGTTCCACATGCATACCTTTCCCTCGATGTGGAAGGAGAGAAGGATGTTGACTTTGCTCTGACTCCACCTCAGGGAAGTAACAGAAGCCTTATCTGCATTGGCCGTGAAAGTGTGAAGCGTTGTCCAATTGCGATCCGCCGGTTGGAACTCCATTACGTATATAAACTTGTCATTGCCCGCCACAGCGAATTTATTATTGTCCAAGGGACTCCACACGATGTCGCACACATAACGTGACAGCAGGGCCGACTGGCGGATGAACGGACTCCAGGCCTGGCCGGCTCCACTGGTGCGTTCATGCAGCTGCAACATGCCATCATCGGTGCCAATGAAAAGAAACGATCCACGAACGCTGAGGTAGCTGGGCCGAGAGATGTGGTTTAGCATGTAGGGATCTGGTTGTGGAATCAAAATTTAGAAATTATAATTAAGTAAAGCTAGAGAGGCACAAAACGAGAAGCAATTTAAGTACACCCTTAACTCAACAGCTGTACCAACATTAACCTTACATTTTCCAAAGGTAAAAGCTCTTAGGTAGGGTGGGTAACCACCAGCAACCAAAAATAACAAATCAGTCAGTCACAAACACAACTTTCATAGTCAATTTTTCCCCTGAAATAAATTATTCGTTCGGTTTGTTGGCGAAAAATTGTTAAAATGCCGAGACACAGGACACTGGTGGACATTGGCCACCGCATCATGAAGCGCTTCCAACAACTGGACCTGGATGTGGGCGAGGAGTTCATCATCTTTGCCGTTCACCTGCTGGCCAGGGATTTGCGTCGGGGCCTGCTCAAAACAGACCTGGACAAGCCCACTGCCTGTGCCATTAACGCGTTTGTGAACAGCATTGTGGATAGCTACGTGGATCCCAAGGATTGCACCATGGCGAATATGAAGATGGCGTGGGTGATGAAGAAGGGCGTGACCATCGACCTGCAGTATGTCAAAAGCCAGTACGAGGAGAAGTTTCAGATAGAGCTGCAGGTGCTCATAGATGACATTCTTCAGTACCCGGAAACCTGCAACAAGCTGCAGCTGGACCAGCTCTTCGCGAAGATGCAGGTTTTCATCGTGGCCTGCTATAACTTGGGCTCGCCCAAGAATCATGTGCTGCTCAAGCTTACGGCCCAGGCTTTGAATAGCGTCATTGGACGCAGTGATCTGCAGAATTATGTTTTGAAGAAGAAATACCACAGAATGGAGTATTTGCAGCGTTTGGCAGCTACGGTGGGCGGGATCGTAATCTATAATAATGATGGCCCAGATGGAGATCGGGAGAATGTGAGAAGTGGTAAGAGAATCAACTGTTTACTTGACAATTAGCTCGTTCTTTTAATTGTTCTGATATGGTCTTGGATTAGCAACTTTCTACTATAAAATTAACTAAAAATATATGTATTTTAGTGGTTGATGATCTTGAAATGGCCCAAAAGAACACAAATGCCGCCTTTAGAGCCAGCATGGAGCAGGCAGTCAAGATGCGATCCCTTTGCCAAGCGGCCGTCGATGATCTGATTCATATTGACCACAAGGAAGAGACCCTAACCTACGGAGTGCCTTTGGGGCATATGGATCGTCTAAATCAATACACCTTGACCTATTGCATGATGCATCGATGCTTGACCACCCTGAACGAGAGCTACGAGAGCACTCAGTACCTGGTCGAGGTGGAGCAGAAGCGCTACACCTGCGTGGTGGCCAAGATAAATGATGCGCTCTCAATGCGCACCGCAATTGATTCGGAATTGATCTTTGTAAGTGAATTATCCTATATGGTTTTTTTAGCTGAAATCTGTAATCTTTAATCCCCTCCCTTAGCCACACTTTGTATACTTGTCCCAGGTATGGGGCAATCTCAACAACTATCTTAGTCACATTGTGGAGCTAAACAAACTGAGGGAGCAGGTGGAGGCGCTGGTTGTCGATGACTTGATTACCATGGCCAAGGACACGATTAGCGAGCTGCAGGCTTTGAGCCAGCGCATCAAAAAGCCCAAGATATGCGCTTTTGAGGAGAGAATAGAGGCCGTTAAGGACCTACAGACCGATGGAAACTTTTGCAACCTGGCCAAGGCAGACATTAAGGAGTTCTGCTCCTTAGCTCTGACCGTAACCAATGGCCTGCTGCTGCCGGCACAGGTGACCAGGAAATTGTGCTCCAATGTGGATATAACCTTTGGCTTTCGGGATCCCAGATATGCTAGGTTTGCCGAGCTTCGTTTCGAACCCTTTATCGCCGGCCTCCGAAGGGTTATCTTCAACAGTGCCAATCTGGCGCTGCTTTTCAAGCTAGATGATGATCTCATAGCCCAGGAGCTGCAGGATCTGATCGTCGAGCCCCCAAAACAAAGTGATTTCAATGGGCAAACGGAGATGGTCATCACCAACGACCTGACGCCATCCAACTGGATCAATGTCACGTGGAATGCGTGGGACTACCACAGGGAGACCATACACTTGGCCAACATACGCCAGCGGCAGACGCACGACACGCAGACCAAGGTCAGCTACGGGCAGCGAAACGCCCAGAATCAAACCTACAACACTCGACAGCACATGTGAGGCATACAATTTCAACTCACCGCCCTTTATTTTGTCCAAGTCAAAGATGCCGAGCTGGCGATTCACGATAAAGTAGATGTAGTGGTCCTGCCAGACCAGGGAGTACACTTCCTTCTTCTGCGGCGTCCTCAAGACGGTCTTAACCTTCATCATCTCCACATCAAGGATGCCCACCTATTTAGGTTTATATTTGATTAGTTTCTGAGGTTAACAGTTAATAAAGAAGCAACTTACAGTTCCCTCAAAGGTGCCAAAGGCCAGCTGCAAACAGTCGGGACTCCAGGCCAGGGAGTACACATTGGTGTTGACAAACACGCTGTCGATGGGAAGGCAGCTGGTCGAGAGCTTTGAAATGTCAAAGATGCCAATACGGCGGTCAGAGCAACCCAAAGCGATTCTAAACGAAAAAGAAAATTAGTTTGGGAAAAAATTACAATGTTGATTGCTCTCACTTGTTCATATCATCCGGACACTCGGCCATTGCCCGCACTCCGAGATGCACTGTGCCATAGGTGGCACTCACTTGGCCAGTTTGGGGTTTCATTGTAACAATCTGGCGATTGTTCTTGCACAACCATATCTCCTTCTTGTTGGGGTGACAGGCAAACGTAAAGATATCCTGCTCCCGGCAACTGTGGACTCGGTCCTTGCTAATCTTGTAGCGCAGCATCTTGCGGTCAAACTCCAGGGACCAGAAGAACAACTGGTTACGACTGAGGCTCACTATGGTATCGCCGCTCAGCCAAAAGACGTTGTTGAGCTTGCCCGTGGCCTTGCTCTTGCTGTAGTTCCTCCCGGAATGGGCTCCCGTGTTGGCGTTCCAGATCATCATGACCTCATTCCCGTCAATGGAGGCCAGCAGAATGTCGGGCCGTGTGGTCACTGACGAGCTAAGTGTTTCGGTACTGCCAGCAGCCGTCACTTGGAGATTGCTCGGCGGCTCGGGCTTGGCCTGAGGTGTTTCGGTTTCTGAGGCATGGACCTCGGCCTGGTGGTAGATGTGATGCAGCACCTCGCGTTTGGGCTTTGCGGCCTCTCCATCGACGATCACAGCATCGTCGCTGGAGGAACTGTATTGAATGACCTCCAGACTGCCTTCGGTGGAATCGCTGATATCCTGGCGATTGCTGGCGGTGCTTGCATCGCTCAGCGGGCCCGAAGGCTTCGTGGGTTCACAGTCATTCAAGGTGACTTCTACGTGCTCAAGGCTATCGTCCTGTTTATGAGCCATCAGATCCGCCTTCATGTTCTCGCAGGCTTCCACGTAATCCAGGGCAGCGGTACTGGCTGGCTTCTCCAGGCCAACAAAGTCTCCGCAGATTTCGGTAGATTTGCGTCGCTCTGCAGTGGGTGCCCCGAACTCACCCTCCAGATGATCAAAGTTGTAAATGTCAAACAAATCGTCGGATTCGGCGGCCCGGGATTTAAGCAGCGGCGGTGGTTTCGGCTTGGACTTCTCCTCCTCTTTACCATTGCGACTGCGCCACTGCTCAGCTCTCGAGGACAGCTCATTGAGGTTCTCCTCCAGGGGAGCGTTCACCTCTTGCCAGGATAGGCCGCAGATCGGTGATTTGTGGCCAGTGAACTTGTAGACGACGCCCATCTTGAGCAAGTCGCAGACCAGAACGTTTCCCATTGCAGTTCCCACGGCAAATATGTTGTCGTTGTAGGGGGAAGCGCGCAGCTGGGTGAGCTGATGGTTCCGGGGCGACAGGAACGTCGGCCGGCGGCAGTATGAGTTTGAGGCCGCGCAATAGATGACCAGGTCGTTGGCATCTATCGACAGTATGCTCCCGTTGGCCCGATAGCTCATCAGCACGGAGCTGGCGGTGTGGTAGACTGATCGGGAGTCGCGCGCCTCTTGCTGATGCTGGTGAGCCTTGTGCCCGGTGACAGCCTCGCCCAGTAGGCAGTCCCAGACCTGCACGCTCAAGTCATCGCCGACTATGGCGAACTGCTTGTTCGGGGCGCCCCACATAGGGCTCACGTCGAGGGCCAAAATGTTGATGCGCGTTGACATGGTCGCCACCAGAACCTGCTCGTTGCCGCATGCCGGCGGAGCCGCTATGTAGTTAATACAGCGCAAGCCGGCGTACAGAAATCCCCCGTCCGGAGTCGCCGCCGCCAGCGCTCCGTTGGACGGCGGAGTGGGCACGTTGTGGTACGTTACCTGCGAGTTCATGACGAGGAAAAAGAACTCAAGACGAACAGAAATAAACACAGCTTCCCGCTAACATTTGGCGTCGAGGATTTTTTCGCAACCGCTAGTGTTAGAAAGCTTTGCAAGTTTAGCCAGAGCTGCCACCTGTTGTTAAAAGAGAACCATGACCGGCCATCTTCGGAGCATCTTCCTCCGGGGGCATCGAAAAATACTTTATTGGTTCTATTCGCGTCACAATAGCGGTGTGTCCGCAGGGCTATCTTCGCTTTTAAAACTTCTTCAAAAATGGCGCTCTCGTGACCAGAGGCCTGGCAAGGCCAGTGGTTTAAAACATAAAAGTCTGGCAACGCTGCGTATAATTTTCATACGATCTTTCCAACACTATTTTGCGTTTTGTGTGAATGGTCACCAGCAGGTAGATAAGAAGAAGCACACAATAACAACGCAAAAAAGTTGGAAAACTCCAGAAAAAAAACCCTCTCGAACAGAAGCGAAGAGAAATCAACAAACAATGGATGCTAAACGCGAGAGAAAGTCGTCTTTGGTATGAAGTTTGCATCCCCATTAAAAGAAGAAAGAAAACCCTGATAGAAGTGCGATTTTCAGGCCCCACTTTCCCCCTGCCCCATTCCGGACATCACCGATGACGACTTGGTCAGCATCTCCGTCCGAGACCTCAACCGGACCCTCAAGATGCGCGGCCTGAACCGCGAGGAGATCGTGCGGATGAAGCAGCGGCGGCGCACGCTGAAGAACCGTGGCTACGCCGCCAGCTGCCGCATCAAGCGGATCGAGCAGAAGGACGAACTGGAGACCAAGAAGTCGTACGAGTGGACGGAGCTGGAACAGATGCACGAGGACAACGAGCAGATCCGGCGCGAGGTGGGCAACTGGAAGAACAAGTACAAGGCCCTGCTGCAGTTTGCCATCCAGAACGAGATCCCTATTCCGAGCGAGCTGGAGGGGCACTGATTCGATCCAACGCCAACCTGTCACATTCCTTTCCAGTCAAAAATAAACCTAAATAAAAAATAAAAAAAAAACAACACCTGTAACTAAAGTACAATAACTGGAAAATTCCCCTGTATACCGACCGAAATAAAGAGAAAAAGCAAGAAATAGTCTGTGCCACTGAGGATACCTGTATTTTCCGAGCATAAACAAAGCCCGTGTCGGCGTTCCCTGTGAATGCAAAATCGCCGGGGAGCACAGAAAGCAGACGAAACGCTTGTTATGTATTCACGTCAATAGCATCTAGGTCCAGTTGTCAGCCAATCAAAATCCGAAGGCTGGGCTAGCACGGCCCCAACCAGGTGTCAGAGGTGCCCCACAGACAATTTGAAGGCCCTTCCACAGACTCATTGACGCCCCCCCACACATGGCATTTCGCTTCTTTGGCAAATCCCTCCTCTACGGACTGCCGCTGGGCATCACGTTCCTGGACTGCGTGGGCTATGTGGCCAGAGTGGAGGGTGAGTGGTGTCCAAGGGTTACATATATGCTCCATTACAAATATAGTGCCTTCTCCACAGGAATTTCCATGCAACCGGCTCTGAATCCGGTGGCTGATGAGCGGGACTACGTGTTCCTTATGCGCTGGGGCACGCACAACAGCCAATTGGAACGCGGCGATATAATTTCACTCATCTCCCCCAAGGATCCCGCCCAGAAGATCATTAAGCGCGTGGTGGGATTGCAGGGCGATGTGGTGTCCACGCTGGGCTACAAGCAGGAGGTTGTGCGCGTGCCCGAGGGCCATTGCTGGGTGGAGGGTGATCACACCGGCCACTCGATGGACAGCAATACCTTTGGACCGGTGGCCATGGGTCTAATGTCCGCGAGAGCGGTGGCCATTGTCTGGCCGCCGGAGCGTTGGCAGCTGCTGCACAATGAGCTGCCGCGTCGCCGGAGGCCCATCCAGGCGGCCAAGGGTAACTACTATAACTAGACTGACCAACCGGCGGGGAGACCCAGCTCTGGACCCAAGGATAGTTCCAATTGTGTACATACAAATGTTCAAAAGCCACCACACAAGCATATATTTTATAAATAATTGTGTTCCCGCAAGAGAGCCCACATAGGACGTTCTAAATTATAAATTAAAGTAAAAAGCCAAAGAATTATGTTTAGTTTTCTTTATATTTTAGTTTAGACTGGAGTCTTGTCCTAGATTCAATGCAAGGAGAGGTTATAACTATTGATTTCAAGGATATAATATTCAGAATGCAAGTCCTGGACGTTGCATTTTATTTTAAAACTATGAAAAACTATAAATTGTTTGTGAAATGTAACATAATATGATTTTATAAAGAATCAAAGAAATGTAAATATAATAAAAACTCATGTATTCTAAATAATATCCCGTGACCGGATGCCGAATTCCTCCATTACGGCCTCCGTTTGCTTCAGGGCCACACCTGCTCTTACAATCTCGTAGTAGCCGGGAGTGGCCAGGTCGATCACCGTGGAGGCCAGACGCCGCTCCTCAGTCAGACCAATTTGGCCGGCATCGAAGACAGCCCCCAATTGGGGCCAGAGAGAACGGAACTCGGACACCTGCAGGCTGCTGGGGGCACTGGAGCGATTGGCGCTGGTCAGGGCCAGCGGCTGTTCGTGCCACACGGCGCACAGGTCGCGCATAAACTTAAAGTCTGGAATACGTATACCGATCTTGGAGGTGCTGGGATTTAGGAACCTATTGCTCAGCGCGGGCGTCCGCTCGATCACGATGGTCAGGGGGCCCGGGAGCAAACGAGTTAGCAGCTCGTCGCTGAGGTGGGCAGCCTGGCCAAAGCGACGGAGGGCGGCGTTGTTGTGCACGCAGATGGCCACCGGCTTGTGTTCGTCCCTGCCCTTGATCTCGTACAGGCGCTGGATGGCCTGCTCGTTGTTGGCGTCGCAGGCCAAGCCGTAAACAGTGTCTGTGGGAAGGCCTATAACCTGGCCGCTCAGCAGACAGTGGCGGGCCAGCTGGAGTGCCGATCCATCTGTCACAGGGCACACAGCGGTCTCCGCCTTCTCCCTCGCCTGCGGCTGCATTGGGATGGTGGACTTGGGGCGGGCGTGTTGCACAAGGAGGCGTCTGAAGAGCAGCGCCTGCGTGTGGCGCATTAGTCTCGCCAGTTGTGACCGCACTCGTGGTTGCAGCACTTGTAGAACGTGGTCATGGGCTCGTCCGCAGACCGCGTCTGGATCTGCATGAAGTACGCCCGCTTGTGGCTGCACGACGGGCACTCGGCGTCCGTCGAGTCAACGTTCTCCCACGCCGCCTTGCCGCCCAGAACGTGGTCAACCTCCTGCGGTTACAGAACAGAGCGATATAATCACAAATTCAGCCTAAATTGCATCATCCACATACCTTGAGGCGGGGAAAGGTCTTGGTCGAGATCTTGCGCTTGATCTTCGATATGTACGGGCAGGTGTTGCAGGTGAACCGGTGGCAGGTGGTGTCCTCCTCGATGATCAGAATATTGCCGCACGACGGGCAGAAAAACAACATAGTTCGCCGGTTTGAGTTTTTTTTGAGCACGTTGTGGTCGTCGGGTTTTCTCCGGTGTGACCGTACCACGAAATATACTGAAATCAGATTGTTGGTTTTTTCTTGCCTACATCATAAGGTCACATTCTTTAATCTTGGAGTTTCCGCGATTTTTTGCAAAACAATTGTCAAAATAAACAACAATAGCCAGGTTTTCCTTCTAAAGTTAGTGAATCCTTATACATAAAGCAACATGTCGGCCGATGTGCGTGATATCCTGGACATGGAGCGTGCCAACACGCCGGAAGTGACGCGAGATTCCTTTCTGGCCACCAAGAAGCGCAACTTCGAGCGGTAAACAAACAATTCCCTGCAATCGAGGGCTCCAATTAATATGTTCCTCTATTCACAGAACCAAGAACGCCTCCCGGCGTCCCGAGGGCATGCACCGCGAGGTGTTCGCCCTGCTCTACACAGACAAAAAGGATGCACCGCCTTTGCTGCCCACGGACACGGCTCTGGGCATCGGCGCCGGCTACAAGCAGGCAAAGGCACGTCTGGGCATGAAGAAGGTGCGCAAGTGGGAGTGGGCACCGTTCTGCAACCCGGCACGCAACGATGCCGCCGTCTTCCATCACTGGAAGCGAGTCAGCGACAACTCGACGGACTATCCCTTTGCCAGGTTCAACAAACAGGTGGAGATCCCCTCCTACACCATGACAGAGTACAATGCCCACTTGAGGAACAACATCAACAACTGGAGCAAGGTGCAGACTGATCACCTGTTTGACTTGGCAAGACGGTAAGCTTGGTTTGGCCCCTGTATCTCAAAGGGAATTACATGAATCTGCATTTTCCAGATTTGACCTCCGTTTTATTGTGATGGCCGATCGCTGGAACCACCAGCAGCATGGCGCCAAGACCGTAGAGGAGCTCAAGGAACGCTACTACGAGGTGGTGGCTCTGCTGTCCAAGGCCAAGAATCAGACCAGCGAGAAAAAGATATTCACATATGACGCCGAGCACGAGCGCCGCCGCAAGGAGCAGCTCGAGAAGCTGTTCAAGCGCAATCGCCAGCAAGTGGAGGAGGAGCAAATGCTCATTAACGAGATGAAGAAAATCGAAGCCCGCAAAAAGGAACGGGAACGCAAGACGCAGGACCTGCAGAAGCTCATCTCGCAAGCTGACCAGCAGAATGAGCACGCCTCCAACACGCCCAGTACGCGAAAGTACGAGAAGAAGCTGCACAAGAAGAAGGTTCACCCTCAACCGCGGCCCTCCAAGGTAGACTCTGTGGTTAACGCCATCGAGATTGGCAGCAGCGGCATCAAGTTCGCCGACCTGCGTGGCTCAGGGGTCTCGCTGCGCTCGCAAAAGATGAAGCTGCCGGCCAACATTGGCCAGCGAAAGGTAAAGGCACTCGAGCAGGCCATCCAGGAGTTCAAAGTTGGTGAGTTGTAACGAAATGGCAAAGACTTTCGCTAGCCGACGCTAATTGTGCCCATGTACTTTGAAGATCCCGCACCGCCGCCCACGGAGGAAATATGCACCTCCTTCAACGAGCTGCGTTCCGACATGGTATTGCTCTGCGAACTCCGCACAGCGTTGTCCACCTGCGTCTACGAGATGGAGAGCCTTAAGCATCAGTATGAAGCTGCCTGTCCGGGCAAGGTGGGTGTCCACTAACCAAGTTTGTGAAGCATCTTGTTTGATTTCTGTTTTCTTCTCCTAAATCCCATGCAGACACTCAACATCCCACCCTCGCTGGTGCCCATCAAGACCGAGGCCCTGGACAATACCTCAAATTAATTAAGTTAACGCGGCTCGCTTACCCACACAGGGAGAGAGATTCTCCAGACGCCAAAGTGTGTGCGGCGTGCTAATCATTGTAACCCGTTTTCCACTATTCCATATTTGTGCATTTGCGCTACTCCCAGTCCGCTTGAGGAAATAAATGGATAAACAAGAAAATTGTTTTGCGGCACACTCGATGTGAAAATCAAATAGCCCACGGCCAGCGGTGGCCAAGCAGCAGATGCCATGTCGAGTGTGAGAACTTTTTCCCGACCATTCGGCCATGATTTATTTTCCAGCTAGCCGTGTGCTCTGTTAGTGGCTCGTATTTGGGTTAGGCAAGCAGCCACAACACCATGGGATGCGATCTTTGGCGAACCGAAAAGGAGAGAATCGAACTGGGCTGAGCGCGCTGATATGTTCAATTCGATGCCTGCCCACACAATTCGGATATACAGATGCAGAGGCGGAGGCGGCGTCCCATTCATCGGGACCAGTATTTGTGAATGAACCGAATGCGAAGGCAAACATTCGGGCACACACAAACACACAACACCCATACGAATGCGAGCGTAAAGCGAGACGCGGAGGAGCGGCGAGGAGAGGCGGTGGAAAACGCATATGAAATCATTCTGTTGGCGGCGGCTCGACCTGCCTTACCTGAGCGTAGGCCGCTCAGTCGAGTTTCAGACGTCGTCGGGTCCACTTCGTTAGCGCTACCTCGTCGTCTCTCTCTTTCTGCGAGTGTGTGTTATTGTCGGTGGTTCTCTGCCTCACCTGGGGCCGCATGCAACCCGAAAACAAAGTTCGTCTGAGCGGCAAATGTGAAAATGCAAATTTGACCATCCTCGAGAGTTGGTTGCCGGTGAAATTACCTCGCGCAGCGCTACCTGGCATTCCTCGGTCACAGTCAACGTCATTGTCAGCGTCATCATCCCTCCAGAATCTCTGGGAATCCTGGCGGGGGGGCAAGGCAAAGTCGGACTCGCATCCGTTTCCGGTTCTTTCTGTTCTGTTGATTGTTCCCTATACATACATTGCAGTCGGTAGTTTTTCATGAATGAAATTTTAATTTCATGAGTGCGCGAGTGTGTGTGCACCGCATGTCCAGTCACAGTTCCAGTTCCAGCCCGAACTCCAGCGGTGTCAACTGACGGTGCCCTCCGATCGCATTGTCGACGCTGCCGGGGCGTCAGTGCACCGTAAAGATCTTTATCGCATTTTAAATACGTTCTGGAGCAGAAGGCAGAAGGCAAGACCCGGCCGGCAGGCAGGTAGACGGAAAGCGAGCCAGGTTAATGCGGTTTATTGTTCTATGAACGCTGGCTGGCACCGCACTCTGTTTAAGTTTCGCACGCTGATAAAGAGGAGCAGCGACAACATCGAACGCACGGACTTCGCCCTGCCCATCAAGATGTGGCCGAAGCTCAGGTGAGTCTCTGGCCCAATTCGCTGGTTAAATAAACATTTATATGTGTATGTGCTCTAGATGGGGGGGAGACCCCCACGAGGCTTTATGTGTTATGCGATAGAAATCTGTATCTGGCATTTGCCATTTTCTACAGCAGCGTGTGTAGCAGAAATTAGCACCTTTTAATCTAATAATAGCGCTGGAAACGAACGCAGCCTAATCGCAGTCTTAATCGTAGAGTGCCCGTGGGCAGGTGAATGGTTTGGATTGGCTAAACCCGGCTCATAATGAACTCGTATTAAAAATTCAAAGCTATAATGATTTCAATCAGCTCGCAGTCATTTAACGCCGCCCAAGCGTAAGGCACTTCCGTTGTGTTTGTCTCAAATTTCGTTTAATTTCACGGGCTAATGTCTTCCCAATTCACCCGGGAAGCCCACGCTTTTCGAGGGCCTAAACCCAAGAGGCCCCCAAGAAATGGGAAGAGACAACATGAGGAATGGAACGAACGAACCCACACACGGAGCTACTCCACTGTCTCTCCCTGCTCTCGGTTTACGCGCAATTAGCGCTTTGTTGTTATTGTTGTTGCTCCACTCTCTTCTAATTTCATATATAACTCATCATTTTCACAGCGGGATCTTCGGCCTGTGCCCAACAGCCACAATGAAGGAAAACTCTTTTTATTTTTATTTTCATTTCATTTTCAAAAACGCCCACAACAACAATGAAAGCGGAGAAAAAAGATTGCTCATAATTAATGTTTATATAATTTTTTACTGCTTTACATGCGGCTCATTAGCCGCCCGGCTCGGCTTGCCTCCGCGGCGACCGCCGTTTCTATTTCGGTTTCTGTTCTTCTTGGCTTGACATGGCAGGTTCGTTGCCTAAGTCTTTTGTTTGCCAACTGCCAACTGGCAGCCGTGGGCGTCCGCTTGATGCGGGAAGCAGACCGACTGCGACTACGACAGCCACCGCAGCAAATGCCCAAGGAAAAGAGATAAAATAAGAAACATTTGTGCTACTTACCTGCCGCTGGAGCTGCTGCTGTTGCTCCACAACAAGTTGCCAAATTTGGCAATGGGAGCGCAGAGCTCAGAGAGCTGCCTGCTGCCCACTTACTTTTGTGCCCAAAGTGTGTCGCTGACATCCGAGCATCCAATGAGCTAATGTCTCTTGGCAAAGATGAGGCTCTGCTGACACAGCATTGTCGCTTGTCACAGGGAATGGGCCGGAATAGGACCTGGGGCTTCCACTGGTTTCTGGCAGTGCATGCATAACTTATACACAGCCATTCACTTAGCATACTCCTCCGCAGCATCCGAGCAATTTCTTGCCATACAACTCTAGACTGTCTCTGGCATTTGCATTTGTGTGTGGGCAGCCCACCGCGGTGTGTGTGGTGTGGGCTAGACCAAGATGCGAGCCAGTGTGTGTGTCTTTGTTTGTGTGTGGCATATGCCAACTGCTGTCGCATAATATCTTTAATTTAGTTCATTTCCAAGCCCATTTTCGTGACGCTCCGCCAACCCCACACTCAGCTTTCTTCTCGTCGTATAATTTCCCTCAAAATTTCATTGATTTTTCGGCTCTCGTCAAGCGATTTCCACTTTATTTATTGGTTTTCTGTCTGTGTCTTGGCTTTCGAAATGTCGCAATTAACAGTCGATTTAGCATTATGCACATGCGTTGGCGGCCTCCTCGTGTCTTAACTGGCTTTCTGAGGTTTTGCGTGGGCTGTGAACTTGGTCTTTAGGTTTTTTTTCAGTTTTTGTCTCAGTGCGGGGAGTTGGGAGAGGAAAGAGTAAGGGGTGGTGAGGGATGATGGAGAATGTCAGGTTTTTGGAGGAAATATAATATATTATTCGGTTTTTTACTTATTGTATTGTTTGTCCAAGCTTGAAAACAGTAGAATAATAGCATTAAAATATAAGAGATCAATAAATCCCAAATTTGTAAGTTATGAGTGTTTTTTTAGGTCTAATTAATAGATAGATTTCACACTAAATGTTTGTCAGATGACAAGATTGTTTGAGTTTAGGAAAAGTCTCTAAGCTTTTGCAAATACCAAGAGTGATTTCTATACAAAACACATGATATGATTCTCTTCTACCATTTACCTTATTCAACTCCACGTTAAGAATATATAAATACCTTTTTATGCATTAAATTCGTGGCCCAAAGGCAAGTGAAATGAGCTGCAGGAGCGAAATGGACAATGCCCATAAATTTCGGTCTCAAATTGCTTTTAGTTGTTCGGTTCAGCAGCGGCTGCCATCGGCATATTCATATGCAAATGGCAGACACAACACAGAAGGGACTCCGGCTCCTCACTCGTATCTAAAGACTCTTTTGGGCCACAGCAAAGGCAACGAGAAATCCAATTTAATTTAAATTAAACACACTGCCTGGACACCAAGTTCATTCATTCATTCATGTTCATGCTCGGACCGGGACCGTGTTCGGGAGCCCATAAAATGCAAGATTTTGTAAATAAAATAAAAATGCAAGCGCACAAAGCCCGGCTTATGGTTTGTTTACCTTGCCCCAAGGGAAATCGGAGCAGATCTCATCGGATCAGCCAACTGTTCCTCGCATTCGGATTGGGATTTGGGGTTCGGATTGGCCGACTGTCGACTCGTTTCATGTTTGGTATTGGGTCTCATCTGAGACCTGCAGCGACTTCTGCTGTCACTTATCGGTTACTTGGCCTGCGATTTGCTTAATTGTTCGAGTGTCTGCCAAGCACAGCTGCCCACGTGTGAGTTCAATTAAAAAGTAATTTGCCCAACGAAGGCAAAACAAAAGGCAGCCAAATCCGTTGCGAGCCACCCACACGTTTCCGCTGACTTGTCGTCTCGGCCCACTCTCAAAAAATAATACTTACTAATTTTATTTCTCGGATTTGTTGTTGTTCGCTTCTCTGTTTTGGTTTTTTATTTTTCTTGTTTACAGCAAAAACGAGTTTGTGAGACCCGTGATTTGCAGTTCGCTTTGACAATATTACCAGCAATTCGAAACTGGCAGCGAACCCACAGAGAGCAACAAGCTGTGACTGCATGAAACACACACATTTGGGGGCAGAAGAAGTCTGAATAAATCAGAAGTTAGTTAATTGATTTTCCAATTAAATATTAATTGGTTTAAATATGTATTTAATTTAAAAACTGGCAGGGAATCGGGACTTTCGCAAGAGCAATTAATAAAGTTTATTAGGGGAAAAATAATTTAAAGTTGAAGTTAATCAGGAAAGTGACAAGATTAGAAGCTAATGGAGTCAGAAAACTTGATATCCTTATGAGATATTTGTGAATTTAAAATAATTTAAGGAAGAAGGAAGTAGTTATGACTACTTTACCCTTTAAAAAAGTGTACATTAAGCTAAAAAGAAACTAGAAAGAAACCGCAAAAATTGTATACTTTCTGTGCATATTGACGCCCAAGTAATGGCTTTGGACACCACTGAAATAAAAATAGTATATTCCTATATACTTTTCCCAATACACCAGCACTGTGTTTATTGTTTTGATGGACTTATAATTGTAGATGGAAATATAATATTTATGCTCCTTGTCAGAATGCCAGCATCCGTTTCCGTCTTACAAGAAAGACGCCTTAATGGGCAGCCTTCCGATGCGAGTCATTCACGCAGTCGGTTCTCACAGGCCCAAGGGGGGAAAAACAAGGAACCAGGGACCGGGGACCAGGATCACAATTAAATCCCTTTCGGTTTTCAGTTTCCTGTCCCCTTTTGTCTACTCCTTTTCGGCATGCTAAATACCCAGGCAGACCACAATGGTCGACGTGAATGTGGGATGTTTGCTGTGGATGTTGAATGTTGGTGTGGCTACTTCAGTTTCGAAAGCAGCTGCTTCGGTTTTCCACCTCTCTCCTGGCCTTTTTGTGTGCCGCACGTCTGTGGTTGCCACTTTGCGTGACATTTCGACCTTTGGCTGGCTTTTGCAGCAACTTTTACTATTTTCATGCTAGGCATAAATTTCATTTGCCACACACACAGTCTAACACACACATGAGCCCCTTTCGATGCGCTTTCAACATCCGAACAATGCCCCAGCAGGTTGATATTCAGCATGGCCAAGCCAAAAATAAAAAAAAAATTAAATAAAATAATATAAAAAAAGCAATTTACAAATTTCGCCTTTGGCCTATGCAACATGTTGCTGTCATTATGATTAGCAACATGTTGCCCAATTTGCCCGCCGCAGCAGCAGTTGCCGCTGCTGCCGTTTCGGCAATTCATGTCACTCGTTGCGGTTGCTTTGGCCCGTAAAAAAATAAGTTATTTTTTTATGTATAAATAATTAGGCAACTGCAACTGCAGCTGACGCCAAAAATTGTTTCCCTAAATTGCCGGGGAACTGGGTACGAGGACGAATTGCCCCTCACTTAATAAATGTATTTTACTGTTGGCGTTAAAACAGAATGGATTTTGTGACTTTTTGTTATAGTTTTCTTTATTTACTAAATAAATATATATATTTGGAACAAATAATTACATAAAAATACATTTTCTAACTCAAAATGTTTATTAATTTATTAAAATTTAATTTTTAAACGTGATAATGAATATATTCTTGTAAATTTTCCTGCAAAGGATCTTGCGTAAAGCATTGTTATTGAGTTACTTTTTTTCCTGAAATAAACATTAAAGAGCACCTATCATTCGTTATCTCTTTGGTCACAATTACTTGCTGTTTTTTCCCAATTTTTTTTTTCATTTATTGCCAAAGAAGGCAAGCTAACAAAAAACGCGTTTTTAATTGTTCGGTGGCTTATCGCATGTTTTGGCCATTTTGGGAGCGCAAAAATGTTGAGCAAAAGAGGAGAGAGAGAGAAATCAACTGAAAAAAACCCGAAAATAATAATATATTGTGCCAGTTAAGACTAAAGTTATGTGTGAAACAAATAAGAATTGATTTGTTTTTTCTTCTCGAATTTGTTGTGAGCAAACGATTGAAATTTCCAATCAGTTGTGCAGTCAGCTGCCAGATACACCCATTTTGCGGCGTCATTATCATATGTATCTGTATCTCTTGATCTTCATGCAGCATCATCAGGCAGCCAAGAAAACGCTGCAATGCCATTACCAGCACAAAGGCAAGCCATTTTCCGCCATTTGGCCAGGCTTACTCCCATATAGTCTTACGATGCGTACATATATGTTTAGGCATCCAAACGAGAGGGTTTATTTCCGCTGACGTGCCTTAATTTCAGTCAGTTTGGGACTGACTCTGGCCGCCGTTTCAGCCGTTTCTGGTGTTTTGGTCTCTATCTCAGTCTTTACTCTGTGTCTGCTCTGATGATGATAATGGCGATGGCGATGACTATGGCGCTATGCGCCTACACATCAGACAGCACAGGCTTTAGAGGTAGTTGCAAAGAGTTTCATAGCTAAGATAGTTGGTTGGAAGCTACATATCTAAAAAAAAACATAAGACTACAGAAAATAAACAAGCCTAGATGCCGCTGAAGTTGTGAATTTGAAATCCTTTAAAATAAAAACTTCCAAAGAATTCCTATTAATATAACAGACTTGATTTCAGGATTTATGAAATCAAAGGAAGGGTTAATAAAGACTTGAAATAAGTTATTATGTTAATTTATAAATAATGTAAAATTGTTTATTTTAAATACAATCAAAGTATCTTCATCAGAGTTTTATATGAGCTTCTTAGTATTAGGAAAGAGCATTCAAAATTCACCTTTTAAAATTTATAACCAACTGTGATGTGTGTGGGAGCTGGCAGCAGCTCCCTGCCCAGATGAATAATCAACCCAAGCTGGCGTCTCCAGTCTGCACACGGAAAAGTGATGGCGACGATTGCCTTGGGTTTCTTTCCGACTCCGACACCGAGGCTCCTGCCCCGCTCCTCCGACCTCCAACCTTCGGCTATAGTATCTTGATTAGCGAGTCCGTGCTAAGTCTGAGGCCAAACAGGCTCCACACAGAAGAGCAGCTAGTTAGTTGGCCACAGCCGATGGCTGATGGATGTGCTTTGATTGAGTGCGGGGACCTATCGCTTCGCTGAGTCAGCGGCGACAGGTCAGCCCGCTGGCTGGTACTTGAATCCGGATCCTGGGAGGTTTGAGGCGTGGCATTTTATGCATAATTAGCCACACTGAGGACCGAGGGGGCCCGAAGCCCAGGCAAAGGAAGAAGCGAGCGGAAATTGAAGGCACTCAAACGTTTCGAATCGCTGGCCAGTTAGCGTGACAGAGGTGGAGTTGAGCTGAGCTGCATTTTAAAATATATATTTTTATTGTTGAGGACGTAGCCGTTGTGTGTACGCAGTGGTCAACACTACGCTTAATGTGGGGATGCACAAAGAGAAATATTTTACTTTTTAAATTAAAATAAATAAATAGATATCTTAAACGGAATAGGGAATTCAGTTTCAATATTCTTGGTAAAAACCAAACGTTTAAGGCATTTTATCATAGGAATCTTATGGACTCTGTTACGAACAGCTGAACAATTTCAAGAAATAATCTGTAATTGATATTTCTCAGTGTGTGTTGATTTAGCAGAAAAAAACAGATTTATTTTGACCACGTACATATGCAAAGCGCATTCTAATGGAACCGGCCAGCCAGTGTTTCCTCTGTCCATACCTGGCCATTGTAGTTTGCAGTTACGCTCTGATTTTTGAGCCTCCACCTGTTTGCTGTTATTGTTTGCACGCTTCCCTGATGCCCTGCGGTGCGTTCGGCAATTGTTGTTGCTACCGCCGGTGGCCCCAAAACGGAAACGCCGCCTTTTGTTGAGCGGAAATGCAAACCGATATTGTTCAAGAACCTTACCACTCCACTCGTACCTATGATTGACTTTGAATGGGTCTCGTCTCGGGTTGCACCGTGTTGCGTCGCAGCTATCAATTACTAACTCCCAGTCCCCAGTCCCTGTCGCGATGTCATTGGAGAGTGCCATCGCCATCGCCATCAAGATCCCAAACGCCCAAACAAAAGGCAGTAACAGCTCGCCCACTTGGCTAAGCTCCCTGTGTGGGCAAGCCGCAGATCCAGATCCAAACAAGCAATTATGCAAAGCATTCACATATATCTCTCGCCTTCTATGAGTAAGTACAGCATACACATATGTTATGTACAAAGGAATAGGAGGAAGGTAACACAGCTTAGCCCCCTATGGTGAAGCGGGGAGAACGCAGCGGCGACAGGCTGCGAAGGTTGCACACAACTCGAAGATTGGGTAGATTCTGCGGATTGCGACAGAAGCGATCCCAGCCCTTCCAGTACTTGAAGCCCTCGCGTTCCTGGATCATTTTGGCGCAGGCAATGTCATCGCCAATGTCGTCGTTGGAGAAGTCTGGAAATATTTGACAAGGAAATACAATTTAGATCTTTGGCTTGGCAAAGGGTTCTTCCATTTAGTATTCATCGAAGAAGATTTAATTCATTTGTTGTACCACGAGCATTAACTATAAAGCTTAGATACTCGCATAGACGGACATTCTAAGATTTACCTAAAAAAATGTATACTTTCATCTCACCTTCACATTTCTTATTGCACTGTCCTCCTTTTCGTCCCTCGGCACAGTAATCCTTGCTGTTGATCTGGAACAAACCGTAGTTTTTGCTGGCGTTATCCTTTTTCGTGATCTTGTTGGTATCCAGGTAACTCTCATGCTCCACCAGACAGATCCCTGTTAAGAGTAATACATGAATTTAAAAAGGCTTATCTTATTCTAATACTTTAACTTACAGTTTGAGATGAAAGTCTTGTCGAAATTGTAATTTTCCACCAGCACGCGGGTGAGTTCGCAGCGTTGATATTTTTTGGACTCCACAGGCTTGGATCCCAGCAGCAGCAGGATCAGCAGAGGAAGCAGGCTACGTAAAAGCGTATTCATTCTGAAAGTGAAGAACCAAATCAAGGTCTTGGGTTAAGCATGGAGTATAATATAGGGAGCTTCCTCATTAGCTATGGACATACTTAACCGAAGAGTTCAGAGATTGTATAAATGCTAGGAAGCACCTGATCGTTGGAAATCAATGTTATTTCTACGGAAATTAGACTCAAATGAGCTTTAAAAGTGTTGAAATTCTACTGCACATCTGGCATTTTTGTTTGGTAAGGTGATGCTTTCACAGTTATTTGGTTTTTCACAGATTCCCATGACATTTCTGTTCCTTTTTTTCAACACCAAACAAGAACCACTCAATTGTGGCTAATGATGAGACCACTAACAAAACTCCATAGCTTTTACCTTTGTTTACTCCCACACAGTTTCGTAGGTTGGCATCGTTTCTGGTTTTTTGCATATAATGTGTTTTATATAGTTATCTATTTTATTATATAAATACCTTTCATGTCATTTGGCTTTAGTATCATACAAAGACTTAATTAATTCAAAAGGCATTCTATATGCTAAGCCCAGTGATTTCAATAGAATACATTTAGGTTTAGTTGGATGTATTAACTAGTACATGTATTTTAGTTTGTAATCTCCTGTCAAGTTCTGATTGTTCCGAGAATAAAAATCTATTATAAATTTCCATTAAAAAGGGTTACTAAAGAAAAGCAAGCCACTTGGGGAATTACTTATTACTTATTATTATATATTATAAATTCATTATATATAAAGTCCTTCTGTTATCGGCTGTTTTTTATATATATTCTTCGTTAGGCTTAGTTTCTGTTTTCATTTACAAAGATATAATCCGATCTATCCACCATTAAGCACAGTCTTCAAGGTTGCCAAAACGTAAACAGCGCCAAAAAAACAATCAAGTTTGGAGCTCTACGCGTGTCTACGTTTCACTTTTCTCAATTTGCATGCCAGCAGCGAGTGTAATAATAATGAGATTGAGTTACTTCCTCTGGCAGAACACTTTTACTTCAGCAAACAGTTTGTTTACTTTGTTTACTTAATTATCGCAGAGAAAACAGCGTGCTGCTCGACAGCAGGAAACGAGTTTGTTTAGGGGAGTGCGAGTCTAGGTATCGCGATTACCTGTATCTTCTTGCCGCGTTCCACAGGTATTTCGTGAGCTTTGCGATGGCGTGCTGCTAAATATCATTTGCACAACACAACACCCGAGATCGGATCCGGTGCGAAGCTAGCTCGCCGGTGCGACGCCGCTGACCCGAGTTTAAGTACTGAACGCCCGAATATTCCTAAAGTACAATTGCGACTCGGTTCGCGGCTGAGTCGAGGAGGAAATTCTCTCCCAGAACTCGCGGATCGCTCTATCGTATGAATATGCTCAGCGGTGGCCGATAAAGCTGATAAGGTCCCAGCACGCCGACACGGCTGACTTCCCACCTGAACTCTCTAACAAGTCCAAAGATCTGAGTTTTGGGTCGGAGAGATTCCCTTATTTGAGGAAGGCCTGGTATGGGTTGTGTCTTTCTCCGAAGTTTCATAATTAAAGCGATAAAAAGCTATACATTTAGCAATCAATGGAAATGGCATGAGTTGAGTGATCGAACTTAAGGAAAGTCTGTATTTACTTGAACAGAGTTCCAGGGAATATAAAGCTCTGGTATTAAAAATAGCCACAATTGTCGCAGAAACTTATGAAGGTATGATTCACGGTCTTGTAATCAAAGCTTGACCTTATAAGAGTTATAATTAAAGAGATATAATGTAAAAACTATAACTTAAACAAACAAATATTACGCTTACCTGTAGCCAATAGTTCCAGTTTTTTATAGTATAAATAGATAACAATCCCCATAATTTCTAGATAATTATAGCTCTTGAATCAACTGAATTTATATGTATAATAATTCATTTGTCCAAAGTATTCTCTATTTCAAACTTTTGTTTATTTAATTTTGTGAGGTGAATGATTAGCAAACAGAGATAGCATCTTGCTTAGGCAAGATAGGGGGAGATTCCTGGAAATACCCGCAAATAATCACTGTGATTTGAAAATAAATACACTTTTTTTTTCAGACATATTGACTTAAGCTTTATGTGATTTAGTAGCTATGTATACAGTTAGTTAAGGCTAAGAGCAAGTCGAAAAGCAGTCCTAGCAACGCGAAACGTCGGGCAGCGTGCGCCCACGACACTTGCTCATCCAACCGGGCCAGGCCTGGAATCCGTGGCGGTTAAAGATCTGCATGGCGCACCGTGAGTCATCCGAGATCTCGTCGTTGAGGAATTCTGAAATGAAAAGGCCCGGAAATCTCTGCACATTAATATCTGTGGCTCGCGTGGGCGGGAATGGCGACTGTGACTATGGGGACTCACCTTCGCATTTGATGTTGCAGATGCCCCCGCGACGACCTTTGCGACACCAGTTTTTGCTGTTGATCTGTGAAATGTGGCGGATTCGTTGAGGGAAAACTGGAAGAGGGATTTGGGTTAACCCACCTGAAAGAGGCCGTAGCTGACGCTCTGGTTGGGCAGCTGCATGGACTTGGATGTGCTGCGTCCGCTCTCTGCTTCCACAAGACAAACCCCTAAATGTGTAGCAATTAATATAAAATATACAATTTAAATAAATTTTATACAAGCTAATGAAATTTATAATAAATAAGATTTTCTTTCAAAAATAAATACAATTCAGGCAAATTGAAATCCATCTAAATTTAAAATGACAAGTAAATTGTTTAAGAAATTAATTCCCAATGACTTTAAAATCACCTTTATCCTTACATTTATTTGAAAACCCAGTAAATCTTTGTAATAACTCCACCACAAATACTTTGTAATTAAGAATCTCCTTTGTTAATGCTTTAAAACTTGGCCCATACTCACAGTTGGACAGATAACTGCGGGGAAAGTCATGTCGCAATAGCTCCTTGGCCAACTGACACCGTGTCAGCAGCTTGGACTCCGTCTCCCATTGCGAAAGCAGGAGAAGATTCAGCACCAGGACGAGGGCACCGCCCTTGGGCAAGTGACTGGCCATGTTGGGTTGAATGAAGGGAATTATCGTAGGTTGTAGGGACCACTGCTAATCCTTTGGACTCGACTTGAGAGATTCCAGAGCTTCCCACCGCGGCAACTGCGAGCACTGTGCACTTTGCTGCGGAATTATTTCTACGAAACTGGATGCGTAGCGCCCGAAATCTGGGTTTTTAAAGCCTCGCACGCAGTTTTTTTTTTTAATCCGACTCTGGTGGTGTCTGTGGAAGTGGGAGGTGTCACTCGGGAATGGCCTGGTGACATGGAAAAAATATGGAGGGGACTCAAAGATGATGACAAGTTTAATGTTTTTTCATAATATTTTAATGTTTTATTTGGGTGTCTGAAGGTATAATTCCACTGATACATATCATATTCTCGATTATGATCCTTATTTTTTTTCCATTCGCCCCGGAAATGTATTTCGTATATGTACAAAAATACCGAAAAAGATTGATAAATAACGAAATATTATAAGTTCGATCAGGGGAGAAATACAACAACAAATCCATTCACATGTTGCCGAATTAAAAAAATACAGCGGAAACACCCACATTCAATGAGTAATATTATGTAGCAATGGAATTACAGTATAAAATGTTAGTGTTTTTATGATATTTATACATCAGAGCCCTAGATTATCTCGCAGTGCATTCCATAAATCGCTCTGATTGCGTTAAGCTCTAAATTGGCAAATTGTCTTGCAGAGATAACAATGGGAATCTTAAGCCCGAAACGCATGCCCACATGGGGCTGTTTGTGTTTGTGTGTCAGAGTGTCAGTGACAACTGCGGCTTGACCTAAAAACGCACGATCTGATGATGTGCGGGGAGTGCATCCAGTGCATCCCCAGCACACTTGGTCTCCGTATCCAAGTGTTTACGCTTTCAATGGACATGCCACTAATTTCCATGAAAACTTTTCCACTTACAGCCTACTGGCACTTCTCTCGCTCTCGCTGCTGTCCGACCTGGCAGCGGCCAATGACCTCAAGGATCTGCTGGAGGACAGCACAACGAGCAGTACCAGTACCAGCACCAGTACCTCTTCCTCCTTGGCCGCCTCACCCACAACGCCTATGGCGTATGTGGTATCAGCGGCTGCTGTGCCCGCCACTGTCACAGGGAAGATCAGATCCAAGTCTTCGTCCGGGAAATATGTCAACAAAAGTTCGCCCAGGAAGCGCAAGGCGGAGCAAGTCTCCTCGCTGCCGCTGCCCGTGGACGATGAGCTCGGGGAATGGAAGTGTCCCAACATAACGGGCACCCGGAATGCAGAGCTCGAATGCGGATGCGATCTGCCCCACACGCTCAGGTGCAACATTGATCTGCACGGATTGCTGGTGAGGATTCCCCTGGCTAATATCCCAATGTAGGTTATTCAACTTTATTGATATATTTCAGCTGCTTGCGGATAGACTACGTACCTCTCCGTACTCCATCTCCCTGCTGGACTGCTCCCTGCGCAATGTTACCTTCCTGAGCGACGCCAAGATCTTCGACGGAGTCTCGCTGCACGGTCTGGTCATTTCCTCCGGCGAGATTAAACGGGTGCACAAGTCCGCCTTCTTGGGCATCCGGGGGCCACTGCAGGCTCTTGGTCTGCCCGGCAATGCGCTGATGAGCGTGCCCTGGAATGCCCTTTCCACACTGGGCGCCTTAGAGCGTTTAGATCTAGCCAACAACAAGATCAAGGCTCTGGGTACTGCCGACTTTGTGGGCCTAGGTAGCCTGGTCTATCTGGAGCTGAGCAACAACCAGATCTCGAGCATCTCGCAGCGAACTTTCGGTAATCTTCGAAAGATGGAGGTGCTAAAGCTGGGCGGGAATAGGTTGGGCGACTATCCGCAGAGCCTGAGATCCCTGAGCCAGTGCCTCAGCCTGCGACAGCTGGATTTGCAGGCCAACAACCTGAACGGACCACTCAGTGAGCAGACGCTGCCCGGGTTGAGGAACCTGGAGAGCTTGAATCTCAATCGGAATCTGATCAAGAGCATACAGAACAAAGCCTTGGCTAACTTCTCGCGACTGGTTAGTCTGTCGCTTCGCCACAATCAAATCGATGTGCTGCAAGATCACGCCTTCTTTGGACTGGGCGCTCTGGACAGCCTGGACCTCAGCTACAATGGCATCGTGGCCATCTCCAGTGCATCGCTGCAGCACTTGAGCCGTCTTACGGTCCTAGATCTCACGCATAACTTCTTGAGAGCACTCACCTCGGATCTAATAGCACCGCTACCCTCTCTGAGGGAGCTGCGATTGGCTGGCAATGATATCTCCATAGTGGCCCGGAATGCCATGGATGGGGCTCGGGAGCTGGAGAGTCTGCAGATGCAGGAGAATCCGCTCTCGTGCGACTGCAGCATCCGGCCCTTCGCCGAGTGGCTGCAGGTGTCCCAACTGCATTCCAGTCTGACTGCTTCCTGTGTGACGCCGCCCCGGTTGGAGGGAGCACCTCTGCTTCAGGTGCCCGTGGAGACGCTCAGCTGTGACATGGACAATGTGGAAAAGGACAATGCCAATATAATGCAACATCTGGAGACGCTGGCTAAACCAAATCAGACGTCGCCCGTCAAGGACTTGTCTGAGGAGGTAAGAAATGTTTAGAAAGTCATAAAATACATTTTATACTCCAGATTATGTTTATTATTATTATAAAGAAACAAATACTTAAATTATCCCTTCTCTTCAATAGATTATTCTACATGAGCTCCACTATTCTGCGGATTATGGTCTCATCCTTACCTGGCTCCTGAATCTTAGCAAGAAGGACTACATGTGCGATGCCATCTTTGTCTATAAAGAGGAGAACATAAATGAGATTCTCATAGACAACTCACCGGTAATAAGCTTAAATAAATATTATATTTAAAATCTTTGCTAAAATTTGATTCCTTTCTCTTCCAGATCCATTGCGAGAGCAAAGTAGTCAATGGCCAGAACACAGTCAGCGTCATTGTGCCGGATAGCTCTTCCCTGGAAATAGGCGAAAGGTGAGTTGTTGCATTTCCTCTTTACTTGAAGATTATTCACAATTCCCAATCTCTTCCAGCTATCGCTTTTGCCTGGTCATGGTCCAGGAGCAGAATCCCAAGGCTGATCTGAACATCGGCTGCTCGAACATCACCCAGCTGCAAATGAGCAGCCCCGGCTCCATTCCCGTGTCGCGTCAATACCAAAGACGTCCGTACTACACGTCCAATGAGCTGAAGCCGGAGGCTGTGCTTGAGGCTGGCGAGGATTACCAGCTCAATCAGCGCCGCTTCAACCCCGTGGTGGTGGGCAGTCAGCCGCAGCAAACGCATCCCCACCAGCAGTCGACGCTGCTGCACAGCTACACGGTGATCGATTCGCTGAACAAGAGCTTCCTGCCTGGTCTGGGTCTGGGCGTGCTGGTCACCTCAGTGCTGGTCCTTATCTGGGGAGCGACCCGCATCCGACACACGGGTGGCAGCAACGGCGGAGGAGGAGGTGGCGGTAGGGGCAACGACAGCATCGGCAGCAACAGCAGCAGCATGCACAACAACAATAACAACAGTCGACCGGGCACTCCGACGGCAACCACTTGCTATGCGGCCTCGGATCACATAGCCCGGCTGGCGGATGCGGAGAGCGGGACGCGCTACCTCAAGCTGCAGGCCACGACCAGCCTGTGAGGCAGCACTGGCAGGGCGTTGCACCTGCCCACTCAATAAACCATGTGATAGTACAGTGGCAACTGTACCGACTTGCGTAGCTTAGACTATAGAAGTAGCCCTAAGGTCCACTGCACTAATCCAAATAGTTGGCCCACACACTAACCCACTTGTGCCATAAGCTAATCGATACGTATCCCGAAACTCCCATATATAAAGGAAGAGTGTACAGATGAGGTCAACAAAATAGGAAAGCGAATAACTACTGAAGTATTTGAAACAAAATTGAGCTCAGTCTTAATTCTTCTATAAAGTCCAGTTAAGATTTTTAATTTTGGTAATCTAAAAAGCTTGAACTGGACTTGGTATCCTTGAATATAAAATTATATAAAAAGCATATTTGCTCACTACAATCAGGGATCTTTCTGCCTGAACTATCACCACTATTCTATTGACCTCAACTATATCGATTCCCTCAAATGTCGGACCTCTCTTGGTCGCATCCCGAACTAGTGTTAGCTTAGTGTACGCCTCCTTCGTGTTAAGAACGAAAAACGTAAGTCATGACCCCTTACAAGTAAGGCTTTAATAATTTATTAACCAATTCAAAGCACACAAAATAGAAAAGAAAAACATAATAACAACAAGTAAATAAATGTGAAATGAGAAATAAAAGTTAATTTCAATCGAACTGAAAGAGTTCCTAAGGTCAGTTGGCCAATTTTCGGGTTTCTATTTTTGGGGGCTAGGCATTATTACCGCATAATGCTAAGTGGGATATTAACCCCGAACATCCGTGACGTCACGAATAACACGCCACATGGAGGACCGTCAACCAAATTAGCTAATTTCTCATGGAAATGTGTGTGGTCACCACCCACGCTCCCCCGGGAAACTAACTCCACCACACACACATGCCGACTCTATATACAGGGTACTCCGTTCGGCAGTCCGCTTATCCTATCCTTATCAATCATTGCCCAATTTATCGACTTAATGAGAATTTTTAATGCTTATCCAGAAATCAAAGTTGGCAGCCACATGAGCTGAACTTCGGATGCCGCCCCCAAACCATGGGCACCTCCTCCTCTAGTCTCTAGCCGCATTATTGTTGTGGCCATCCGCTGCTGATATGGCGACCGTGCCTCGGCCGTTCGGTACCGACTTTCTGGCTGGGTCAGTCAGTTGTTCCGTGCCAGCCGTCGGGCGACAACAATGACCACTCGACGACGCAGCCAACGTGACGGCATTTATCGATTTTTGTCACCCCCCGTGGAGCGCTAGCTAGCTCCCAGTCAAGGAAAAGTTCCAGCTTGCAGACCCATCGCTGGGTCGGACATCTACGGCCTTCACATGAGCATGCTGGGATTTGTGTACCTGGTTCTAATCCTGGGCTGGATACTGATCGTCTTGTTCCTTAAGTGCAAAAAGTCCTTGGCCGCTCCATTTCGATTTGGCGAGAACTACACTGATGCCATTGCCGATACGGGTAGGGTGCACCAATGTCCGTTTTCTGTTTCTTTTCGGAACAATTTTATACGATTTTTTTATACCAGACCAGTTAAAGACTCCAGAAATCTTATAAAAACTATAATTTTTATAATAATTTTCGCAGACCGACGTCCCTCGGTGCATGTAATCCAACTGCAGCACGATGATGTGGAGCGGGAGGATCACTATCTGGACAGTTTTCACCAGAACACGGAAAATCTGCAGCGGTACTCTCATCGCTCGCAACGCTCCACCCTGGAGGAGCGTACCGTTGAGCGGACCTATCCCACGGATGCGGTGATAAATCCAGCCTATATGCACGACGAGGATTATGTGATCAATGGTAAGCAAAGCTGCTGAAACCAGAGAGAGCTCTTCTAGTAATCAAGTTTTTCTTAAAGCCCCACCACCATCCTACGAGGAGGTAATGCGTCAGCCACAGGTGTACCCACAAGTGCGACACAACAATCACAAGATCAGTGATGCTAACATTTAGATATATCCCAGATATATCTGCCACCAACTTGTATATACGCGTTCTTTCGTCTTTGTCTCTCTCTTAGCTGTGATTTACAGTTTATGTTTACGTTACATTTTGGTTGTTTTTTATTTGACATTTGACCTAAAGAAAACATAATCAATTCGATTGATTCAACTTAGGTGGCCTGCGCCCTCTTGCACTGCGAATAATAGTAGTGTTTACATAGAAAATGTACAAAATGATTTTACGCATAAGAACGATTAATAGTTATGTGATTACGATTAATGATTACAAACAAACAGTCAGTCCACACGGATTGTAATTGTAATTGTAAATAAATTAAGAGTGAAGATTACTAAATAAAATGTGTACAAAAATAAAAATGTTCCCCTTTTTGCATCATTATTTTGGCTAGATTAAGTCGCTAAATTCGATATACCTCGTACATACATATATATATTGATACATATAAATGTGTTCCAACTTGGCTCAGTGCATTCACAGTTCTAATGACTTTAGTTGCGCCAAAGACCCTAGGATAAAAAGATGAGACTCTCTTGAAACGGTGTTCAAAAGCCAGAAAATCTATCTTATTATTATAAAGTCTTTGGGTTGCGGCTAGTGCCTATGGCATACGTCTACGGGAGCACCTTGTGCACGCTGTGCATTTGGATGAAGGCCTCCAGTTGCGTGGGTATCAGGCCCTTAAAGTTCAGCTGGTGACTGGCGATGGTGCGTGCAGCCAGGCACTTGAGGCTGGTGTGGGCATTCTGATAGGCATGCAGCCGATTGGCCAGGACAGCTAAAATGCAGACATGTATTTATAATATAAATTATTTAAGTTTATATTAATTTGTTAACTTACGTTGCTTGCAGGCCGTAGCCGCTGTCTGGCCAGCCGCATTCACCGCATCCAAATGGGCCCCAGCCTCGACGAACAATTGCAGAATACGTGCCATTTCCGCCTGTCGATCCTGCGTGGTGTTCACCTTGGTCACCAATATGTGCAGCGGGGTATTGCGTGCCGCATCCACAGCCACCACAGAGGCGCCGCAATGAACCAAAACCAAGGCAGTGGCATAGCAGGGGAATCTGTGTAGAAAATTCGTTGAGTATAGTTCGGTTAAAGGTAACAATAAACCTTAGTTACCTGCACATTTCATTTGTGTAGAACTCATCCACTGGCATCACCCCATTGACTGCGATATGGAGCAAGGTCTGGCCGTCCTGCAGGCGCGTGTCGTTCTGTATGAACTTGCGCACCACCAGAAACAGCTGCTGGATGTGCTCCTCGTTGATATCCTGATCCTTCTTGCGACGAGCCAGGTGTGTGACTATTTTGATGAGATACAAGGCAGTTATGCAGTTCTGATTGTTCTGGTCCTGCCATAGACTGGGACAGTTGTTGGGTTTGGCTTCCTTTATCTTAAACTTGTTGTTTTCGATTTCCTGCTGGCACTTGGCCAGAACGGGCAGAACGTGATCCAGGGTGAGGTTGTGGTTCTCAACGCGCAGAATCTGGGCGAAAAGTTGAGCGAAACGCAGGAGATCGCGATCTACAGAGACCTGGAAAATATATACAAAATGTTAGGCTTCTTTAAAGTTAAAATCAATTCTAAACTCACATTATTACGCATTCTCAGATCTATGGCATAATTCCAAAGTACTTGGCACTGATAGAACCTGCCCTGATCCGCCATTACTGCTCCCCGGTAGATGATGGCCTGCGGCAACTCCGGATTATTGCGTCCCAATATGCGTTCTCGGATGGCCAGAGATTCCATGTGAATGGAGTGATGATTCAGCTTGATGGCATACAATTCCGGCAGGTTTTCAGTCTCGAACCAACAGTCATAGGCGGCCACAGAGGGTTGAACCTTCTTTCGGATAACGCGTCGCGGATCGCTATACCTCATCTGCATGGCCCTCAGCAGATAGCTGTACGCCTTGTTCACATCGTACTTGGTCTTGTCATTCGCATAGGTGGCTCCCAAGAGCTCTAGGGCGGTGATCTGCTCCTCTAAACTCATCAGTCCAGGCCTTTGAATGAACGCCTCGAGAACATCCTCATGAAGTCGTTCGGCCGCCTGCAAGGCTGGTGTGATGCCTAATTCATTGTTTTTGAGCGTGGCTCCATGGTCCAGCAGGGCCACCACCACATCCAGATGACCGCTCTCAGCGGCATAGTGCAAGGCAGTGGCTCCACACAAGGCCTGGTCGTTGGCCCTGGAGCCATTCTGCAGAAGGGTATTGACCACCAAGTGGTGACCCTTGTAAGCGGCAATCATCAGTGTGTTGTTGTTAAACAAATTCGTGGCATTCACATCCGCTCCATTGTCAATGAGGAATTCGACAATGTCCAAGCGACCTGGAAGGATATTCATATTATTAACAGATTTTACGGTTTCTGTATATGAAAAGAGTGCATGTTTTAAGGACAAAATTACACTCTTGTCGATCACTATCAGGGTAGGAACTTACCCTCATAGCAGGCTGCTCTCAGCGGCGACGACTGCGCCTTGGTGTTGTGGTTAATGGCCGCCCCCGCCTGCACCAGCATCTTGACAATCTGCAAATGTCCCATGCCTGCGGCCACCCAAAGGGCGGTGGCTCCATATACCACCATTCCGTCAAAGATGACATTGCACTCCCGCTCCAAATCCACGTCATAGTGCGACAGCAGGGTCTTGATGAATTTCACATTGCCCGACATCGCGGCCATGGTGAGCGGGGTCAGCGATTGTCCATCTGGCTGATCGAAATTCTGGGGAAACAGAGAAACAGAGACACAGAGAGAGAGCGTTAGAGGGGCCGTCAACTTATGATGTGCGTGCGCAGCCGTTTCACAGTCAAGGTTGGACGAAAATAGTGCGTCGCTAGTGCAAAGTGTATGGCATATGTATCCATCTTGGTGGAAAATGTGCAGCAGGCTTTCTTTGTTCGCTTTACAATGGAAAGTCCGCGGACCAAAGTCCATAAATGGGCTATTGCGATGCGGCCACAGAAATAGCATCTGGGTCAAGAAACTGCTGCCCAGGGACATCACACACTCACCGCCGGATACGTGATGTAGTTGGTCACCGGCAGCGTGTCGTTAGCTCCTCGCCAGAAGCCAGCTCCTGGCCAGGCCGACTCATACCAGCGCTTGCGAGTGCTGCAATTGTATTTGTATTTGGGGAAAGGCAATGATTCAAGCTCGAAGAGGATCGAAGAAAATCCTTCTATTACCGATATAGCTCCGCGTGCATGGCCTGGAATCTGAATTTTAACTGACAGCTGCCAGCATAGGTCCTGCCGAGCACCGAAAAACTCGATAAAACTTCGCCAGGCACACGATTCCCAACCCTAAGTTTGCATATGCGGCCATATCTGGGGGTTGAATCGAATCGAAACGAGGCAGAGAGATACATAGATCCTGCGCAGGGCCGAACAGCTGTTCCCGGAGAGAGGTCCTTGAGGGTTTGTTTACCGCCCGCAGCTGTTCGCCTGCATTCCTGCAAGCCATCGCCACACGCGGAGAGAGCAAAATCAAGGGTGGGGGAGTGGGAGCGACAGTCAACCGCATTCCTACACAGAGCGAAATCTTTTTATGTTTGTATGGAATTCTAAATCAAGCTTAAAAAAATATACATATGTAAAAATAAATATCCATTTTAATACACCCTATAAAATACATAAGAAACCAAAAAAGTTGTTACAGGCTTCGAGTATTTCTAATATTATACTAAATGGCAATCAAAAAATAGAATAAAATAAATTAAAAACACATACTTTTTTTGTGTTCTTATCTGCAATCATAAACTAATCGCTTTATATACAAAAGTATAATTACTCCCTATTGCATTACTTATGTGAGGAATGTTTGCTCTACAAAATTCGATTAGATTACGACGCAGCGCGATGGTGCTGAATATATTTGGTAAATAAACAAATTAATAAACGCACATTTCACATTTAAGATTTCAGGAAACTGCAAAACATTCGCGGGTACTGGCAACCGGCCAATTCCGTGTCCAGAGAGACACGCCACCCATGAGTAATTGGTTAAAGATGGCCCACTACTGAGTGTCACCTACTTGATATCCAATTGATTGTGGCACTGTGCCTCTCTCGGTGCCTAGAATAGGGCTTGGATCTATATCGTTCGGTCATTAATTTCCCATTTTTGCAGCAATTACTGCACATTGCCGCTTTTTGCTCGTCTTTTTGGCAGACAGTAAAGTTATAAACACACAACAAATTCGAGTACAGTGGTAGCTCGATAAATATAGCCATTCAAATGTAAACAAAATTTAGTTATTATCAAAGGTTAATGCAGATAATTAAATTTGAATCTTACAAATATTTTAAATATTTATAAACACAATTCTTAATTTAAAGCCTAGTACTCTGACGAGAAAAAACCGCTGTATAAATTTAGACAGCGGCCAAACTCCATATAAAAAAAACGGTGTCGAAAAAAAAAGAAGAAGAACTTTTAGACACCTCTTTTTTTTCGGTACTCTGACGACGAAAATGAAGCCTGCGAAAATTGAATGGCGTTGCCAGATCAAGATAGTAAACAGCTGATATCGCGCTGTCTAAATAATTCATTTGATTTATTTAGACACCCCTAATGGAGGGAAAGTTGAAGGAAAAAGGTGACATTGATAGGGGCTGTCAAGGGGAAGCCCATAATATGGAATTTAACCCACAAAGGACATTTTAATGCCATATTTATTATTATTTTTAATATTTTTTTTGAATATTTGTTTACAAACAGCTGTCCAGTGTGACCAAGGAAAATCCTTAAACGCCATAAAAAGTACATTTTCATGGAATTTCCTTAATTTTTTTGGTCACACTAGCTCGGTAGCGAAATAAACAGCGATTCCGCTGTCTAATTTATACAGCGGGTTTTTCTCGTCAGAGTACTAGGCTTAAAATCTAAAGAAAAGGAATCTATGTATATTTTGAAGACACTACTTCTAGTCCACCGACCACTGCCAACGAATGTCCACTGTAAAATGGACAGAGCATATGGCAACCTCCCCCTCCCTACCACTCTGTCTCTTTCCCTCACTCGTTCTCTCTCATAAACAATGACAACAAGCAAATACCAAAAACAAAAACACCAGCAATGGAGCGTTTAAATGCGCTCTTTGGGGCAGCGCAGACAGCGGGGTTTACATATAAACCCAATACGTATACGTGCGGCAGCGATTTTCATTAATGACGCAGTAGTAAATTAAGGCAATTACGCAAAGAAAGGCGTTCCACAGCAGCGTTCGCCCCACCGGGTACTCACTGTATTGACCAGGTGCGTCTGCACCTCCCTGCTGCTGACGGTGTTCAGGATCTCGACAAAGCTCATCATCTGGCCGCCACGAGCAGCCAAGTACAGGTTGTTTAGCTGGGAGAAGCGGAGGCGCTCCTGGGGGAACTTGGCCCGGATCTCCTCTGAGATCTCCACCAGCATGCCGTGGGCAATGTTGAAATACCCGAAGTCGGGTGGGTAGCCGTCGTATATAGAAGTGTGCTCCTCGTCGCGAGGCTCTTCCGCCGGATCGACCTCCATTCTGGTCGAGATATAGTTTCTATTTTTCACGGCGAAGAATTGACGGAATCTTTCGGAAAGCTGATCAATAGAGATGGAAAGACGTCGATGTTTTAATCGATAATGATAAAGGTATCAATAATCGATTAACGATGTTTTCAAACATTTTTAGTGCATCGATGCATTTTTCCACCTCTAATGTAACGTTGATAACGATAAGTTTAGGTGCCGCGAAAATTTAAATGCGCTTAGCTTAGTACATTTTACATTTCAATCGTTTATTCACGCATTTCATACAGATTTACGTATGTGTTCACATTATCATTTGGAATTCGTGGAACGTTTGCAAATATGAAATATGACAGTTTGACTTGTTTGGATTTACATATAGTTGTAAGTGTTCCCTCCCATTGTGTTTGAGTTATTCGTGAGTTTGGTGTGCGTGCATGCGTTCGAGTGGGGTATAGATTTGGTTCTGTGTGCAAAGTGAAAGTTTTAAACATTGGACCAGGCCTGGCCTTGTTTGCTTTAATGTACGGAAATATTGTATTGGTTTTTGTGTAGTCCGAGGAGGCCTGTCCAATGCAAAATTTTCATCGAGGCGTTTTATGGCTCTATTTTTCCGATCGTCCATCCTGGGACGATATTGTGCATCGGTTCGCATGGGAAAACTATGCCTAAACGCTGCGTTTGGTTCTTCTGTACAATCATATCATGGTTTTGCGGCTTTTTTTTTCTTCTTCTCCATCATTATAATTATACGATCCGTTTTCGAATACTATTATTGCATGTTGCTTTCGTGTATTTAATGCAGCATCCTCCAAATGCTTCGCCCGGGTTCTTACAACAACGACTCGATAAACAGTTCTTGCTTCTAATCAGCAAATTGAAGCCGTGCCACTCTGCACCACACACAGATCACGATTGACGATCACGGTTCACTTCACCCTTTCTGCATCCATTCACCGACATGCTCGTGAGTGTGGGGGCGGTGTAGGCTTTTGTACTTGTGGTTATAGTTAGTACACTGAAAATTTGTGATTACACAAAAATTTGGAGGCTGTTTCTGATCTGTGGCAGTTCTTCAAAAAGGAAAAAGTTCGCTTGTAGTCTTCTCTTCTTCTCCCGTTCATTTCTTGCCTATTTTAATTGGTGTTTTAAGTGTGTTTCATCATCCCGAAAGGTCTACTGAAAAGCGAAATTAAAAATTAGAATTTACTTTTATTTTGGTACAACAGAAGCAAAAGCTAATCGTTAAAAATATGTAATATTTACATAATTTGACTGAATTCAAAAGTGGTATAATAGGCGTGTACAAGAGTGTAAAAGTTTCGTATAAATTCAGCTTTCTTATTGCCAGATTTTCAGTCTTAATGTACTATGTTTCCAAACTAAAATAATGGGTGTTTTAAGCTGAAAAAATCGAATATTCATTTCGATCTGATGTAAACAATTCAATAATACAAGCAAGCGTAATTCATAAAATTAATCAACAATCTACCCGAGTGATTACACCCTCGGCAACTACTTGATCTACAAAGCAACTGGCGAAGGATTATCTTAGGTATTTACTTTACAGAGCCACCGAAAGGTGTTTAATTTGAAGCCGCAATGGCCACCGGTTGTATGGCAGCTGGGGCCGAGCTGTTGAGCTCCACCTTTATAGATGCACCACCTTCGGTCACCTTTGCTTCGTTGCCACTGCTCAGGCTGTGGCGAGAGTTGCGCTTGCGCTGCGTACGTCCGCCGGCTGTCTTGTTGGGCGATGACGACTTGGTGGTGGAGTCCGGCAGCGAGGACACGCTCTGCGACTTGTCGCCTCCCGCCCCGAACTCGGTGCTGGTGGAACGAGTGGTGTTCACCCCGTTCTTGGGCGGCGGCTGGTTTGTGTTGCGGCGATTGCGGCGACGATTGTTGTTGTTGTTATTGTTGTTGGACTTAACCACTGGCTTGATTGTGGTCTTGTTGGGATCGAAGAAGCTGTCCAACAGCTCTATAAGCTCAGTCTTGTCTTCGGCCTTCAGTTGTCCGATCGACTGAAGGGCCATGTCGAGGCCCTCGGTGCCCTTGTCCGCCCAGATGGTGTTCAAAGAGTTGAGATCAAAACCGTTCTCCGCCAACACGATGCGGAACTTGACAGCGCGCACACGGTGGTACAAAGCGGTCTTGAAATAGTTTAGAAAGACCGGACGGAAGGAGTTCTGGCGCTCCAGGTTCTCGTTCTGGGTGTCTAGCTCCTGGACATCGGATCCTACCAGCTCGGCAAACGGCTTCAAGGCGTTAAAAAGGTTCTCCATAGTCTCAGAGGACTCTGGCTCAGACTTGCGAATTGCGTTGGCAATCTGAAGGGCCACATGGAAAGCCATCTTGGCACGCACGCTGGCATTACCCTCGAACTCATCCCGCTCGAACTTGACGCCATTCTTCGCAGAGCGCTTCTCGTTAAAGTTGTTGTTGCTGCTGCTGCTGCTATTATTATCGACAGTGGTGCTGTCGATGGCCTCAGTGGATGTCGATACTGAGCCAGAGCCGGAGGCGGAGGAGGAAGAGACCGCGGTGTTGTCCTCCTTGGACTTGGACAAGAGCTTCGCGAGCTTGCGCAGACTATAGTTCTTGATGTTAGTGTCGCCAATGGAGGCCTTGGCCAGGTGAAGGCTGTTGGCGAAGGCCGTGACGGTCTTAGAGAATCTTTCAATCAAGCCGTACTTCTTAAGAGACTCCAAAATCATGTATGGAATGAACTTGCGCTCCTCGTGGTAGAGCAGCACAATCCCATTATAGCCGGAGCCGGCCTTCGCCGCCAGCTGTTCTAGCCAGTTGAGGAAGTCCTTCAATGCGGCGATCTCGGACTTTGATTTGATGATCTATTAATGGAAAATATTATAAAAAATATTAAAATTATTAGAAATATTAATTCTGTCACAAGTAAAATAAATTTTAGGAATTATAAAAATACTATTTATATTATATTTGTGAAAGGTTGCAATGTTTTCTAAAAAATTCATATTTTAATTTTAAGAAATAAGCATTTGTGTGTGAATATTTCTGTCATTTTATGAGTCGTTTGACAGCTGTCAGAAATTTATAAAATTAAAAAAAATTATTTAAAATGGAAATCAAATGCCTCCTCTGCTAAACATATATATTTTTAGGGGATTGGACTGTCTTACCTTAAAGGTCTGCATCGACTTCAGCATACGATAAAAGCCAATCGAAATAACACGAACTTGATGGCGCTGGCGCGCAGCTGGATTTAGATTCATATAGGGCATGATGTACTGCTGGAAATTATCAGTCGGTGTATAAGCAGCCAGCTGGACAATCTGTGGGTATAGCGAAAGTGGGGTTAGGTCCGATAAGCCGAAGAGAAAACTTTCTTTCAGAGTCGCAGCAGTGGATCTCACCTCATCGATTAAACGACGTCCAGTTGTGTCTATGTCGATACCCACCAGGAGGTACTTGCCCACGGGCAGAGTATCCTTTTCGATAAAGCCCGACGAGGACTGGTCGGCGGTGGCAGTAGCATCGATGTTGTCGGCACCCATTTTATCCTATATGAACTGGTGAAACCGATGAAAAAAATTAAGGTGAAGGAAGAAAAAAAAATTATTGACGTTTGACGTTAGATTTTTTTTAGAAGGGTAAAATTGTCCCTCGAAGACCGCGATTCGCTTTGAGACTTGTCTACGAACTGCCGGCCACTGACTTCTGGGAGTCGGTTGAACCCAAATGGGGACCAGGGAAAGCAGCGGTTCCTTTCCAGGAGCGCCATGTTCTTTCGGCCCTGCTCCACTTCCACACACACACACGGAACATACTCACCACAATCACTGATTTTATTTCACTCTTTTTTTTCACTCACTTTTATTGAACTCCTTTTCGTGTTAATTTCGATGGGCTCTTTCGCTTTTTACGAACTTCTTCCTTTATTTTTCAAAAGGGTAAAGCGAGATTTGCTTCCGTTCGACGAGCTTTCACAAATAAGAAACAAATCGTAGGACTAACTAAAACGGAATGAACTATTTGTGAAGGCAGTGCCCGGCGTTGACAATTCGTTGATTTTCTCGAATTCCACGGCCTGCTTGATGAGAACGTTACCTGTGGGTACGGTGGGCGCTGCGCGTGCAGATTAGGGCAAAAAGCTACTAGACCACTGCGACTCTACAAAGATTACTTGACTAATGGAATTACACTGGCCCAACGGTTGTTCTTGCCAACTGTTTAATTTAATTTCTGTAAATAAATAATAATAAAATAGCCGGCGAAACTTTGGCCGCAACAAGAAAGAAGTTAAGCTGAAAGTGCTGATAACAGCAGGTGTTTGCGATTCTATACTCGATATATCGATATTCATTTTCGAAAAAGCTCTACGCGTATGTGAAGTTGCGGAAAAATAAGTAGAAACTTCATCATGTTGTACTTATGATATATAAATTAAATCTGTGCTCTCTTAGGATTTCCGAAACTTGTATTCTACTGTCCGGTTTTCTAACGGTTGACCTTGTTAATTTCAAATTTCGATTTTAATCGAGCTTAATCGATACCACCGAGCTGCCACCTTCGTGTGTCCTTGCCAGATCGTCGCAAGCGGAAGCCCAGCTGTCAGCGTTGCTGCACACAAACAAAAACCAGCTGATGCGCTTCATTTCCCCGAATCAGAGTTTTTAATGAAATTGTAGTGAAAAAACCTGGAAAATCAGACAAAAACAAAGTATTTACAACTAAAACAAGCTAAACGAATGATGCACCATTAGTTGCACACCCGCAGACACCCGTGCAGACACAGTAAAAGATAAAACCGGGAGAGATAAGCGGTCCCAAGGTGCCAAACATGCTGTCCTACATCAAGCGTAAGCTCTCCGAATCGGACGGGGGCGGCGTCAGTGCGAGCACAACCGTGACGTCGTCGTCGTGCGGCGGTACAAGTGGCAGCGGGAGCGGCAGCACCAGCAGAGGCAGTATCAGCAGCAGCGGCGGACGCGGAAACTCGGCCGACGAGTTAGTGCGCAAAACGAGCCAGATGTCGATGGATGATGAGGCGATTGCCTTTGGAGAGGATGCGCTGCTCCACGAGCTGGGCTACAGGAATGCCACGGATCTGCAAGAGACCATATATGGTTTGAAGACTTTACACCTCTTAGCCTAGCACAAATTATGTAACCTTAACTTTGTTGTGCCGTCCACACAGATCTGTTGCGAGGCATACGCGATCCGGAGAAGCCATGCACGCTGGAGGATCTGAATGTGATCTACGAGGAGGGGATCTTTGTGATGCCTCCCACGCGCTCGAATGTCTCTGTGGTAGGTTATCCAGTTCATAAAACTGATAAGAAATAATACTCGTGATTATTTTAACAGTAACGTACAATTTTAACTTTAATTTTAAATTTTATCATATTCTTGGCTTTGTGCTAATTATTATAATTATATTTTTAGCTAAAACTGTGTAAATTGTATGACTACTTTGAATAGTTAACCATTTTTATGCTCTTAAGAAGTTTTACCTTAAATATACATGAATTATCCATTGTACTTACAACAGGTGCGCATCGAATTCAACCCCACAGTGCCCCATTGCTCCCTGGCCACTTTGATTGGACTCTGCATACGCGTTAAAGTGGAACGGGGTCTGCCGCACAACATCAAACTGGATATATACATCAAGAAGGGAGCCCATCAAACGGAGGAAGAAAGTGAGTCTAACTTCACTATCCCACCATAAATATTCATTTATTTACTTATTGTTTTACCCACACAGTCAACAAGCAAATCAATGACAAGGAACGCATTGCTGCGGCCATGGAGAATCCCAATCTGCGGGAATTGGTTGAGAACTGCATCAAGGATGAGGAGTAGTTGTCCCTCGGTCTTGTTTTTTGTGTGTATATAGGGATTTTTAAGGAATGTCTAGGGTTAAGTCTAACATTAAGTTGCCTAATGGACTGTGTGCATAGCATTAAAGCCCTTCAAATCTGTTAATCGCCCGGTGCTTGCTGCGGCGTGATTCTACCTGAATATCGATTGCTTAACCTCCTATCTATTTTCCCCCCGTTTGTTTACTGATAAGGCCCGGTTCCAACGCCCATTGTTTACATTCGATATCGCCGGTCGACGGACCGACGGACACTTGGCCGTGTGCACAGCGCTGTCATGGCGGACCGGATTGGAGGGCCGGCCATCTTGGGTGAGCATGACGTGCGCATGGATTTATCAGCTTGAAGAATATGTTTTGGGACGGGACAGGGCACTCACCTGGCGCTGTTAAGTTGAGTGCATGACACACATTTGGATCCGCTAATTTCTTTGCAACTCTCCGGTTTCAGTGAGCACTTTGTTGCAATGGCTGCTGCCGCTTTCTGCTGTCTCTGCTTCTGCTCCAATTTGCATTTCCGGGATTTTCCATTTGTTAAATTGCACTGCCAGCATTTCCCCCCAGCCATAAATATTTAGCAATATCAATTAGTTCCCTGGCCTCGCTCTAAAATGCTTTAAACTAATTTTCAAAGACTTGGCAAAAAAAAAACATCCCGAGGAGCAATTAAAACCATCTGCCGCTGGAAACTTTTTGCCATGACACTGCCGGTCAATATGCGCAGGATGGGGATTGGAATGGGTATAGGAGGATGCCTCTTAGGCGTGCTGCTGCCTCAAAGGGCGAAGGAAAAATAATAAAAATGAATACGCAGACAAAAGCATATTGCGAATATTACGCTAATTGGTGACTGCAATCAAAGCGGACAACGTCGCGGACACGTTGAAAGAAATAGGCAAAGTCGGGCAGGGACTTTGAGGCTGCCAGCAGCCGTGACTTCGCCTGACCATGACCAGCTGTTGCCTTACCCTCATACCCTGGTCAGATGACCAGGCTCCAGGTGATTCGCTGTCGGACGGGTATTAAGGTTATCAAGACCAAGAAAATGTCTAGGTAAGGGTAGTGGAGTGAGGCCTTTTTTAACGTTTAATTTCTGAAAGAATTAAACACGTGTCTTTATACATCATTTTAACCTTTTCTATATCTAAATATAATAATATTTATTTAATGGTAATTTATAATAACTTCTATTTATTTTATCCATAAGATACCAAGAAAATCGAAGAAAAAAAGAAGACATTTTCAAATAAAGTTTTTAAGTAAAATCTTTTTCAAAAATGAACTTAAGCTACCTTTCTTCAGGTTTTTTGGCAATAAAATCCTCTACCCTTTGCAGAAGGTTGAGATTTTGGGGATTTTTGGCCTGTCACCCAGTCTATTCATTAGATAGGAGCTTGCCCAGGTTGCCAGGTGACACTTTAATAACCACGTAGACGACGGAAGTAGGCAATCTTGGGGCCACGTCATGATGACTCCTTTGGTTCTCAGGCCATGTCGCATGGGAGTTTCGTGGGAAACCCGACTGCGACAGAATTTTATGTGCGAAAAATGCATAATTTATTCGGTTAATGCATATGCATTTAAGCCGGACCAACAACTGCAGCAATTCCCCAGGATTTGCTGACCGGCAATTGTCATTTGTGCAGCGGTCAAAGTGACCCATTTAACCGGTCTGCAGTGTCGGTGCTGTGGTGCCCTTCCTCCGCCTCCGGCCAGAGTACATACATAAGTAGGCAAATGCAATGAGTCCCGGGCCCAAGTCGCAGTTGCCCGAAGACGAGAGGCACAGATTGCGGCCACCGAGATTTCCTTCCGATATATAATGCTGTTAAATTGTGTGCCATTATTATGATTGCCATCGTGCCGGGGAGACGGAGAGCCGGGGAACTGCCGGACGGACGGACGAACTGCACAGGATGCCGGAGCCACGACCGGCTGTAGAGTTGCATTCACACATTGTTCGGCCGCTTCGGGTCTCCGCATATGCCATGTATTTCATTATGGGTCCCAATCCCCAATCCCATTTTCTCCTCTCGCTTCTTGAGTGAGCGCGAGGTATCCTCTGTTTGAGGTGGGTTTGATGGGTTCACATGGAGTTTGTGTAGATTTTTTAAATTCTATATTATATTTATGATCATAAAAATGAATAAAATAGAAATTAAAACAACTAATTAGTGAAATTTCTATTAACTTAAAGTATTAAAATACTGCCAAAAGTTATTAATATGGTTCGTTTGATGTGAGATTATTAGTTTATATAAAGAAATATCTTAATTATTATTATTTATTATTTAGTAATGTTTTTAAAAAATTCCTTAGTAAATCTATGTAAAATACTTTATAATTTAATAAGTAATCCCTGGTCGTAGTTCAAAAACCTTCTGCAAAATCGCAGTTGCTATTTTTTCAGGTGGCTTAACTGTTGTTCGCGTTGTTACAACCAATTGTTGTAATTGTCCTAGCCCCAGCAGTTGGCCGTAGCTCCTTAAAACCGGAAGTAACACTCAGTGGCGTAAAGCTGCCGTGGCGACGGCTTACGCAGCGTATGCGCATTATGCAAAGTCCTGGTCAGTGGTAAAAGCAACGCCAGAGCCAGAATCAGCCGCAGATGTTTCACAGGAGCGGCAAGGACGGTGGGGCAGGGCAGGACAGGAGGCAGAGCCATTCAGCAACTGACAACTTACGCATCAGCGAAGGCAGAAACACAGAGCATTTCGGGCTACGGCAAGGGCTCCAAAGTGCAGCGGGTAGTCAGAGACTGAGCTCTGTCTGAGCCGGAGTCGGTGCTGGTAGAAGCAGGAGTCGGGGCACGGCTTTTGTTGTTTGCACTGCCATTAATTTCTGTTGCACTGGGCTCGCCATTTATATCGCAAAATGTCCCACCGTTATGAGTTGCCGGGAAACCCTTTTTGTCTCTGTCGTTTAACCCTTATTTGCCTGGAGTGGAATTTTATAAGAAATATTCTATTTGGAGTCTGGTATAAACGGAAAACAATAGAGAATCTTAGGGATTTTTAATTGAAAAATTAAAAAAAAAAAAATTTTACTCTATACTTTGCTAAACTTAACAAAAAACAATATTTTTGTGAAGAAAATATACTGGAAATTAAAATTGTATATAGCTGAGTTATTGATCAGTTTTGTTCACTATCCTATTCCACACATCCTAGGCCCTGAATAATTTGCAGGCCGCAGTCACTACGCTTCGGGCGTGAATGGGTTAACTGGGCCAGGAGACCGGAATGGCTACCGAGAATGGAGCGCCTGCCAAGCGGAAGTGGTCGCGTGCGTTGCATCCTGTCGGCAATTACCCTGCAGGGGCAACAACAATTACAGTTACAGCTGTTACCGCTCTGCCCGTTGCCCGCTGCCCGTTCCCGCCCACGATTTACCCCTTGTCCGCCTGGTTGTAAGCCATTTTAATTGCTTGTCTCTTTTTAATTTTCAGCTCTTTTGTTATACTTCACCCTTTGGCCCCACATCCCACCTGGCATATATCCTTGCATATATATATATATTTGTATGAAGCCTTTGTCTATCAGTCCTTTCTTCGCCTCAAGTTGACATTTTTGCTGGCTGTGCTGACTTCTGGCCAAGAGGTCGCCGCTCCTGGGGCTCGAGGGCCTTTGCTGTTGACCATTTGACGGAGCTAACGAACTAATGTTGAATGCACAGCAAGTGCCATTCGAGCTTCCGCCGGCTCATTGACCAGAAGACGCCAGCAACTGCAATTAACAAAGGTGCAGGACCACGTTCTATTGTCCTGGCTGGGAGGGCATTCAATCCCCCGGAATCGGAAGGGTGTCCAATGGCAGCTAAAACGTGTGTAATCAGAGCATAATTGTCTTAAAATAGCTACGCCACTTGCTCGGTGTCACAAAATGGGAGCGTTTGCTTTCTGCTCAAGCAAATCGGAAATCGATTAAGTTCTTAGCTTTAATGGGAGCAATATCTTCCCAGAGTCAATTCAGGGATTAGTTAGAAGTTTACTAATGGATCAAATATTTTAATTATATATTTTTTAATCCTGTTTGTATTTTTGTAAACTGTATAGGATTTGTTGTTTAATAAAATGGAAAAATAGAAAAATAAGCAATTAATTGTCTCAGTCAATTGTTAGCCTTTGTAACTTAACAATTGATTGATATTAAATAAAACAATTTAACTATGTCACCAAAGCCACAAAAAGGCCAACAATTCACAATAATTTTGTGGTTTATTTTTTTAGATTTAAAACAAAACGCCCAGCATAAACAAATGCTAAACAAAGCGAGACGAAAACAAAGTGAATCGAGTTGTGCATTCATTTTGCATAAAGCAAGGCCTGATGGCCAAATTGTTTAATCTAAATTCATAACGCGACACAAGCAAACTCGGCACAGATTTGGCTGACATTTTGCCTAAATAATTGATTTGGCCCCGAGAGCAGGAAGAAGTGCAGGCGCTTGAATGCTGAGTGCGGGCCGAATGCCTGTCTCGCTAAGTGGCGTGGCAAATAAAATGATTTAAATATTCAAAACAGCAATCCGCATGCAACAATTCTTTCTCATATTTTTTGTTTGTACGCATAATAAAAAAGCAGGGCGGAAAAGTTTAAATTTCTTTTACGTCCCCAAACCGCCTCTAATCCACTTTGGCCGACAATTTTCGAGCGACCGCAGGCGCAAAATAAATGAAATCATGAAATAATAAACTAAATTAGGTGCGAATTGTTGGCCAGCCTGACCTGGGCAACATTTACACGTTTTTTTTACATTTTATTTATGCCACTAAAACAATTTCAGACGGGGGTCGGTGAACAGTGGAATTTAAATTTCAGAAAAACAGTCAGAAACATTCAATTTGTAAGTGCTGCAATCTACCACCTACACAAAAGTTTCTACCAATTTCCACAAAAAACATAATTTAATAATTAAATGTCAAGCTGAGTGACTGGATCTCAAGCGGCTAAAGGTAGCAGTCAAACAACAAAACTAGGCTACTCCTCCTGCAATTGACTCCGGGGCTTTGCCACTCCGTCCTTCCCTCCTCCCTTGGTGTGGGTAAAAATTATTGTGGCATTTGTATGCCAACCCCAGGCTCGTATATAAGTTTGAGTATGTTGTTCAGCTCACACACACAGCACACAGAAACTTTT